GACATTGTATATGAAAAATTAGAAAGATAATTTTATGTTCTGGATCATGCAATCTTCCTCCAGAAAGGCTTCACCTTTGCTTTTGGCAGGTGGCTAGGTCAGGGCAGATCACCTTACTTTAGTCAAGAATCAAACTGATTCAAAGCAGGGCTTCAGTCTTTTGGAAGCTGGTCTATTTCAAATTTATCCATATGCCAAATCTCTTTGAAGTGCCAACTGAAAGCCTGGGACATTTACCGGGGCCCCTCCTCTTGGACGGGCCCTGAACTCCAGGATTTTCCCCCACCTCCACGGAACTGCCTAAAGTCTGGATGGCAGGGTAGCCTCTCACCTGCTGATTTCTGTTGAATGTGATTTGGCAAATGCTTCAAGAGTAAAAACAGCATCAATTGTTGGGCTAACTCTCTTCACTTCTCTTCTCTCTGGTTCTTGACTCCCAAGTTCTTGCTGCCTTTAAGACCCTCAACAGACACACACACACACACACACACACACACACACACACACGCAACATGGAAATGCATAATAGAATGTCTGCAGAGGAAAAATATAAGGCCCAGAAGATTCCATAACAGATGCAGGAAAAGGTGTAGGAATCCATTGATAGTCTTAAAAAATAGCCTCTTTTGAGCCCTTTTCAAATCTTTTAGATCTAAAGTCAGCAGATAGGAGCTCTCAGCCCAGCCCCACCTCTCTAAAGAAAAATTTTAACTTTTGCTGCTGTAAAATTATACTAATAACAACATCCATCTCCCTGGATTATTTTGATAATGAACCAACAACACCTTTCATCAAAATTAACATATTTCAGCATGTATTTTGTGCAGGCACTGGGCTAGATCTTCTGCTATATTTTTTGATTTTAAAAATTTTATAAACAATATAGAATGCTGAGTATATTCACTGTCATAAAAATCTTTTCTTAAGAAAACTACTATTTAAAGGAGAGGGCCAAAGGCTTTCTTTGAGGAGCAATGTTATGTTTCTCCCAGGCTTGGAGCCTGGAGGATTAGGAGATATGCTGAATGGGACATTTCTCAAAGATCAGGGGAGGGTTGGCTTCCAGCAGCTGTGTTCCTCTACCTGTGAAGGTCCCGGCAAAGCCCCATGAGGAGTTGTGGCAGCAGCAGCCAGCCTGGGAATCTAGAGGTCAATCCTGGGGACTCTTGGGGCTAAGGGCCATTGATTCCTGTGGCTAAGGGCTATTGAGAGATACCATCCTCCCATTTCACCCTGATGACCTGTTCAGTGCCAGTCTAGATCAGGGATTGGTTGGGAAACCATGTTCATGGGCCAAATCCAGACTGCCACCTGTTTTTGTATGATCTGTAAACTAAGAACGATTCTTGCATTTTCAGATTCATTTTTTAATGTGAATGTCCAGTTGTTCCAGCACTATTTGTTGAAAAGACTGTCTTTTCTCCATTGTATTGCCTTTGCTCTTTTGTTAAAGAATATTACCGTAATAGTATCATATCTCTGCCGTGCTGATTGATCCACCCCACTACTCTCAGAGTGACCATCATCGTAAAACACACCTTAATGCTCGTCTCTTCAAAGACCGCTCATGGCTCCCTGTTGCTCCTGGAGTAGCCTGGCACTTGCAGCTCCACAGCCCGGCTGCTGTCTGTCTGTGCAGCCTCATCCACCCTGCCCACCCCTCCCCGCCCCCCAGGTACAAACCCTGTGCTCCAGCTTTTTGCAGTGTTCTTGCTTGTCTACACCTCTGTGTCTTCCCATCATGTGGCTCTTTCTGCCCAGAAAGCTTTCTGCTGGGAATTTCAAAAGGGTCACTGAGGTCTGGAGGCAGGTTATAGGCATCATTCCTGTTATGAGCTCCAACATGGAAATCAGTGCCTGATCTCACAGCGAGTGTGAAAAGGAAATATATTCTTGCTTGTCCTGAAACACCAGATAAATTCTTTTCAGGGTCAACGAGTAAAGCTGCCGAAGAAGGCAGGGGTGGAAAAGAAATCAAGCCCTCTCCCCCAAGTCAGGCCTCCCTTTGCATTGCCTAATGCTGTTTGGGGTTTCTTCCATGGTGTGCCCTTACAAGGAGTGTGCACCTGGGCAGAGAACTGGGTGGGGAGAAGCCAGAGGAAGCAAGGGACTCAGATCTCTGATTACATATCAGTATCATCAATGTGTCATGAAGCTGTTGAAGTAAGCATCAAGATTATGTGACAACATGAAAAATGCTTACAGTGCAACGTTAAAGGGAGCTTGCAGGATACAAAATTGCATCCACATTGATTAGACCTGAAAGAGAAGTGTGCCTGATCAGAGCCTGATGGTGGATACAAGAGCGTGAACAAATGAAATCACTTTGGGTTGTAGGAGTAATGGCACTGTGGGTGATTTTTTGGTTCTTTATTTAGAGTGCTGTTAACTGTACTCCGGTATTGTTTGTATATTTAAAAGGCCAAATGTTTTATGGAAAAACTCGTTGACTTGGACACTTAAAATGAGTCTATTTTATTGTATGTAAATTATATTTTTAAAAAGTAAAAAGATGTAAATGTTTTAAAAGACAGGCCTAAGGTAAGCTGGAACAAGGCTAGTATCTTTGTGGTCTCCCTACTGTTACCACCCAGAAAGGGGGTTCATCTGCCTGCCGCAAGCCATGCCAATAGTCAAGGGGCAAGGTGGTAGGAGAGAAAGGGCTTTTTATTACAGTTTGCTAGCAAGAGGGACGATGGCCGACTAATGTCCAAAAAACCCTTTTACAGAACAAAGGCTACAGGCCAGTTATATATGGGACTGGTCTCCAGGTGGGGGAGGCAGCTGGTCTCTGGGTGGGGGGAACCATCTGATCTCAGGGTGGAGGCAGACATCTGGTCTTAGTTCCTGATAGTCTTTTGTTTTACTGGATGTGCATCAGAGACCTGAGCAACGCCCTCTACCCTGATCTTTCAGCTGTCCTTCATGACAGCTATCAGCATAGACTCTCTGCCTGGGGGTCATCACATTCCTAAGGAACTCAAGAGAACAAAGTTATCAACTTATAGCAGCTGGGAGGGGCCATAAAATCCACAGAGCATATCTGGGCTAGTTAGTCAGAGGTCATTCAAAGTTACAATAGGGTTTCTTTTCTACAATATGGCTTCCCTTATGTCAACCTAGAGTTGAGCTTGTATCACTACCTGCCTTTTCTTCCCCTTCGCCTACATTCAGTAAGATCCCTCAACACAATCCCTGTCCAGCTATTATGTATAGTCATGGCTGCTGGGAATACCATGATTAGCTTTACTCCTAAACTCACATCACCCTTCATACTATTCTGGAACGTCCTTCACTGCTTTGTCCTGGGTCCCCAAACAACAGCAGCTATTTGTCCAACACTGCCCTCCTCGAGAGTTCTGCCTTTTGCTAAGAAACCAGTAAAGGAATCTGTGATAATGTTCCCATGCATGATATAGGGTTATTGCTGACCCCTCCATGATAATACTTTTGCTATTCAATCTGGGGTTCTGCCCTAATTGGCTGCATTAATGGAAGCACAGTGCCCCAAACAATGGAGGTGATAGTTGGAAGAATGGAATCTAGGCTTTCCTAACACAAAGGATGTTACTGAGCTGGGCACATAGGTAGGGCTGGGAGGAAGGGCATGACAGCTGCAAGTCTGGGTGGGAGTTAATTCCAGCTAAATAGCCTGAACTATTTTTGCTTTCTTTTAGGGACCGCCCAGGCCCATACCTCTCCTGGAGAGAACACATTGGAAGAGCAGCTATGGCCAGAGGTGAGGGCTTTGCCCTCATGGGATGGGAATGGGATTCCCTTCTAGTGGGTAAATCTAAGTCTTGATGCAAGTTGGTAGGTCCCTTCCTGAGGCCTTGAGAGAATGCGCTGGATGAGCGGCTTCCCCCAGGGACTGTCGGGCTGCCTGGTGGAGCAGAGGCAGCATAACCGTTTCTCCTGGAATTTGGGGCTCATCATCCCTGCAGACCTAGTGGGAAGTTCCCAGAAGTGTCCAGACAGAGTTATAAATGGGCTTATTATCTCTGTGAACCTTGAAGCAGATGCTGTGAGTTATCTGAAGGCATCTGGGTGAGGTCTTCCCAGAACATCCACAAGATAAGAGTTGAGAGTAAACGCTTTATCTCTTATTCCAGTCAGTAATTCAAGAGAAATTAACTTGTGTCTTCCTGTGATGGCGAATGTGGTCAAGCTCCTCATTTACTGCACATTTTCCCCTGTTGGAGTATTTCCCCTTCCACTCTCAGTTCTGGGGAGAAAACAGGTGCTCTCCCTTCCCAAAGCCTTCCATGTCACTCACAGAGCAGAGGCAGCTCTGGACTAACAGGCATCTGAGGATCCACGCGCTGGTCGCCCAGTCCCTCCTCTGCTCTCATCAGCCCCTCTGGGCTTAGGACCCACCAATCCAGTGGGGATGCGAGAGTCTCCCACTTTCAAGTTTATCCAGTTTCCAGCAGCAAATAAACATAATGCCTCATACACCTGCTTTTGTGTAAATAATCAAATTAAAAGAGGGAAAGTAGGTAATACAAAAAATGTAATAGCATAGAATGGAGTTTTTAACATTTAATCTAGATATATTGAGTCTCTTCTCAATAATTTTTTTATTGTGGTAAAATATACATTAAATGTACCATTTTAACCATTTTTGAGTGTACAATTCAATGGCATTAAGTACATTCACAATGTTGTGCAACCATCACCACTATCCATCTCCAGAACTTTTTCATTATCCCAAGAATTGATTTTTATTCTTCTTTATATTATTCTCCCTCCCTCTCCACCCAACTGTTTTGGGGCATCGTTACCTATGACCTGCTAAAATCATTGTCAGTAGACACATGTCCCTTTTACCAGGTGACCTGGGTAGGGTTAGAAAAACGTGACTAGGACAATTGTTACTTCTGAATTTTGAACATAGATAGAACAAGTACAAGGTCATTTCTACACCAAGATTTCAGGACCTGAAATATTTCCATGCAAGGCAGCTGATGTGTCTGATGTTTGGTTTTAGTTGCAGACCCTGAAGAATTTTCCATTCTCCTGCAATCCAGAGATGTTGGGATCCAGCGAGCCTTCTAAGTCAGGTATGTGACCCCGAGCCATGAACCTGGAAGACCAGCATCTTCTCTCTGATGTGGCCAGCAGGGGCTCCAACCCTACTCCTCTTGAACCTTTTGGCCATTCAAGTCCTCCCTCTTCTCCATCCTTAGTCCTTCACATCCCCTCTTTTCCCCCCTTCAGTTATTTCCATGGAGGGACACAGCCCGACACACCACTTGGAGATAAAATCAACGTGGCCCCGCAGTGGCTTGCCTGGGTGAAGGCAACCTCCGGGAGCTCACCTCCAGGTGGGCAGAGTCATAGAAGTTGTGGGTTGAAGCTTGGTCACCCACATGCCTTCCCCGATCCTGTGATGTAGTCACAGTGGCTGCTCTAGACTAGGTTTGTCTAGTACCTGGATGCCATGAATGTTGCTCTTGAGCTGGCAGTCTTCTCTGGCTTTATCCTATTAAATGGCCACATTGCAGACTGTTTTTAATGGCTTTGTTTATGTTTGTATTGCACTAACTTACCAGGGTTTCCAGCTTGGCATGCTCTTCTTACTATTCTGTTATATAAAGAGTGTAGGTGGAAAAAGAAACTGATGCACTTCTTAGGAAATGCCTTCTTTAGGAGGTTTACCTTTAATGCCCCCATTACGTGACCAGGGAGTCTGTCAGTGGTTTCTAGGGAGACTTAATTCTAAAAATGCTGGTGGCCCAGGTGGGTCATGGAGGCCTCCTAGTGACCATTTGCATACAGCTTGCACCTGGTATTTATGTGTGTTCACAGCCTTTGAGTGCTGTTCTCTGGCAATCTTCACACTAACAGGATCCTTTTGTACCCAGGTGGTTTTCATTTTAATTTGTTGCCCTCTTATTAATAGTGGCCCAGAAAAGCTGAGCCAAGGACAGAGGGAAGCTGAAGGGAAGCTGAAGAAAGAGGGCCAGGTGAGAGGGAAAATGAGGGCCATGTGTGACCTTCCATGGGCCACCTATTTGGAGATCCTGAGTCCAGTTAACACTGTCGCCTCCAGAGAGGAGTGAGCCTCTTCCGTGTGGGGCTCCGAGGGCTCCCAGCGACTGCCTGGTGTTCAGTTTTCCACTCCCATGGCTAAAAGACTCAACCTCAGCAGCTGTCCTCCAGCTGGGGGACATGGGTCTGCCCCTCCCATTTGGCGTTCTCAGCCCACACCGTGGGGAATGTAGATCTGACCTTCTGCCATGGGTTCTTGTCTCCACAGTCCACTCTCTGAGACCTTCTGATATTAAATTTGTGGCAGCCATTGGCGATGTGGAAACTGTGAGTATTTCAAAGAGATGGAGGTGGAAGGCAGCATTTGGTATATGTGCTGCCGAAGCGAGCACTAGGTGGAAGGCAGCATTTGGGACTGGTGACCCTCTGAATGAGCTCCTCCTAGGAACCAGGCAGAATGTTTCATTTGGTGAGAGAAGAACATTCTCCGAGTGGGAGAAATCCTAAAATCTAGAGGGTTTTAAGTTCTTTTTTTTTTTTTAAATCAAATGAATTCCTCCCTTTACATTAGGGTGAGGCAATTTTTGGAGTTTCTCATTAATAAATTAAACCCATTGATAAATTAAGTCAAAGATCACATAGAATTTTAAAAAATAATCTCTTAAACTCTCTGTTTATGAGATAAAGAAAAAAAAATGCCCTTACCTGCTTGGTAAATTTTTAAAAATATACCCATCTTTGCTAATAAATTTTAATTGGTGTATTTTATATAGTTAGGTAAAGGAGAAAGAAAGTGATAAGAAGAGAAAGATGGAAAGAGAGAGGAATGAGCAGAAAGAGAGGCACTGAGAGAGAAGAGGGTTGGAGAGCAGAGCGGAATGCCGGTGTGATTCCCCAGTCAGTCCTGGTTTCCCATAATCCCACCTGGCCTGGTCTTAGTAAGGTCCACAGCCCTGCTGCCTCCAAGTCCCAGCAAGCGCCAGATGAACAGAACACTTATCAGATGTTCTCCGCTCTGCCCCAAAGCCCTGCTGGACCTCCCGCACTTGAACCAGGACGTTCCCCTCCCCTCCAGTGTCCTCCTCCCCCGTCCCCTAACATGTCTCCTTCCCACCATCCCTCCCCATCCCTGCTGCAGTCTGTACTCCCTGCAGCCTCAGCCCCTTCCCCTGGGCCCAGCCTGCCACCTCACCGTAACCCCAGCCCACGACCCCACACACGCTGCCAGCCATATGTACAGTACAAGCCTTCACATTAGAAAACAGACCTCAGGCCCAGTGAAATCTGGCAGGCGGGGCTTCTCACCCTTGTCTTATTCTATCTGTGCTGGTGGTGTTAAAACTGCATGGGTGACTGTCTGTGAGTGTCGATGAGGGTGAAGGTAGAGGTTTCCTACTGGGAGAGATGTGGAGGGGGAGACGGGAATAAATGAGAAAGGAGGTTGCATGTCACAGGTAGCACGTTGACTTTGCTGAGCCCGTGTCCCTGCATGCTGGTCGTTACCATTCCAGAGCCCGGAACATGTGACGCTCACTGGAGGACTCATGTTCTTCCCCCTTGGGCAGGGAAATTCGCTGTGGGGAAATCTCTACCCTAAGTCAGGTTTCTAAAGTTAAACCCAACAATGACTCCCACTCCTTGGTTCCGGCTCTGAAAGAGCTCTCTCACTCATGAATTATTCAGGCCGACAGCTCCTGCCTGTCACTCAGCTTACCCTTTCTCCTCCAGAGAGCCGGAGGCCCGTGGCACAGAATACGGCTTCCCTCGCGCTGGTCTCCCGGCCTTGAGTCATCCTCGTTACCGACAGGCTTCTCACCCTTCAGGAAAAATCCTGAAAGCACAGTTCTTAGGAGGCCGCCTTCCTCCGTCTGCCCTGAGAGACGGCTATCAGGAACTTCGCCTGGTTTATAAAAAAAATCAGGCCAAGGAAAAGTAATGGAAGACAGTGAATTTAAAAAGAAAAAAGTCTATAATGCGGATGCTTTTGCCTTGAGTTCCTGGAGCTTTCTGTAACCAAGGCACGATCCCTTGTGACTGTAAGGAGCACTTGTTGGTTTAATTGCTCTGGACTCCCTTTTCTTCAGGGAAATTTCAAGATCAGGTGTGAAAATGTTTGTAAAAATTATTTTCAAACCAACACGTGTGGTACATGTTCAATATAAGAAGAAATCAAAATACATGTATACAGTATAAAAAATTAAAAATGCCATTCACATCTCCTATTCTCCTGCCTCAGCACATATACTCCACTATATAGGGTGAGAAAGCGTGTGTGTGTATATACATATAAAACCTAAATAGAGTCATATTGCAATATAATATCTGTGACAAGCTTTTTTCTTTTTATGCTTAACTAAGAGTCAGACATTTTCCATACCAGGAAGGTTACAATCCACTGTATCAAATTCCTGACTCCATTCCAGTTAGAGGAAGGTCATGGTCAGCCTGCCCTCCCCAGAGGGCACCAGAGGAGTGACCCAGTTTTATAGACTGGTTGTTGTTTGAGCTGGGTGGTGAAGGCTAGACAGGCTCTTTAATGGGAAGCAGCAGCAGGCAGGGTGTAGGTAGTGTGGGCACAGCTGTCACCTGTCACCATCACACCTGGAGACACCATCTTCTAGGAATTTTGAGAGAGAGAATTTATGTCAGAACCTGTGAAAATAATACCACTGACAACAGTTAATATGTACTGAACACTTTCTATGTACTGGGCCCGACTCCAAGCATCCCTAGGACCTTGCAAATGACAGGATTCCCAGGGGGGTCACCATGGTCTCACCTCCGGTCCTACAACCAGGGAACGGAGAGTGTCCTGTGTTGTCTAGCATTTTGCCAAGAGGAAAATCAGAATCTTATTTTGTTCATCCAAAAGATATTTATTAAACAAATATTTATTGAGTAGTTATGCTGTGTCAGGCCCTGTTCTAGGTCCGAGGAACATAGTCCAGAGCAAAACAGACAAAACTTCCTGCCCTCATGGCATTTATACTCTAGTCAGGAGAAGCAGACAATAAACTTTAGATCATGGAAGATCACAGTAAGACGTTCTCTTTTGTTTCTGTGTAGGATGGTAATAGGGTTTTACGATGCGTTTAAATCTAAGCTCTCCCGCCCCTGTTTTCTGTTCTGAGGAAAGCATTCACATTTTCTGTTGCTCTGAGTTCTGACCAACATGCTGAGGAGGAAGCCTAACATTCTCCCCTCCCTGCAGAACTAGGGGGCAGATCTGGTCTTCCTCTGGATCCGCAGGTTCCCTGCTGTTGGTGAGAGGGGGTGTCTGATAGGCAGCTGGGGTCTCAGAAGGACAGGCTCTGCCGCCTTCTCTGGCTGGCTTGTTCACACTTCGTATCATCTTTTCCAGCCTCCAGACTCAGGGACGGTCGACGTGGAGAAGCAAATATGGTAACTGTCCTAGAAGCACAGAACGTTAGGGCTGAGAGGAGCCTCAGAGATGACCTTCTTTCATCTTCTTGCTTCATCGATAGGGAAACCTGAGAGCCTGGGAGGAGATGCCTTGCTCCAGGCTCCCTTAGGACAGGTGGCAGAGTGGGGAAAAGAACCCAGCCTCCTTCCTCCCCATCCAAACCTCCCTGTGCCCTCGAATCCCCCTGGCTCCTCTGGGTGAATGAGAGGACAAGTGGGAAAGGCCAAATGCGGGATTCCTGTTCCCACTGCCAGTCTCCGTGCTCTGCTCTGGGGAAGCGTGCAGGGTTGAACCAGGGTCAGGCCCATTCTACACAGGGGTCCGCATCTCCTTCCAGCTTTGGACCAGAATGGAAAGGTGGGGAAGAGGGTCCAGACGGTGCTGTTCACCCCATTTTGGTGATTTCATTGCCATCTAAGCTGTGTCTCTGGCTCCAGGTGGGATAATTCTAGAACCAGAGCAAGGCTGAGCCCAAGCTTGTTATGAATAGACCACAGCAGCCGAGGGACAGGGTTGGCAGGCGACAAATGAAGCCTGAAGCTTGTGTATTTGCTTCTACTTGCAGGACTGACAAAATGTCACAGCAGGCGTGCCTGGGAGTGGTGACAGGTGAGTTCTGTGTATTCGTGGTCAGATTCCAGATTATTCCTGTCCCTCCCAACATAGCAGCATTTTGGTTAATGAAGAGAATGTACTCTATTGGTCACTTTGTCACAGAGCCTGAGGGGAAGGGGGAGGCGTTCTGAGAGGACAGTGAGCCAGGGTGTGAAAAGTCACATCCCTCAAAAGAGGACGTGAGAAACGTACCGAGGGTCTCTGAGCAAAGAGCAGCCAGGAAGCACTGGGTTAGGTTAGGGGTCATGGGAGAGGGGTCAGTGGTGGCAGGGCCAGAGTCCTGAGGCCCCTTGTACCCCAGGAGCCCGCGGTAGGACTTGTAGCACTTCAGCTAGGGAAACTGTGCACCCTTCACCACCCCCACAACCCCCTCAAGGAGAAGACCAGGTCCAGTTTTCAGCCTATTTCATTTTGCAATAACTCCCTTGCTTATAAAAGAAATGTATCAATTGGGTTCAGAAAAATGAAATGAAGAAAATGAAAATTGACTGTAATCCTACTATCTAGAGATAATCATTGTTAACATTTTGGCCTTTTTATGTATGAATGTGCTTATGAATATGCTATCTGTCACTTGGTTTTTTTTTTTTTTTTTCATTTAATATCAGACATCCCTTACGACTCTATTAAGTCATCCTGAAACCCCCGAGTCCCTTAACACCAGCTAAATTAGCTAGTGGGATGTTGGAGTTGCCTATGTTTGGGGCTCACAAGTCGAGAACAAGGAAATCACCTTTCACTCCATAATTAGAACGAGAAGACTCAGACCACAGAGCACGTGCTCTGCTGAGCTGACGCTCCCACTGAGAGTAATGACAGTGAGGTAGCTGGTGCCCTCTCAATTCAGCCAGTGAATTTCACCAAGGGCCTGGGGATCAGTAGGCTCCCCAGAAAGAACAGGGATGAAAGAACAGCCCTCACCCTTCAGGATCTGATTGACAGGAGAGGGGATATTGTGGCCAAAGTGGTAAGGAGGTCCCCTTGCGAAAGGTCAAAGTGTTCTGAAAGAGGAGGCCCCTGCTGACTTGTGACTCACAGTCACAGCTCTGCCTAGCCTTGGCCCTGTTTGCCTTTAAATGGTAGGAAAAAAGAAATGAAGTGGCATATTTGGGGTGTCTGGGAAGACGAGATGTACTTTAGACCCTGAAACCACAAACACAGCTGCTGCTTTGCCTGACTTCTCAATTTATCTCCATTTTTTTGTTCCTCACTCACCTGGCAACGAGGCCTGACTGCCCGTCTTTAAGCGCAGAGTGACCAGGAGTCCCACCTGGCCAGAGTTGCAGCAGAAGGCAGGGCAGTGAGGGCAGATCTTGCACCTGAAAGTCTTCAAAGCCAGGACTCACTTGTAGCTGCTGGTGACTCCAGCCTCCCTAATGCAGGGCGGTGTGGGGAGGAGAGGAGGGCCAGACCTGGAGGCTCAGCTGGGGGCTGAGCCAGCAGAAGAGCGACTGCTCTTTCAAGGAGAAAGTGCTCCAGGGACATCAGGCCCATGCAGTGGTGTGATGGGGCTGGCTGGCTTGAGCCCCATGTGGCTCAGCCCACCTGTCCTTCAATCCCAGAACCTTAGAGCTCTTCAAAACTAGCCATGCCCTTGCCCACCACGGCCCTTTTGCAGGTGGGAAAACTGAGTCTCGGGGAGGTAAACAGACTTTCCCAAGAGTCCTTATGAATCCAGGTGGTCCAGCCCCACAGCCTGTGCCGTTTGTGGGGAACTTAGAGAGAGGCAGCGAGGACAGACCAGTACACAGCAGACCTAAAACAAAATGACAGGCAGATTTGTGTGAAAAGATCCAAGGACATGTTTGATCACAAAGAAGCAATACAAATACTTTTAATTAGGAAAGCAATTCTCTTTCAAAGACCTAGCACCAGATATTCATGTTTTGTCGTTTGCCCTCACAGACTCTCCTGAGGTGAGGGAGGGAACACATTCTTCCCCACCCCTACCCACTCACACGTGCGTGCGCACACACTCTCTCACACTGTCCCTGTAGTCTTCAACTGGCCTCAGAGCTTTCTGTTTTCTCACCATGTATGGGAATGTGCTCCTTCTGCAAGCCAGTCAGGGCTTAGAAAAGGAAGCTCATTAGTTTGGGTTGAAGATGAAGAAGATAGAGTCTCACGCGACTTAGGTGGCACCCAAGCTGACAAAACAAAGTAACCCGTCTCCTGACTTCCAGCCCAGCTCTGCCTCCTCCCCCCTGTCTGCTGCCTGCACGGTGTCAGCTGGATTCTGCTCCCACAAAGCCCCAGGCACTCTGGACGGGGGTGAAAGGAAAAGGGGAGTGGGATGGGGGCGGAGGCATCTCCCTCGCGTGACACTCTCCCTGCTCTGCCCTCTCCTCTCTTGGGAGCAAGACACAACTTAACTGCTCCTGACTGCGCTATTTTTAGCGGTCCTCTGGCTGTCAGCTCTGGGACATGTGTTCCCTGGAGCTCTCCCGTCCTGCTGTCACTCTCAGCAGGAGGGAGGGAGTGGGGAGGCAGCCTGCCCGTGTCCCTGTCCCAGCACACTTTCCCTAAGGAGTCGATAGTGCACAACAGCAAAAAGCTTTCGGCCTCGGAGAGCTCCAGTTCAGATCCCAGCAACTTCAGTTAGCCCCAAGGCCTTGGGTAGGCTGCTTAGCTTCTCTCAGCCTCAGTTTCCCCATAAGGCACTTAGCAGTGGGCCTGGCCTAGCACTTGACAGATGGTCATTTTTAGCTCCATTCACTTCCAGGGTCCTCGCAACCCCCAGCACGGTGAAGGCTGTGCTTTGCAAAAGGGGCAGCAACCCTGACACCTAACCCTAGAGGGGGTCGGTCTTCACAGGTGGCCTCCAGCTCTCAAGGCCACAGCCTCGAACCAGCTCTCTCTTTAGTCCTTTCAGATGTCATCAGACATTTCAATCCCTCCGTGCTGCGGCCTATGTGCGCCCCTGGAGAGAGAGTGGAACCCCCCACTGCAGATGAGTAAGTCCCTTTTCTGGATCTCTCCAGGGTTCTGTTCTCCTGCCCATCTTGGACATCCAGAAGGGAGGATTGGGGGATGCTGACAAAGTCAGAGAGGCTTTAAAATAGAGGTCTGGAGTAAATCAAAGTCAAAATGTGTCTCCTGCCTGATTTCAGTCAGCCTGATGGGCCTGATTTTAAAAATCAGGTCACTGTCTGCCCTCCAGAGGCCGGGGCGGGGTGCAGTATAGCCTTGGGCTCATAGATTGGCACCTGGGCTGGCACAAGGGGCAAGCTTCCAACCCTCAACAAAGTTATATTTAACTGATTTTTCTCTCTGCTCCCTCCCTCCATGCAGAGACTTGTGGATTCAGGCAAAGGAACTGGTGAGGAGCATGAAAGAGAACCAGGTAAGGATCCATCTGACGCCATGATGGGGCTGCCCGTGCCTGCCGCAGGCCCATCAGACCAAACACGCCAGGCAGCTGGGGCCCCGCGGCCACTGTGCCCTGAGCTCAGCACCCGCTGTGGCCTGGGTGCTCCCAAAATGCCCTTCCTGTGGTGATTCTCCTGAGGCCACTATCAAGGGCCACTTCTTATGTTCACAATGTGGTCCTGCCAAAAGTCAGCAGGTGGACTAAATGACTTCTCACTTAGGGAGGTGGTTGAGAGCTCGGGTTCCAAAGGGAGGCTGGTCTGAGTGTGAATCCTGAATTCTCCACCCATTAGCTATGTGATATTGGGTAAGGCACTTAACCTCTCTGAGCCTCGGTTTCCCCATCTATGAAATGGGGTTAATGAGACAGCATGCAGCACACGGCTTAGGATTAAATGAGGTGTCAGATGTGCCTGTTGCTGTCATCGTCATTGAAGTGGTGATTGCTGTTATTATTAATTGCCATATTCATTTTAGTTCTTAGGTGGAGGCCTCTGAAACACACGTGCTGAGGCCCCAGTACCCACTCTCCTAGCAGTTCAGACACTCTACTCAGTGACTCACATGAGTTTGTAATAAGCATCCTCTAATCATTTGTGCTTTCCTTATGGGAAAGTATCAAATCAAGGCAAGCTTTGCTACCAAGCTGGCTCTACCCAGGCACTGGGCCTGGACCACTGGAATCAAGGGAAAACTCTGTCTTGGCCGGTCATCATTTGTTCCAGGGTTCAGGGATTAAAGCTAGGTCATTCCAGGTTATACAGGGACAGTGACAAGTGCAGGAGCTACACCGTAAAGAGTTGGTTTCCCCCTAACAGGGGAATTCCAGAATTTCTAGAGTTATAATAACATTCCTGAAAATAGCTGGGAGGTCCTGAATCCAACCCCATAATTTTACACATGAAGAAACTGAAGTCCCAAGAAGTCACGTGACCTGTCCAAGTTCACACAGCTAGTCAGAGCTAAAATCTAAAGAGCCTGATTCACAGTCCAGTGCTCCTCAAGTGCACCGTGCTGCCTCCTAAGAAAACAAAATGAAAGTTTATTTTTGTTCTACAAGTAACACATGATCATTATAGAAAAATCAGGAAACACAGATAAAGAAAAAGAATATTAAAACCATCCTTCAACTTAATACCCAGAGATAATTACTGTTAACATTTGGTATATATTCCTTTCCATATTTTTCTAAGCACATTTATGTGTAAGTATTTTATAAAACAGGGATGTTACTAGATGTGGATACTTTTTATAACCTGCTTTTTCTCAATATAATATTTCCCAAGATAATAATTACATTTTCCAGCATCATTTTATTTATTTATTTTTTTTGTGAGGAAGATCGGCCCTGAGCTAACACCTGCCAATCCTCTTCTTTTTTTTGCGGAGGAAGACTGGCCCTGGGCTAACATCCGTGCCCATCCTCCTCCACTTTATATGGGACGCCGCCACAGCATGGCTTGCCAAGCGGTGCGTCGGTGCACGCCCAGGATCCGAACCGGCAAACCCCGGGCCGCTGCAGCGGAGCGCGCACCCTTAACCGCTTGTGCCACAGGGCCGGCTCCTCCAGCATCATTTTAGTAGCTACAGTGTTTCATCTTATGAGTGTTCCACAATTTACACAGCAATCCCCTATTTTAGACGTTTACGTTGTTTCCAATTTTTCAATCTTATCAACAAGCCTTCTTCATTGTAGCTAAATCTTTCATGTATCCTTGGTTCCTTAAAATACATTTTAGGAAATGGAATTGTCGGATCAAAGTGTATGTCCTTAAAAAAAAAGTACGGTATACATGTTGCCAAATTGCCTTCTAGAGCAAACAACACTAGATTCCTACCATATACATCTTCCTTTGAAAAAAATTCATAAATATGATATTATGGGAGTGGGTTATGCAACTGAAAGATGTGAAAAGAAAGAAGTTCTTTTGGTGCCAGGTCTTACTATCTCTTTTTGCTGCTGTTGCCCTTTTCTTCAGCAACTTGACTTTCAAAATGACTGGAAGCTCATCAATGTGTTCTTCAGCAACGCAAGCCAAGATCACCTCTGTCCCTCCACCCAACAGGTAAACCACAGGCTGAGAGGCAGAGAGGTTGCAAATACGGGGGTGAGGGCAGAGTGAATGAACTAAGTCGACACCTGTCAGGCTGGGCCTGATGGCACCTATTTCAGAATTAGGCAAATAGACAGATGGATAAATAAATGGAAATAGATATCTAAGAGCTCAAGGGACCATATACAAGGGTACGTGTTTTTAACTTACCATCCTTCATGCCAGGAAAAGGAAATTGAGGTGTAGATAAGCTGAGTCAACGATCATTCTGCAACTGAGCAAAATCGGCTTCCTGGTTAAAAATTATTTTGCCTGTTTAACTCTGATTTCATGTAAGTACTGAATTTAGGAAATAAAATAGCCTATGTACTCTTGTCATAACCTCTTGGCCCGTGGACTATAGTTGTAATGAGAAGCGTACTGTTTATGTAGGTGGACTGTATCTTCCAGGCTCTTTGGCTTTCCTGGGAACAGGACATGAAACATGTGTCTTTGTTTATTTACATAGGTGACTATCTATGACTTAAGTCTTTATTGAAGATTGTCCAGGTTAGGATCAGTTGAAAGTGTAAGGGGTGGCTTAGAAATCTAGGCTATGGTGACATAAATGGCACACAGACTCTCCTTCAGGAGCCTGAAGCCTGGTTGCCACCAACCTCGCCCTGCCACGGCAGTCCAATTACCTGCCCACTGTCCTCTCAGCCACCTTCCGGTAGCTCTGCCACGCCATGGCACAAAAATAGGTGAAGTTTCTTAAGGTGCCGTCCTCTTTTCTGTGCCCATCTCCCACAGTGTGCACTCTTGTCTTCCTCCAAATGCCCCATGCTCCCATTGACTTCTAACCCACCATCAAAACCCCCCTTCCTTTAGTGATGTTGGGCCCTGGGAGAATGCAGATGGAAGCCCACCTTCTCTAGCCAGCTCTTATTCAACAATGTACCTGCAGATCTCCTGGGTTTGTAGCACATAGGTATTGAAGGTCTATTGTTCTACTTCACTCTCTGTTTTTGCCCATGCCAAATGAAATTTACATGCCCTGTTTATTCTCTGCCCCCTGCCCTTTGGTCATTATGCACTCTGTCCCCCCCCCCTGCCCCGTTCTGGTCATTATGCATACCAGCATTTATTCATGAAAGAAGTGCTTAAACAAGCATTTGGGCATTGCTGCGTTCCTCTCCACATCCACTCATCCATCCATCCATTCATCCATCCATCTATTTGTTCTCCCGGAAGTTATCATATTCATGCATAAATTCATTCTCTAACATGCAGTCACATGCTATTGTATTTATGATGAGTTTGTTTATGCTAGCATTCATTTGATTTTTTAAATGTTTGAATGCATTAATTGATGCTTACACTCATTCATGATTTCTTCCATACATTTTATCTTGCACTCAATCATTCCTATGTGAATTCTTGCATTCTTTCATGTATTTATGCCTTCAAGCACTCTTGACTACATGATGCATTCTTGTGTGCATGTATCTAGCTATCGTTATTTACTTTTATTAATTTGTGTGTGTGTGAGGAAGTCCGGCCCTGAGCTAACATCCGTTGCCAATCTTTCTCTTTTTTTTGCTGAGGAAGACTAGCCCTGAGCTGATTTCTGTGCCCATCTTCCTCTATTTTGCATGTGGGATGCCACCACAGCATGGCTTAGTGAGCGATGCGTAGGTCTGCACCTGGGATCCAAACCTGTGAACCCCAGGCTGCTGAAGCGGAGCAGGCAAACTTAACCACTATGCCACCAGGCTGGCCTGACTTTTATTAATTTTTAGTTACACAAGCAATGCACAAATGTTTTCTCCTTTAAAAAAACTAAAATATTACAGTTAAAGCTAAAATACCCTTTGGCCACCGCCTCCAATCCTCTCCCTTTTTATTTCTAAGCCTTTTGCATATCTATGAATCCTAATATTATTTTGTGTGTATGTGTGTGAATGAGAGAGATTTACCATAAATAGTATACTATTGAGCAATTTTATTCACTAATCAAATATTTTTGATATCTAGTCATGTTGATACATGTGGGTTGAGTTTATTCCTGTTACTTGCCTAATAGTATTCCACTGTGTAAATTTACTACATTTTATTTCACCTTTCCCATTGATGGTCATTTAGGTGTTTCTAGTTTTTCATTATTATAAACAATCTTGTTCATTTACTTGAACACGTGTGTTTTTCTAAATACAGTGATTTTCAGATTGTAGATTGAAGTGTATTAGTGGGTCAAAAATCAGTTTTAAAGATTATAACCAAAATTGTAAAAAATATAAATAGAATAAGCTATAAAATATTAGAGTTTATTGCATGTAGTAAGGTAAGTTTTGGTTCATGATTATTTTTGCTTCATTTTCTACATAGGTGGTTGTACTGGGTGGCGATGCTAAACATATCTCACACTGGCTCATGGTCAAAATAGTTGGAAGAAAAGTGCCTAGAGCAGATTCTTTTTTTTTTTTTTTTTTTTTAAAGATTTTATTTATTTATTTTTTCCCCCAAAGCCCCAGCGGATAGTTGTATGTCATAGCTGCACATCCTTCTAGTTGCTGTATGTGGGACACGGCCTCAGCATGGCCGGAGAAGCGGTGCGTCGGTGCACGCCCGGGATCCGAACCCGGGCCGCCAGCAGCGGAGCGCGTGCACTTAACCGCTAAGCCACCGGGCCGGCCCTAGAGCAGATTCTTAAACACGGAATTTCCAGTCATCAGATATATACACTTTAAGTCTTTTTTTTTTTACCTTTATTTTATTTATTTTTCCCCCCAAAACCCCAGTAGATAGTTGTATGTCATAGCTGCACACCCTTCTAGTTGCTGTGTGTGGGACTCAGCCTCAGCATGGCTGGAGAAGTGGTGCATCGGTGCGCGCCCGGGATCCAAACCCGGGCCACCAGTAGCGGAGCGCACACACTTAACCGCTAAGCCACGGGGCCGGCCCTATACACTTTAAGTCTTGATAAGGACTGCCTAATGCCCTCCAAAGTGGCTGAATCCATTTATATCCCCACCAGCGTCTGAGAGCACCTGTTCCCTACAACCTTTCTAGTATTTGTTGTTATCAAACTTAATGATTTTTGTCAATATGTGAAATTCCCTCAAGATCTAGTCATGTTGATACATATGGGTTGAGTTTATTCACATTTAGAACCTCACACTTTTAATTGGTTGTAAACGTATGACAAAAGGAATCATGCTTCACTCCCGGTTCCTAAATGGCTATACACCAGTGACTTGATCTTGTAAGTTTAGCTCACCGTAGTAGTGCTTACTGGCATCCATTCAAATTCTCTTTTTATTAAATTTTTTCTTCCATCTTGATTTTCCTTTTGCACAAAGACCACGAAGGCTTTGGAGCCTAGAATAAATACCACCTGTGCTTCCATTTCCCCCAAAGGACCTGGTGGCTCCTTAGTCTGGCTCTCGTGGCCTCCTTGGCCGGGGCCTGCTGGCTCGTCCCTTCATGCTTCTGCTGTCCAGACCCACCACTCACCTCCTCGTCTTCCTGGTGGTGTCTCTGGCCACGGCTCCCTCTGCAAGCCAACCCTGTGGGATAGCTCAACACCCCCCATCAAAGAAGTTCTTATACGGCATTATTTCATTCCCCAAAGCACATCCCAGGCACAATCTCTCCCCCAGGGGTTGTTCTGCAGAGTCCCAGGGGCCACTGGAGGTGCCTCTGAGGGCAAAGGCAAGGCTGAGACAGTGGGCTCCAGGCTTCCACCTGACCCCGAAGAACAGCTCTGCCTTTACCTGTGTTGCATGTCAACAATGTCCTGAAACAGTTCATATGAGAAAAGGGTGTTTTAGTGTTGAGAAGAAATGTTAAACTACTGTCCTGCCTTGCTTTAGGACCTGGAATTCTCCTCCCCTCAAGAGGCCTTTGGGCTCCTTTCATGGGCACTAGATAAGGGCCTGTGTCAGTGTTTGTTTTTTAGGGGTTTCTTAAGACCAAAGCCAGGAGAGAGTAAAATCAGGAGCCCTCCATCAGGCAGTGACAAGGCTGCTTTGGAGCTGCTAAGGTGGGTCTGGCTATTCTAAGGCAGGTGCTTCAGAGGTAACCTGGTAACCTGGCTGACAGCAGTGACACAGGGATGCTTCTAGGGTCTGGACTCTTGTTTACTGCTCTCTAGTAAAAGTCTAGTTTTATTAATGAGTGAGATCAAAAGTCAGTTAGAAGAAAAAATGAAGAAACAAATAAAAACCAAAGCCAACGACACTGGAAGAAAATATACACATTTATTCATGACATGCCGTTAGAAATAGGTGTCAATATTTTGGAGGGTACATTGCAGTATAGTTCAAGAAAACTAAAAGTATATCTTTTGACTGAATAATCCTACTCCTTGGAATAAATCCCAAGGAAATATTTATTAGAAAAGTTAAGTCTTGTCTCAGGCACATTTTCATAATAGAGAACTCTTTTGAATCTGGAGGCAAAAAATATAAATGGAAATGTGCAAGTGATTTGGAGAACTAAGCTTTTTCCTGACTTTGGGTTCAAGGAGTTTATGATGTGTGCCCTATACATGAGGGACATTTCATAGGAGCATAATGTCTTCCACTAAGGAACAGAGACAGTTGGTGCCCCAGGCGACAACCAGTCAGTGTCTGGAGTGACTGGATGGCCCCAATTCACTCTACAGCCCTGAATAAGCACCTTGACTGACGAGTTTCCAAAGCAGGGTGCGCCCTCTGGGAAAACCACGCAGGGCTTCCCTGGTTTCTCTGGGGAGGATGAATGCCCTGAATGTGGTGCAGATGGGCAGCGAGGACATTTCTAGGAGGAGTTCCCAAGCCTCTTCAGAAGAGAAAGTGAGCCGCTTAGTGTCATGCTCAGGAAGAGACTCACTTAACGGAAGCAAACTAGGCAGAAGGCTTTATTGCTGGTACCGCAACAGAGCGGGCTGAACCTTCCAGAGACAACCTCGCACCGGTGCAGGGATGCGGGGTGGAGGGCTGCCCTCCATGCAGTCCCAGCCCCAGTGATTGGCACCTGTCTCACTGCCTATGTCCCCCCAGGAAACAGAACAGCTCCTTGCCTTCCCGTCTGAGCCAAGTCTCCTCAGGGGACAGCCAGTTTGCAGGCAGCTTAAAAGTTTGACATGTTATAAAGTTTACCTTTGTTTTCTGTTTTTTTTTGTTTACATTGAAAAGGTAAACCTTTTCATGTGCTCTCCTTTGCTTATTTTCATTACCTGCAAGGAGTTGGGTAGGAGGTGTCTTGAAATACCTCAGTGACAGGTGCCCACTCAGACTCTTTCTCTGGAAGCCCTTTTCTTACTGGGGGCAAATGTGGCAGAGAGAGGTCTGATAAGATCATGCCATGCAGAGGTTTTGAGGCCCACCTGGGTCCTTAACTCCAGGGGTAATGTATTCTCCCTTTGGAGCAGATTTTCTTCAAATAAAAGTGATTCCCTCACCCCTTGGGAGTAAGTGGAGTCTCCCATCCCTTGTGTGGGCTTTAGAATTGCCTTGACCTTGACTTTGCCCTTCCCTGACAAGGAACTTCTCATTTGGGGGAGTTTGGTTTTTCCTGATGGATGATAGTTGGGGAAGTCAGAGAAGGCCAAAAAACTCAGGAAGGTCTGGGAACTCTATACTTGTTTGTGGGAAACTGGGATCTGAATGAGAACTTTGTCACTGTCATCTCAGCTGAGGGCAGAGGGGGAGAGAAAGGCCAGCCATGAGCCTGGGCATCCTTAGCCCCGTGTCCGCCCGTCCCCACCTGCACTCAGCACATCTCTCCTCTCACAGCAAAGCCAGGTGACAAGTGGCATGGACAAGCTGACTGGAATCCTGGACTACCTGCACCAGGAGGTGAGGCTTGTGGCTTCCCCAGCTCTGTGAGACCACACACCCGGAGCTTCCTCACGGGCGCCTTCGGCAGCCAAGAGGAAGCTGCCCTTCCCAGGGTTGGCGGGACGAGTTCTGGTTTACTCTCAAATGGCCTCCACTGGGGTGGGGGAAGTGGACCCCCATGAGGGAGATCAAGACCCTAGAGACAGAGAAAGCTCTGGAGGAGCCAGTCTCCTCACCCTTCTAATGAAAATGGGTCAAGTATTGAGCTTTTCACTCTTACAAAGGATGTTTCTGAGAGAGCCTTCTGGGGAGAAGAAGGAAGGAGCACAGTTCTCACTGGGGACTCGGTGACCCCACTCTGTCCTGAGGCCTCTCTCTGACTGAGTCTGGGGCACTGATGGCATTTCTCAAGTGACTGTGATGAAACTGCAGGTCCTGAGAATCCAAGGGGAGCTCTGTGGCTCTCACATCCCCTTCGCTCGCCCGAGAAGTCAGCTTTTCCGTCAGAGAGGGTCTACAGTCCCGTCGCCACCGTGGACCGGCTCCCCTGTTGACACTGTGGTGGGGAGGTGCCCTGCCCACCATGAGGGACAGTGAATGATGCATTTCTGGAATGGCACAGCCAGCAGGGCTGGCAGCTTTGGACTGACACCAACCAACATGTCCCAAAGGGGCCTGCCTGTTTAACCAAGGAAAGACCCGTCATGCTCAACCGGACCCCAAACTGGGCTCAAACCAGGGGTTCCAGAGAAGCCCCTGGGGAGCAATGGTGACTTTGCAAATGTTCATCTTCTCCCTCATATCCTCCTAGGTCCCCAAAGTGTTTGTGAACCTGCTGGATCTCTCTGAGGCAATGAGGGCCCAGCTCAGGTAATAAGGGAAGTGGAATGGGACCAGCATTTGTTGAGTGGCTGCCATGTGCCAGGCACTGTGTGGGCACTTCTCGTGCATTAATCCTGTGAGGGTGATCCAAAGGATGGAGGCTGAGAGAGATTAATCAATGTGTGCGCCATCACGGCCAGTGAGTGCAGAGTCAGGCTGGAGAGGGGTCCTCTGCCAAGTATTGTTTTGAGGACCAGTCAAAGGATGAAATAGTCACTCTGGTTGAGGTAGTGCTAGATGGCCTACCCCCACCAGAATGATTAGAGAGTTTAAAAAACAGGTTTGGCAAAACATCTATTAGCCAAGAAGTGATACTTCTGGAAATTGGAAAGAAAAAAAAAATTAGCCTAAAATTAGGTTATCTTCACAGAACTTGATTCCCATATATTTCTGAAATTTTTCATAGAATTTAAACCCCTTGAACCCAAATCCTAAGATTTCTGGCTTTGCACCCGGAAAAGAAGTTCATGTGGAAAAAAATCAGGGACAGTGAGAGGTGGTGACAATGGAAAGGAGAGGCCAGTGCTGAGGTGGAAGAGAGTTTGAGGAGAAAGGAAGCACAGAGTAGGGGAAGGAAGAACTGGAGGGTTTCTGCTATGGGGAGCAGTGAAGGGATGCAGTGTGTCAGGAGATGGATGAGAGGGAGCCATCTCCACATCCCTTCCCCACCGGAGGAAGGGACAGCTGGGGAACCAGATCTCCACAAGAAACCAACTCTCCACTCTACCCTTTATTGTCTTCAACATGTGCTTCCTTCCTCTTCCTGCATCCTCTAAGACTCCCGACTTCTCCTTCCCCACTCCCTAAGCAACTCTCAGGTCCCCCAACCCTCCTCTTCCCCCAAGGGGCAGCCCGAATGGCCCCAACACTGCATCCACGCTCTCATTTCTGGCTTGTTTTAACCTGCAGCCCCACAGCAGAGCCCTACAGGTGCTCAGAGGAGACCTCGAAGCTGTCCAAGGTTGTGGCACAGTGGTCCTACCAGGTGAGCCTGCACTGGGAGACTGGCTGTCAGCTCACAGGGGCAGGTGGTCATGGAGGAGAACAGGGTTGGTAAGAACAATTAGGGTGCAAGGTTGCTAATGTAGGACTTCTCCAACTGAATTCAAGACCAAGAGTCAGGAACCAAAAAGCTACTCTCAGTTCACTTCCTGGTGATGATTTGATTTTCCTGTATGTAAAGTGGAGATTACACTACCGCGGGTTGGGGTGGGGTGGGGGCAGTAGTGGTACTTTAGGTAAAAGACAGTGAAGAACTTCACAGATTCATTCTGAAATGTTTTTGGTCGTCATCACCATTCGTACTGCTGCATCTGTGGCTGGTGAGCTGGTTTTACACAGGCTGGGCAAAACCTTGTCCAGGGTACAGTCTTGTCCCCCAGACTACAGCACAAGGACAGCTCAGGGCTGCTGAAGATGTGCTTTCTAGTTTGGAGAAGAGACCCCAAGAGAGTGAGGATGGCTCGGTGGAAGCTATCGTCCCTAACAGCAAACAGCTCAAAGCACAGTTCCTACTGATGTGTTAACATGATTTTTGTTTAAGAGGAAAGTTACATACTAATCTATGTAGCACTTCTTTCACATCAGAAATGACATTTTTTTTTGAGTGGTTAATGCCACATCCCTCTACAGAACTTAGCCCTGGAACAGAGTACCGGGGCCCTGGCCACGTGCAGGGCTGGTGCACACATTTGACTCCCAGAGAATGTATTTCAGGTCTATCTCTGGTATTACCTAGTGCTGGGGCTTCAGGGGAAAATGAAAACCCAGTTTAGTTACTCAAAGGGACTCGAAGTGTAAGACACACAAAGGAGCTTCCAAATAGCATTTAATTCAGCACGTGATGGGTAATTCTGACTCAGGGCTGCTGAGGACTTCCTGGTGGCAGGATGGGGCAGCATGGGCTTCGCTCGTGCTCCTGGGTGCACATCTCTCCGCTCCCCTCTTCAGGAAAGCTGGGAATGTCTCCTGGCCTCCAGCAAGTACAATGAGCAGGAGTCCTTCGCGGTTGTTTTCCAGCCCTTCTTGTACGAGACAGCACTGTGGGTAAGTGAGAGCTGCCATGAGGCCACAGGAGCCAGACCAAGAGGAGCCTGGGCCACACCCCCTCCCTCTCCCATCCTCCCTGCTGCAGAAGCCCCAGCCCAGCTGGGCTTCACTGAGCCCAGGATATGCAGTCTCAGGGGGAAACTTTGCAATATTCTTATACTTTCTTAACAATTTCCCCACGGGGTTGGACAGCCCCATAAGGCAGGTTCTTAGAGGCAGAGCACCCTAGAGGTAAAAACCATGGACTCAGCCAGACTCCTGTCTCTGGAATGGGCTGGCTGTGTGACCTTGGCCAAGTTGTTCGAACTCTCTGTGCCTCAGTTCCTCATCTGTGAAACCAGGGCTGTCATCAATATTCCCTCCCTCTAGGGTGGTTGTCAGGATCACATGAGTAAACACGTGAGGACCTCAGAGCACCCCTGGTGCTTGGGAAGCCCTCAGTGTCTCTCAGCTGTTGTGATGATTCAGGATAGAATCTCCAGGGCGCCGCACCACACTCTCTCTGCACACTCTCCACATCCATCCTGGAAGGAAGGGTAGTTTGAGTTGCTCCCCCCCAGGTCACTGGGCACATGCCCCTTGCCCCAGTGGGGCCGCTCAGACCACGAGCACTGTGTGGGTCCACACCTGCTCACTGAAGTCTCTCTGATGCCTCTGGGGCTTCAGCACTGTGCGTCTGGGACAGTCCCTCCTTCTAGGCTCCTGGCTCCTGCCTGTTGGAGTCATGGTGCCTACTGCCAGGACTTCAATGATGTTTAAATTGTGATTTAAAGGGAGGAGGAATATTAGTTCCCATCCCCCCACCTACTCAGACCACCTCCCAAATCACTTCCCTGTCACCACGCCTTTGGCTATTTAGTTCCTTTATGGAGAACTCCATGATAACGAGGAGCAGCCAGACATTTGGCCCATTCCTGCAGGCCTGACTGCAGTCATATAAGCGCTGCCATTGCTGATGGGGTGTGGCTGAGGGTAAGAGTCTGGGTGGATCAGGGCCACCCCATCTCAAAGTGCACGGCAGGTCCATCCCATCCTTGGGGGCACACAGGGGTTGTTATCTGGTTCTTTTCCAGAGGAAGCAGCCACTCGAGGATCCCACCTCACTCGCCTTGAATCTCTGGAACAACATGGTGAGTGGGCAGGGCCCTGGGAGGCTACCATGCCAGCCTGGGGGTTTGGCCTACAGAAGGAGGAGCAGGGTGTCTACCATCCTGCCCACTGCTCTGACAGAGCGGTTGCAGGACACCAGCGGGATCCTAGGATGATGGCTCTGGGCCCAGGGATCCTTCCCACCCCCTGTCACAGCCCAGCTCTCACCGCCTGGGAGTTTCATCTCCTGGTCCCAGGGGCTGGGCTGCAGCTCTACCAGTGAGCAGGGCTCTCTGGGCAGCCTCAGTCCTGCCCTTCCTGGAGGTGGGGAAGTTTCCTGGGAGTCTGTCTGGGAGACTTCACTTGAGGCCCTAGAGATCAGGCTCACGTAGCAATTCTGGCGCCGCTCTCCCTCACTTTACACCTAGGTGCCATCGTGTGGTTTCAAAGGCCCAGGGTGGTTCCTGGAATGAGCATGGACTTTAGAGAGATGAAGACCTGGGTTCAAATCCTAATTCCACTTCTCACAAGCTGTGTGAACTTAGGGTCTCAACTCCCTTTCTGCAAAACCCAGATCATCACCCCTGACCCCACACGTGTCAAGTGTGGAGCTCGCTCCTGACCCACAGTGAGCTCTCAGCACGTGCTGGCCCTTCATACTGTAACTGTGACAAGCTTTCCCAGACTCTGAAGGTCCCCTAGGCCTCTTGGGGGTTAGTCAATGGACGGAATGTAACATTAAAACTTTGAACATTTCCAGGGCACCAGACAAGGACCTGATTTGGCCATTTATTTTTTCCCCATCCAAGCTGCCCTATTTTTAGAATTCCAGTGACAGAAACTTGTTTCTCTTCTTCCTTGGATTAGAAAAATTTCTCTCCATCCCCTCAACTGACGTGCTATCCTGAGGACCATGAGCAGCTGCCTTTCAGCACCCATGAGCCAAGGCAGAGGGCAGGGAGGGGAAGGGAGCCGCCCCAGACAGCCCGTGGCAATGAAATCACACTGCCCTTTGGAGAAGGCATTTGGTTTCTTTGAACAAGGATCCTTGTTAGTGGGCCTGACCCTTGGGTGGGATACTCCCCCAGCAAACCATTCTCCTGCTGGTCTCCTGTGAAGGGCAGAGAAAAGGAACCTGCCCCGTCCTGCAGGGGCTGCCCACCCTCCACCCCATCCCTGGGGGAGAAGGGCTGATTATTCCAGCTCAGCAAAACCTCTCTCCTCCTGTCCTATATCACCTTTCTCCCAAGCAACCGAAGGGCGCCTACAATGTGCCTGCCCTATGCTGGGCCCAAGGAAGATATGGGAGACACACCAAGCAGCTTCTGCCTGTATGAGCTTAGGGTAGAGTCAGAAGGGTTAGGCACCAGAGGAACAAGATGATGTGCTAGACTGTGCATCCCAAAGCGACATGGGCCAGAGGTCAGGGCCCCGTGAGGATGGGATTCCAATTGGTTTTGTGGGATTTGTCGGAGGAGGTCGGGGTGGACATTCTTAAGCAAGAGGACCTTTGTGAGCAAAGAGCATGGAGAAAAGGAGCCAAATGCATCAGCAAGGGACAGGAGGAGGATGGTCTGATAAGAGAGGAAACATGGGGATAAGGAGGCCTTGAGAATGAATGAAGCACCTTGATCGCCAGACAGAAGGAAGCTAGAGAGAGCAGATCCCAGGGAAAGGGCTCCCTTTTCTCTCTGTCTCCCTTCAGTCACAGTGGTGGCAGCAGCAGTGATAACTGCCTTTACTGAGCCCGAGTGATGTCCTGTGCGTTCATTGGGCACATGGCACACACAGTGTCCTGTAACCCACTTGAGGGCGAAGGTGGGCAGGTGCACAGAGGGAAACAGAAGGTCTCACACTCAAGGCCAAAGGACTGGGACATGGTAGGTGTCACAGGGGCTCCGAGAAGGAAGAGGAGGCTTTCCTGGGTGGGCATTTACCTGCCCAACCAACCACCAGCTATTTCCTGGTTCGATTCCTCAAGCTTCCTGCAGTGGGGCCAGCGAGGAGGGAGGGTTTCTCCAGGTGCGTCTGCCCTTGGCTTCCTCATGGGCAAAATGCCAGACCATCCCACGGCTCCTGGAGTGAGCACAGCAGAACACATGGACGGCTCCTGCAGGCATGGGTTAATCCATGAGAAATTAGGAACATAACAGGCTAGGGCAAACGGCACTGGGTGAGGAGCCAGAAAACCTGGGTTCTGGTTCCAGCTGTGCTTTTGGTTGTTTCTTGAGGTGAGTCACGTGGTCTTTCTGGGCCTCCATTTTCTCTACTTGCCAGTGTCAGAGGGTCTTGGGAGAAAACAGGAGCGGTTCACCTTTGGGTTCACTCCTGTGTCCTCCCATGGAGACGGGGAGGCCAGAAGTGCCTCTGCCTCCATCTCTGTGAGCCTCTGCTGTGCTGGGCTTTATTGAGACCACAGAGGTAAAAGCCAGGTATGTCCATCCGTGCCCACATTCAAAGACACACAGAGCCCCAAATGAGGGCCACCCTCACACATGGGGAGCAGAGAGGAGCCTGCAGAATTGCTGTGACCACAGGAGCCCAGGTTCTACTGTGATAAAAAAACAAAATTCCAACAGAGTAAATTTGAAGATCTAATTGGCTTTCTTCACGATTCAAGAACGGGGCAGCATCTCTTCTAGCAAATAGAAGGGCATTCAGGAGTTGGACAAAATGGAAAGCTTTTACAGGCAGAAGGAGGGTGGGGTAAGGAAGCTATTAGCAAAAGGAAAGAAAGCATTGCTTCAGGCCAGGATATCTTCTTATGGGGGGAAGAGAAGGCAGGGGTTTTATGTAGATTACCTCACTGCTGCTCACCTGGAAATTTCAGATCGACTGTTAAAAAGGTCACACTCCTAGGATTCACTGAAACTGTAATTAAGTCTTGGCTTGCTATGATGGGGTCAAATGACTCCATTTTGGGCCTGTTATTTCTTTTGTAACAACAGCTTCTCTCCTGACCACACTCCAGGACACAATGGTGGGTATGGCTGTGCAGGGCCATACCAGCTTCTGCTCTCCCTGACCAAGCCCCAAAATATGTGTTAAGTGACAAGGGCCAGTGGAGGAAGACTCCACACACCCACACACAGTGGTTGTGAGCGGCCCTGTTTCTGAAACACACTTGGAACCATCCCAGCTGAAGGAGCCCCCTAGACTGAAGCTGAGCCCCTGGCACACAGCTGAGGAGGATTTTGTGTTGCAGACATAATTCATTCCCTAGGCCCTTTCTGCCTCCTCCTCCTCCTCAATAATTTCTAATAATTCTTATATGACAATAGTTTTGAAGAGACCTACCTTTGGGCACCTCGATTGCCAGATCCTTCCAGCCATCATTGACCCTTACCTTATGCCAAGCCCTGTGCAAAGTGCTAGAGCCACGGGCAGGATGAGAACACTCAGGAATTGCTCACAGTCGAGTGGGAATTTGCTCCTCGGAGAGGTCAAAGGTCATCCCTCCCACACCCCCCCCCCATACGCCAGTTAATTTCAGGGTGGCAGGGCAGCTATGCAGAGGAGATGACTATGTGAGCAATTAAAGGACTAAAAAAAGGAGTAAGCACAAAGACCAGCACCCAGTGTCCCTACCCTGGAGCGTACGTGCATTTATGTGCAGTCCAGAGTGGCAGGAGAAGGAGGGACACAAGAGGGATCATTTGCAGTAGTGGCATCATTCTCCATCCTCTCTGAAGATAGATGAGGATAAAGAGTCAGAATGAATGTAAAGAGGACTAGTGGCAGCGGGAAAAATGTGGGTGACTAATAAAGAGACATTTAGGACAAGGTTCTTAATGAGTTTGTTGGGAAAACCTATGAATTTTCCTTCCTTGAGGTTCTTCAAAAATAGGCCCTGCTATATCCATTCTACCAGAATAATTAAGATGTTGCTCTCTCAATGTTTCTTTCCAGACTCTATTATTAATTTAATTCTTGAAAAATGGGAGAAGAGAAGAAGGCAGGCCAGATTGACACTGGGCCACCAACACAGACCCACTAAATGCTCCCTTTCAGAGCAGCCCTGAACATTCTGGGTGGGACCTCCGATTTCTAGGAGGGCCCACCATCTGAATACAACTGAAAGAAGGTGGGGAGCCCAGTTTCGCCTCCAGCCCTTGAGCTCAAGGGTTGACACACCTTTTCCAAAAGGTCAATTACACCCTCTTATCTGTCCATTTGGGTGAAAAGCCAACCCGAGAGGGGTAAATTTCTTTCTTTGCGTCTTGTTTACTGGGCACAAATGCCAGAATAAGATAATGCTAAAGAATCTGAAATCCTAGTGGAGGATGGCAGAGCCCATGACTGAGCCAGACAGGGTGCTCCATCCTGCAGCGCCTCCTCTTGTGTCCCCTGCCAAGGTCCTTGGAAGGGGACATGAGGGACAAAGGTGACACGGGAGCCTAGCACCTGCCGGCAGTAGGGCTGACAGCAAACATGAGGGTCCCAAACAATGGAAAATGGCACATGCAAAAGAAAACCTGTGATCTCTCAAAGCCACTGCATTTTTCTTTTAACCTTTCACGGATACATAATGAACATTTAAAAATACAAAAGGAACTTTAAAAAAAATCCCTCCCCCATCGAATTCTTCAGCTGCCTTCATTTTCCTATCTTCCCATCAATGCTTTTACCTGAGTTTATCACCTGCTGGGACACCATCCATTTTCTGTTTATGTTGCTAGATAGGCTTCAGTTATCATCTAAGTAGCTGCCTGTATCAGAGCTGATATCACCATCACTCGTTCCTGAATCACCGGGCATTCTAGTTGTTTGTGTGTGGGGGCTGTACTGTGTGCTGTGTCACTGTACCTCTGTGTCCCAGTTAAAGACATGGGACTTGACCCAGAACCCATAAGTGGCTGCACTTGCGTCTGTGTAAGCAGGTCCCAGGTAACAGAGGGTTTCATTCCCTACCAGAGGTGAGTTTACGCACACAAAGGGAAGGGGAGCTTTACACAAGCCCATGTATTTGCCCCTCCTTCCCATCCCTGCTCTCCTCTCTGAGGGAAATTTAATCAGTGGGCCAGCCAATAGCTGGGTAGCCAGGAGAGGGGTGAGAAGTCAAGCTGAGTAACTATCCACTGGATGGTCAGGAAGCTGGTGACCCACTGAGAGAGATTTGGTTGGAACCAAGACACTGATGTCCCAGTCCTGTCTCAACCTCTCTGGTGTTCAGTTTCTCCTGTGATTCAGGAAAGCCAGCCCTGGTGGTCTAGTGGTTAAGATTCAGTGCTCTCACTTCCACAGCCCAGGTTCATTTTCTGGTCAGGAAACCACACCACCCGTCTGTCTGTTGTCATACTGTGGCAGCTGCGTGTTGCTGTGATGCTGAAAGCTATGCCACCAGTATTTCAAATACCAGCAGGGTCACCCATGGTGGACACGTTTCAGCAGAGCTTCCAGACTAAGACAGACTAGGAAGAAGAACGTGGCCACCCACTTCCAAAAAAGTTGGCCATGAAAACCTTATGAATAGCAGCAGAGCATTGTCTGATACAGCGCTGGAAGGTGAGAGGATGGCCCAAAAAGACTGGGCAGGGTTCCGCTCTGCTGTACCCAAAGTCGCTAGGATCTGGAATCCACTCGACGGCACGAACAACTAAAATATCAGGAGAAGTGGACTAGGAATCAATGATCTTCTCATGCAGTGGGCCTCAACTTGAGCATGCATCAGAATCCCCTGGAGGGCTTATTAAAACTCGGAGAACTGGACCCCACCCCAGAGTTTCTGACTCAAGTAGGTCTGGAGTGGGGGCTGGAAATTTGCATTTCTAATGTGTTCCCAGGTGATGCTGCTGCTGCTGCTGGCCCAGGGTCAAACCCTGAGAAACACTGGGCTAATGAGTCTTTCTCACTGGAACCCTGGAATGCTGCCACCTGTGCAAGACTTTTCTGTTCTAAAGATCACCTTCTTTTCTAGATGAAGCCAGCAGGACAGAAAGATGAGCCATTCAGTGCAGAAGAGAGGAAGCTGGTGAAATGTCCCTCTGAGGTAGGCAAGGACTGGGTGGGAGAGAGAATCTCTTGCTGAATTGGGGAGAGAGATGGAATAACCAAGTGGGCTTTGCTGTGAAGTGGGGTCTTCCCTGGCTGAGACTTTAGCTCCTAGAGTCTTGGGGCTGTTCTTCTGGGCCTGGGCACAGCTTTGCATACTTGGCACACTTAAGGTTTATACACCTGTGAGCCAGGAAAGTCGTTTTAGCAGAACTGAGGCCCCTTCCACGCCTGTGGCATTAGGGACATAGGGACAAAGCCACAGCTCATCTGGCCCCAAATGTGAAGATGGGTGTCTTAAATATGTGCCTAATATGTAAGTAGGCATGTAATTAATGTTGCTGAATAAATGGATGAGAAAATAACTGAACATAAATGAGTAGAATTCCTTTTATCATTTAATGCCAGTCAAATTTTTGGCTTTCTTAAATGAATTAGAAAGTTTTTTGTTACTAGGCTGTAAGAACTCTATAATTCACCCTGCTTTCCTCTTTGCTTTGGCTGCCAGGAAGCTTAAAATTAAGTTCTCTTTTCATGGAAATATATGTACTTTGCCTAGTAGCATGAACCACTGGGTAGAAAGCAAGAGATGCTGACTATTGCAGATGGGAAATTTCAAAGCATTAGTGAGCTCCGTCAGGGAACTAATGGGTAGCACAGAGAAGAAAACCAGAGAATGGTTTTCTCCTCATTTAAAGGATGGTATGAATGTTCCAAATTGGCCAAAGGCATTGCTGGATGGTAAAGCCTGATGATGAAAGGATATGGACTTCTGGGTCATGGTTACAACACATTACCTTTCTCTGCAGGAGAATCCCTACCTGTTCACCTACAGGAACAGCAACTACCTGCCCACGATGACAAAACTCGCTGAGAGGCTTGAGGTATGGAGAGGTTTTCTGTGATTGACAAATATGCAAATGAACCAGGGGCCATACCCCTCCCTGAGTCTTTGGAACCTTCCACGTGGTTCTTTATGTCCTGGAACCCTGTGGGCAGGCTGGGGAAGGTGAAGGATCAAGTGTGTTGCTGTCACCTCAGTGCCTGAAGCAGGTCTGCCCTATGGCTCCGTCTTTAGGCTTCACAGAGTGTGTTGGGGTGCTCAGCACTACCTGCTCCCCATCTATTTCGATGTAAGACAAGATTCTTCAGGCCTTTTCCAAATCTCTAACAAGTTCTTTTAAACTCATCTGAGCCCTTAATCCAAGAGAAAGTTAAGAAAAGGCAGAGAAATGTGGTGAAGTCTGAAACCAGACAGCATGGAGACCGAAAGGCCTCAGAAGTCGGCCCACACCTGCATGGGCCACCTCACCCTTACTCACGTCTTGCTTATTGCTTATCTCATGACTCTGATAATTCCTGGCAAGATTAGATAGGGCACCCTGCACTCCTCTGAGGAACTAAGAAACACTTGAATGTTGATTTCCTCCTTCTCAGAGGACGGGGAACTGATAGGGCTTGAGACAAATTCCGTCCTAGTGCCATCCCTGCCTCCCTATCGTATAAAAGAGGGTGAGATTTACTCCATGTGGTAGAGGCAAAGCCGATGACCTGGGCCTCCATCACAAAGCGCGAGAGATACAGCGCGAAAAACTCTTGATTTATCAACTTGTCCCACACTTTCTAAGTAATATCACGGCAAAGAGGATACACGTGAGAGGCAGCAGGGCACAGTGAGGTGAGAGAACTGGCTCTGGATTCAAGTCCAGGTTTGTCCACTTACCGGCTCTGTGTCAATGGGCAAAGTACTTGACCTCTCTGCCTTGGTTTTTTAATCTAGGAAATGGTAATAGTCATAGTCCTACCTCACAGAGTTGTTGTTAAATTGTAATAAGTTAATAAGTATAAAGCAGGTATAACAGTATCTGGCATGCCATGAGTTCTATATGTGTCACTGTTATTATCATATGTTAAGAGGGAGCAATACATTCCTTCAGGATACATTTATTGAATACCCGCTGTAGAGCTTGCTGGAACGCAAGCTCAGGGAGGGCAGGGACTTAGAGTAGGCACCTAATCACTACTTGTTAACTGACAAAGTGGGTGGGTGGGAGGATGGATGGATACCAGGCATAGGAGATAAAAACGCAAATAAAATACATTGCTTGTCCCAAGGAACTCGGTCTAGTGGACTTGACCAGCAATTATAGCACAATGGAATAAGTACTATATTCTGGAAACTCACAGAAGAGCAACTAACAGACAGGAGAGAGTTGGGAAGGCTTCCCATGGCCTCAGTCTTGAAGGACAACTAAGGTTGAGCCAGGTGGATGGGAGTGTGGGCAAATGCAGGGAGGGAAAGGGCGAGGGAGAGTGGAGGTAAGTGATTGGGCAAAGGACTGGGGCATAGAGAGCAGGGAAAAGGCTGACCGTTTAGAATGTCTGGGGGCCTCTTAGGCCACGCTAAGCGGATGGACTTTATGCTGATGTTAATACAGACTAGAAATGTGTTGGTTCAACCAACAAACATATATCAAGCATGTACTGTGCACTGTTGTAGGCTCTGGGGATACAATAAACAAAACAGACAAAAATCCCTGTTTTCACTGAGAATTTGGGCAGGGAGTGACCCAGTTATTTTATGTTGAGAGAGAAAGTCATCTGGATGGATTCATAAGCTGGGGAGGAAGCCCACGGGACTGAAGGTAGTGATGTTGTGAATACTGCGGTATTCCGGACAAGAAGTAACAGAGGCCTGCACTTGGTCTGAGGTAGAGGGATGGGTCAAGAGGCGACCGCACTGGGAGCGTTTGGAAAGGATGTTGTGGACACTTGGATACGAGTGTTGAAGGAGAGGAAGAAATCTTAAGAGATACTTCGGTTTCTACGTGACGTGATATTTTCTAAAATAGAGGCCCCATTCTCACCCAATTTCTTATGTTGCAAGATCTATCTTTCCTTATTTCTTTGTGTATCTCATTTCAGGTGAGAGAAGGAACAGAGATTGGGTGCCCTGACAGGGATCCCTCCGACTCAATTCCCACCTCAGGTACTCGGCTTAAGTCAAGGGATTTTTTTTTTCCCCTTTTTCTCCCCAAAGCCCCAGTAGATAGTTGTATGTCATAGTTGCACATCCTGTCTAGCATGACTGGACAAGCGGTGCATCGGTACACGCCCAGGATCCGAACCCGGGCCGCCAGTAGCGGAACGCGCGCACTTAACCGCTAAGCCATGGGGACAGCCCCAAGTTAAGGGATTTTTAAACCCATTTGAGGCCCAAAATCATCAAAATGAGGAGCCCCTTAAGATGACAGGGCTTTCCACACAGTCTGAGACACACCTGAGAAGTATTTCAAGGACAATAGAAATAGCTCTGTATTTACATTTGTAAGTTCATGCCTGTGTTTCATTATTTTCTAACTAAAATACATCATTATCAGAAAGCATTTACTGAGCATTAACTGTGTGCCAGGCCACGGTCTGCAAGGAGCCCAGCATTAGTGAGTGAGCTGATGTCATTGTCCCTGCTTTTCAGCCTTGACGAGGTGAATTTTTTCCAAAAAGCAAAACTAGCTGTAAGCAGGAAGCAAAAATAACCAGTGCATACTCCGTGTCAGAACCACATGCAGATTGCACTCAAGCACTGCACAGAACAGGAAAGCACCCCGTCTTATGAATGTGCCATTTTCACTGCTTCTCAGTATTTCCAAAGTGACTGTTGCTGGGCCATGAAAATGAGACTTATGGAATGTTCTAGGCAGAGATCTTCCCAAAGAATGGCTGTCTAAAGGTTGGACCTTTTCCTCCAGGTGAACCAGCCTGGAGTGATGGCTGTGTGCATATGACTATGGGAGGTCACAGGAGGGCTGTATGGTGACACTCATGACTCAAAACATCAGCCCTGGAGCATTTCTGTAACAGTGCAGTGGGTTCCTGTGCCTGGTTCTGGAGGGTGACTCATATGTCCATTGATTTGTTCACTTGATCATGCATTTATTAGATGATTGCTGAATGCCTCCTATGTGCCTTCCAGGAGAGACAGTTAAGTTTGGGGATGTCACAGTGCCTAGAAGGAATCTTTCAGGGATGCAAATCTTTGTAGTCAGGTTGTCTCCTTTTGCTGAGTGTTAGTAGAGCAAATAATTGCCCTGGCTGTTAGCCTGCCCGTCATGCACATCTTAGCTCTACACACTCAAAGTAAGCCAAATGATTGGCAAGTTAAAAATCTTCTCACCAAAACTTTGCTTATATAGCTGACTCTTGTTCTAAGTTGCAGCATGGAATAGGCGATATAGATCTTACACACACAGTCTTTAGATATTTTCCCCCTACACTTGGTGACAACTCATTCCTATTGGTTAGTTTACTAGCAGGACTTTAGCAGCAGAAAGAAATTATTAGCTTCATATGTAGACCCTCCTATAGCAAAAACTCAAAGGTGTATGTAGGCACATATGTATGTGTGTCTATAGAGAGAGAGGGAGAGGGAGAATTTGCATTTTTTTATAGCCATACTTTACAGTGAAATAATATCCATCCCATTTTTAATCTCATCAATCTGAAGGATGATCTATAAAGCATTTTGCAATCTGTCTAGATTATCTTCCTATCACGACAATGATAACCAACCAGTCCATGAGAGCGTATCTCAACATCTGAAAGCCAAATAAAGTGTGAACCTCTTCTTTATTCCCTGGCCCTGAAGATTACTGTGTTTATTGGCACATGAAGATGTAAGCACAAGAAATCTCAGGACCTTGAGATCTGAGATATTCTGGTGATAGGAGCTGTCTGAATAAGAGATGGGTAGATTTAGGCATCCTTGATCTAACCAAGTGGGCGTGGAACCAAGACACGCATGCTGTCCACTTGGGTGGCAGCACTGACAGATGAACACTGGGCCTGTACTTCTGAGTCTCGCCTCAAAAGTGCCATTTAGAAAAATCGCCCCAGATAACTGGACAATAATGAAAAACACATTTCATTCCTGTGCGTGATCTATGACTGGAGATTTTAACCCTACTTGTGACTGCTGGGGGAGGCAAACCAACTCAGCGTAGGGCCACATTATGATTTTTCCTTGATAATTGTCATGTTTCTGTGAGGTCGTTCACTCTTCTGGAGATTGTGTTTGCCATTTCTAATCATGATGAAGGCATCTGATGCATACTTATAAGAGCAGATCATCTTATCTTTATACTCCCAATGACTCACATGGTGGTTGTTAGTGCCATCAAGTCGATTCCAACTCCTAGCAACCCTTGTGTTCAACAGAGCAGAACCCTGCCTGGTCTTTTGCTCCATGCTTTCACCTTCTGGGGCTATACCAGACAATGCTCCACTGCTCTTCATAGGGTTTTCACGGCCAATTTTTTCAAAAGTGGGTGGCCAGGTCCTTCTTCCTAGTCTGTCTTAGTCTGGAAGCTCTGCTTAAAGGTGTCCACCATGGGTGACCCTGCTAGTTGAAATACCGGTGGCATAGCTTTCAGCATCACAGCAACACATAGCACCACAGTATGACAACCGACAGACAGGTGGTGTGGTTCCCTGACCGGGAAACGAACCCAGGCCATGGTGGAAAGAGCGCCGAATCCTAACCACTAGATGGCCAGGGCTGGCTCAGCACATGCAAGGAGACGATAAATGGTTTTTGAACTAATCTGAATCATTGAGTATTTCTAATTAATCAAATCAATAATTCTCAGGGTTGAAAAGGATCTTAAAAACCAACTAGACCAAAGTGCCTTCCATTAAAACAATTTTTCACTAAGACTATCTTTAAAATAACTGTTTTGCCATCAGAGTTATTTAAAAAAACACTTTCCTTGTAGTCCCCTTGTCTGGTGTTTCTCTCAAACCAATCCACAGATACTCACAGCTAACCAAAAGTGATGTTTCAAAATAGGATACTGCCTTCGTCAACAGGCCATGGCCCCTAGCAGCCCTGGTGCCCCACTCTCATTCCCTCTGGAGCCCACAGGTGATGAAGCTTTTCCACTGATCCATGGGGCTTTGGGATGAGATAGAGTTGATCTAAGTAATTTTTTATAGCCAATTGGCATTTGGTAGCCAAAAGTAAAATATAAGCTTCTAATTTTTTCCTCCCAGTCAGTGCACACATGCAATTTGCTGCGTGCTACCTCCTATGGGCTTTATAACTTCATAAATACTTGCATTATTTTATATTACTACACGGCTCTGTCCCTAACATAGTTGAGATAACTAAGAAAAAATATGTTGGGCCTAGTAGCTGATTTAATGTTTCCCCAGGGAGAAAAGGAGTAGCATTTTGCAAATAAAAGTGGCAAGAAAGAGCCAGAGGGGCCACGGCTCATTGGCTACCTATTGAAGTTGGCTATCTATTGAAGCTGGCTATCTTGATGTCAAGCTGCTAATTACATGCAGAGGGAAAAATTCATAGTATTGAAAATAGGGACCTACAAAGATAATTATATGCCACTGTCACCAATAGTATGAATTAGAATAGCTCATTCATTTATTTTAAGCCATTAACTCCTTTCTAAGCTCCTGATGTCATTTATCTGACCCATTTGGCTAAAATGAGCTATTCAAAAGCTGATAGGAAAAATGCCCAGGTTACAGCACTGGGTGATCATTGAGAGTTTCACTTCATGGGAGCCAGCAGCGTGATGTTCAGTGTAGACCCCAAAGCCTTTTCCATAGTCACCCCTTGTTCATGGGTCTTGTGACTTAACCTAGCCTGTGACTAGGAAGTAATAGTGGACGCCCCACAAGAAGAAACCACCTGCTTGTCCCTAGGCAGGACCAGACTACTGAGCAAGTTCAAACTCACCCCAAGACAATTGGATGAATAAATGCTTCCCTTCCCCATAGTTTCCATTGTTAAAGCTTTGAGAGCTGTCAAGTACTTGATACAGGGCCACTTAGTCTTTCCTTCAACTTAACACATTTCTTGAGCTCCTACCGTGTGCAAGGCACAGAGTTCTTCATATAAACTCACAGTGAAGGACTTCAGAGACGGAAACAAGCTTCCAACCTTGTGCCAACCATTGTAGAAGTCTTTACATAAGCCCCCCAAATCAGAGAGCAGGTGGGTTGGGCAGCCATAGCTGACAAGTGAAAGAAAGGTGGTTTTTCAGTAGGCCCCAGGTGGTTGACGTTGTTGGATTACATAAAACAAAGCTCCCAAGTGCTAAGTCTTTCTCCTGGGTGTAACTTTTCGTGTATAGTTGGCAGTTTACCCAATTCTCTAGTCTACTCTTTCCTTGCTATTCGTGATATTTCATCACAGTTCAGATGGCCTTCTGATAAGAGGCCCCTTCTGTAGAAATCTCAATGAGTTAATGATGTGTTTATCAACTTCTTTCAAGGTAGTGGACAGTTTGTACCAGACAATGCTTAGCTAATCAGCGCACACAAATTTAATCTTATCTCTAAATAGTTCTTTCCTCAAGGAGACCAATGGCTAAAGTGCTTTGCTGTGTTTGCAGGCTGTGTCTTTGTCATACATGATGATATTCACAAAGCTCAAATCAAGAGCTACAGAATATTAAACCAATGACACGTTTTGGGCTCTATGTTGTTAAAATCCCAGATAAGTCAAACTCCTCCCATCTAGGATTGGCTCATTTGATTTATTCTCTCTTGGAGGGAATCCTTCAGAATGACCAACATGAGAACCCCGCCCCCCCAAATCCATCTATCTGTCTACATATATCTATACCACATAGATGCAGACATGCATGCATGCGTGTGAGTGTGTGTTTCCTTTCTGTCTGTATTTAGGATACAGGAATGGCCAGTTTCAGCTGTCTCTTTATCAAACTGTAATGCACTTTTGAAGCAAATCTATCTATCTCTTCCACATTTTATCAGCCCCAAAGATTTCCCCTAACCTTTGCACACTAGATAGTGTTCACAGAGTTCACTGTATTAAGCCTTATAGCAACAAGAATATGGTGATAGACTGTCGCCACCAGGAGCTAAAATAAACCCTCTAGAGTTGAGGGGAGGAGGTCTGATTTTCCATTTTTTTGCCTTCTTTTTTACCTACAGCCTGATTTCTTTGAGAAGAGGTCATTTTAAAGTTCTCGGGCCCCGCCCCGTGGACGTGTGCTAATGTGTGCAGCTGGCTTTGTGATTTGATATTGTTCTTCTAACCACAGATCCTTGGGCCCACCCCAGACCTACTAAATCAGAAACGCTGAGGGTGGGGACCAACCATCTGTGTTTTAACAATCTCTCCAGATGATTCTGATGCATGCTCAAATTTGAGGACCACTAATCTATATATTTTGCATACACATATTCACAACTATGTATATATTAGTTTTCATGCTGTCATAGGAAAAATCAGGGACTTTTACTTTTCTAATGAGAGCAAATCCTCAGTGGGGGTGGCAGTTCCCCATCTGCAGGTAGCATGGAAGTCAGGTAGACAAGATGTCTCCACGGAAGGTGACAAGACCTGGATCTCCAGGTCCCTTTGAACAGTGTGTCCACTGAGTGTCAATACAGCTTCCTACGCAGGTATAATTATACACCCACGATTTGGTGTTGACGGGCACAATGGGCTAAATGTAGTCCAGCTGTGTTGAAAGCATCTTGTTCTCTGTATTTCACTGCATGTTTTATGAGTGACTTGACAAAGAAAGGCTGTCAAGAAAGCCTCCTTGGGGTCGCCCGGTGGCACAGCAGTTAAGTGCACGTGCTCCGCTGCCATGGCCAGTGGTTCACAGGTTCGGATCCCAGGTGCGCACCGATGCACCGCTTGTTAAGCCATGTAAAGTAGAGGAAGATGGGCACGGATGTTAGCCCAGGGCCAGTCTTCCTCAAGAAAAAAAAAAGAAAGCCTCCTTGCAGACAAGTTTCAGTTTATCCATTGTAAGCAATGGCCCACTGAAATGATGGGCTTCTTCCCTCCAGAGGTGAGTCACTCCTGGCACAAATGCTATACTAGACTTCTTCTAAGGCATGAAAGCTATTTGAAAATTTAGTTCAGCATTGCACCACTAGAGACAATGGAAGGGACATCTGAGGAAAGATGGAGCTACGTCAGTCAGGGTAACTATGGGAGTAAAGTACTCTGGGGGAGTGGGAGGTGTGCTTGTGATTTGAGGGGACAGAGCTATATATGGCATAAGGAATTTTAGGTGTGGTCCACCAAATGCACTTGGATTCATGTTCATATGTGTATAAGGTAAAGGGGTGGATTGATACCATACAAGTGTATGTATGCAAGTTATTAAATATATGTATAGCAATATTCATGTTAATCTCCTCACTTGTTAGCCAAGCATAAAAGGCCTGTGGTCCCAATCTACCTTACCAATGTTATTTAGTCTCCTTCATATACCCTTCACTTAAGCCAAACTGTATGACTAGCCATTCTTTACAGACCTCACATGCTTTACCAGACTGTATCCGTCCTTTATGCTTTTCTCTCCATCACCCTACCTCTCTCTCCCTCAACCTTATCTCATCATATCCTGAGTTCAAACACCACCTTCTCCATGAAGCCTGTTCTGAACCGTCCCCCCCACACCCCAGAGGTAAATCATCCCTCCAGCTGCAGAGTTTCATATCACTTTATAGCTCTCATAGTGTTCATCAACCTATAAATTATTATAACCATGGATGTTTCTCATTTCCTCCTCAGCCTGTGAGCTTCTTGAGGACATTCTCCATTTCTGATCACTGTGTCGTCCCCAGAGCATCCAGTCACTGCTTAGTGGTCGATATGTTTGTCACAAAAGTAAATAGCTGCTCAGCTACGTTATAGTACGTGCTTAAATTCAAGGGATGGAAAATAGAGTGAGGCTGTGGAGAACAGTTTGATGGTTCCTCAAAAAGCTAAACATAGGATTACCATATGGCCCACCAATTCCACTCCTCAGTATGTACCCAAAATAACTGAAAACAGGTATTCAAATAAATACTTGTACATGAATGTTCATAGCACTATTCACAATAGCCAAAAGATGGAAACAACCCACATGTCTACCAACAGATGAATGGATAAACAAAATGTGGTATATCCATATAATAGAATATTATTCAGCCATAAAAAGGAATGAAGTACTCGCACATGCTACAACATGGGTGAACCTTGAAAACATTATGCTAAGTGGAAGAAGCCAGACATGATAGGTCACATACTGTATGATTCCATTTACAGGAAATATCCAGAATAGGTAAATCCATAGACAGAAAGCAGATTAGTGGTTGTGAGGGGCTACGGGGAGTGGGGAGTGACTGCCTAATGGGTACGGGTCTCCTTTGCGGGTAATGGAAATGTTTTGGAACCAGATAGAGGTCATGGTTACATAACATCGAGAATGTACTAAATGCCACAGAATTGTTGACTTTAAAACGGTTAGTTTTATGTTATGTGAATTTGACCTTGATTTAAAAAAAAATAGTGGTATGAAAGCATTTCCCTTTTCACTTTAGAAAAACTGAGCTGATTTTTTTTAATAGGACGATGTCATATTTTATCCCAAAAATCAACAGATCCTAGAATAGGTTAAGTATTGGTTGCATCTCCACCACAATTCCTTCCTTACTCCCAAATCACAGTGCCAGGGGCTATTTCATGCCCTGCGGGTAACTGCTCATTGTGGCATCAGATTTCACCAAACCCCAGCAGACTCCCCTCTGAAAGCTGGTCTACCTTCCAGGTCCCTAACCCTGCGTCCAGGCACCTCAAAGAGGAACCCCGCAGTCAGGCTCCATGGCAGCTATGGCTGAGCCTTATGACAAGGACAGGCTCTTTATATCTTTGTCTCAGCTGAATCGCTGTTAAAAACTAACTTTCAGTTTTTCTGGAAGATCTTCATTATTTTCAGAGGAGCTAGGAACCCCAATCTTCCATTCACTCCTGCTTGCATTCTCAGTTCACAGGCTGAAGCCGGCTGACATCAAGGTAATCGGAGCGATGGGCGACTCTCTCACGGTGAGTTACCTGACTCTAGAAGGAAAGGGCAGGAGAGGGGAAGATCATGATTCACATGAGAACCTGGCAAGAGAAAATCTCACTCCTAGCTGTTAAAGGCTGCCATCTCCAGTCCTGATCTCCAGTCCTTCTCCACCCTCTGCCCACCCTGGAATCCTGCATTCCTTGCCCATCACCTCCATTCTAACCTCCTCATTCCTCTCCCAATGCCCGAATGAAGGAGAGAGCCAGAAGTGGGGGAACCCCAGAGGGAACATCTGTGATGGAAGTGACCCAGCCCAAATTACACCACCTGTCAGTGGTGGGTGGCACCGGTCGAGGTTTCCCACCCGCCCACGGTGGAGGGCTCCTTCACAGATCCGCTACTTTGTTTCGTCCGTGTAGGAAAGTGAAGGGAGGGTGAAGAGGTGATGAAACAGAACAAGTGCTAATGGAGGTGGGGGTGGGGTGAGAAAACAGGGGTCAGTGGAAGAGACGGAGGTACTAAAAATGATCTCAGCCCGTCTCTGCAGCTGCTCCACGGTGACACCTCAGGCCCTGCAAAGAGCTATCCGTGAAAAGCAAAATCGGGCCCTTAGAGAGCCTGGGTGGAGGGTCCCAGAGGTTCCCAGACACAAACCTCCATTCAATAGCGGCTCATTACAGACGAGTCAGCTGCTGTTCTCTGGGCCAGTAGAATTCAGGGCCTCCAGCTGCACCTTCCCTAAAGACTAGCTGATCCTTTTCATGTCTGTGGCCTATTCACATGGATATTAGCTCATTCAATATCCTCAACAAGATCCTGGGATGTATGACTCTCTTTAAACTTAACCAATAAAGAAGGTGTAGCTGGGTGAGGCGAAGTGAGTGCCCACGGCCACGCAGCTTGTAGCTGCTGGACCAGGACCAGAGCTCATGGGTCCTGACTCTAGTCTGGAATTCTCTCCTTGTGCTGTAGCCCCATGACCCCTCAACGACTCTTCACCCTGAAGGCCCTACTGCTCCTAACCTTCCAGGAAGGACAGGCAGGCTGGTCCTCAGCACTGCTTATCCCAACCACTCCCTGCCGGCTGTGGCCCTATCTCACCTCCCCGAGCCCCCTGTCTCCATGATGCTCTCTGGATAAGGCGTCATCAGAATCAGCACAGCTGTTCAGGACTTCCTGGGGAGGCAGCACTTTGAGTGTGACATAACCGGCAGGTGGCAGAGGAACTGGGCACCAGAGAGCAGGGCTCACACCCTGGATTTCTTTCCTGGAGGCCAGCCCACCCTCCCAGGCTGTCTGGGTGGCCAGCCTTCAGCATGACCTTCGGAATGGCCCTGCTCAGAAATAACAGGCTTTAGGCAAGGGACATGCCCCTGCCGAGTGTGTCTGGATGGTGGTTTTAAAAGAACCTGCTCTTTCTTCAACTGAGGGGCAGGTACATGGCATTTCATTTTATTACTATTTTTTAAATTGTTCATAGGTGAGATATATTGATATAAAAGGATTACGCTATGCTTCTTTTATGATAGATTTCACAACTTAAAAACAATGAGGAAAACAGGACCCTGAAATTTGTCCTTTTGAAAGATGGACCCTGCAGTCTAGTTTTCAGAGCCCTTGGCTAGCCCCGTGTCACTCGGTCTCGGTCGGGGCAGGTTTCTTAGGGTGAGGCCGAGCTGTGAATGCTCCAGGATTCCCAGCAGGAGCACACACGCACCTCTGAAAAGGCAGGATGCACATGGGGATGGGGGGCCATCTAGACTCCAGATTCCAGAGAGTTCCCAGGCCTTCCCAGCCAGGACCAGAGCATGGGCCTCCTGGCCGGCGGGCAGGGAAACTCACCCCTTGTTGTTCCCTCTCAGGCAGCTAATGGGGCTGGGTCCAGTCCTGGGGACGTGCTGGACGTCGTGACTCAGTATCGAGGTCTGTCCTGGAGGTGAGTGAGGGCGTGGGAAGCCCTGAAGATCCCTTCAGTGCAGGGTAAGGGAGGACCCCTGAGCATCATAGAAAACAACTCCTCTGGCAGAGGGATGAGCCGCCTATGGCTGTTCCATGAGAAACTTCTAGGTTTAATTGAGGAAGGTATTTATCAGCTTCCCCAAACCACTACATTCCCCTAAGCAGGGACAGGGACCTGAGTAGGAGGAGTTTGGGGCAGAAACTACATAAACGTTTGGGTTGGAAAAGCATCTCTAGCTTCCATTTCTCCCTCTAGGAAGTAACCGCAGAAGGAGGCAATGCCCTTTGGAACCAGAGATGTGTCTGAACCCTAGCTGCCCAGCTCTGTGTGACCTTGGGCAAGCTACTTAACCTCTCTGAGCTTATCTCCTCATCTTTGATTCAGGGATAATAATACTGCCTGAGTACTGCCGTGAAGATTGGAGAGACTTGAAGCATCCAGCACAGTGCCTGACACAAAGTAGGATTAATGGTAGCTGGCATCATTATTAAAGGGCCTTCGTTTTACAGATGAGGAAGCAAGGCTCAGAGAGGGCAAGTAACCTGTCCAAGGTCACATACCCAGATGGTAAAGAATAAGTAGAGCAGATGGTTCCTGACCCCTAATCCGGCGCATTGCCCCATCGTGTATCGCTTTGTGCAGGCTCGCTCCTGCTCTGTAATCAAATCCAGGCTGCCACAAGCTGCAGTGTGCCGGCCTCCGCTTCACGTCTGTGCTGTGAGACCTGGCTCATGCCAGGCAGGAGAGGGCAGGTTTGGTGTCTCCTCAGCCTAGAAAGTGGCATCTCTGGCACCCGCTGGAACCCGAGTGTTGAATCCCTGGCATCGTCCCTCCTGATGCTGCACAGAGTTAAACTCCAAACATTTTGAGAACCTTCTAAATGTTCCCAGACATACTTGGCAGAGAATGAGGGGATATGGAAGGAGAGGGAATCCAATAAACTCTGGAATGTTGCATGTTTTCATGCCTAGAAACCCATCCAAATTTGATTTCCTTGGAATTTTAGAAGTGGCGTGGAAGATGAGTTGTTCTCTAGAAAACACCCTTTAAAAAACAGGTTTTTCCAACCCAACAGGAAGAGAAGGATGAGGGCAAAGGTCTTTACTGTTTTCAGTGATGATAACACGGCGTTGTTGCGGTGGCTAGTGGGGCAACGCTGGGCTCTGCATCTAAGGAGGGGTCCCTTGCCCTTTAGAAGACAGGGGTGAAGGGGCCCACTTAGTTCCCCTGCCCCCATGTCAAGGCTCCAAGTTAAACATCAACAAAGTCAGCCATGACCCTTTAAATCAGCTTCTTGTTTGGAGGTTCCGGTTTGTGGGGCGAGGGGAGAGGAGTTGCTGTATTCTGGTTTGTTTTTCAATTTTTCTGCTGAAGCAATGACGAGAGGGCGAGCTCCAAGTCCCAAGGGTGTTTCTAAGAAGGAGAAAGGTCTGTCTTGGTGGTGTCTGAGCTGTTTTGCCGTCGCTGGCATTTTCAACCTTCATTTTCTTTTTGTTCCCACAACACAGCGGCGGCGGCGACCAGAACCTCAGCAGCGTCACCACTCTGCCAAGTGAGTACGCGCTCCCCTGGGGGTGAGGGAGGGCTCTGGCCACGCTGCGCGTTTCTGCAGCGCCCCCTGGCGGCGGTAGCGGTCTCGGCAGGGAACCAGGTGACAGGAGACGCCGCATTGGGCAGGGGGCGCTGCTTCCCCCAGGCGGTCGTCCTGCTTGGCTTCTTGATAAAAATTAAAGCCTTGGAGAATTTTTTTCTTTTTTTTTTTAAGATAAATTGTATTAGTCCAAGGAAGGAAGAGAGTAAGAAAGGAAAGGAGAGCTCAGGACAAATCTTAGTGCAAGTCATTATTAAGACACGGTTCAAGAAAGAAGGAAAAGACACCCATCTCTGCTTTGCCTGTCGTTCTCAGCAGAGCATATTCTGGGAGGCATTGATCTAGGCTTGGGCTGCATTAGGCACCACTGCATGCAAAGACGTTGAATTCCTGTGTGTCGCTTTAGGAAACGCTGCTTGCAGCAGTAAGAGATGAAGTTACCTTGTTCAGGCTGTGCAAAGACAGCCATATTTGGGGCCCGAGGTTTTCCTTCAATTACTTTGCCAACGTACCTGCTTGGAATGATTTTTTAAAGCCTGTCTACATTCTCTGAAGGGTCTTGTCTTATTCATCTCTTTATTCCCCTTAGTGCATACACATCACAGTGCTTGTTCTTAACATACACATGCAATAAATGTTATGATTGCATTCTTTTTCCTTAAAATCTTCTGGCTGATCATTTTGCCCGAGAGGAATGTAATTGGTCCCATTCTCATTTACTTTTCTTATAATTATCCCTTTGTAATACATCTTTAGGAGCTAAGAAATTATTTGAGCTTTAACTCACCAAGACTTCATGATAGAGACGGCTTAATCTCCACCTAGGCAGAGCTGGTTGGGCTTCAAATAGCTGTTTTGGCTATTTGCAAATCCTGTTGAATTGAAGTAGGTACAGTTCTGTGGCACAAGTACTCCATCTTCTTTATTTCTAGGTCTACACACAAGAGCTCTAAATAAGCTCGCCTAACGCTAGGAGATGGTTTGGGTTGCTTTTGTGAGTGTGATTGACTTGGGTGTGGGCTGGCCGGGCATATACAACAGCTTGCTGGGCTCTCTGATTTCCATGCTATTATCATTTATAAGATGATTGGAAATCATCCAGCTCAAGATCTTTCACCAAAGGGATTTATAAAGCATTGAGACAATGTTAGCCCTCCAGCGGAATCCCCTGACATACTTCATTGTGTGTGATGCCCAGTAATGGAAACTTCCTTACTCGAGATGTGAAGTCAGTTTGATTGTAGGGGCTGGTTAATCCAGGGGAAAATAACTACATGGAAATGTGTTAGAAAACTTACAAGAACATAGGGTCAGAACAGAATCTCAGTGCAAAACTCCGCATTTAGTTTAATCCAGCCAATACTCCAGTGCTGGGTGCCTGGGAAATAGGAGAATTAGGCGAGATCCTTGCCCTGATAACATCACCAAAGTCTCTTTGGGGACGTGTTTCCCTAAAGACAGACACACGTACCAATAATAATTATAGCCATGTACAAAGTTTAGGGGAAAATAAATAAGGCTACTAACCTTGCCTTCTGAAAAGGGGCTCTAAGAACTAGAATTGATCAGGTGAGGAAAGAGGATGGAACATTCCTGGCAGAGATAACTGCATGCATCAGCGAGTTCTTGCCCTATCTAATGTGTAGTGCCTCTCTATGACATTCCTCATAAGTAGCTAGCTAGCCTGTGTTGGATTCTTCCAGTAATGGGGAACCTACTACCTCCTAGGACTATCCATTCCAATTTCAGATAGCCGTAGTGATTTCACAGTTCTTCCTTCTCTTGTGTAGAAATCAGAGTAATTTCCGTCCATTAATACAATGTCCCCAAAGCCACAAGGAATGAGTTCAATCCACCTGTGTTGTGTAGACCATGCAGCAGGTTCTAGAGAGCACTCTGCTGGGTGGCATGGGTCCCTAACGTCCTGGCTGCTACCTAGCCAGTTCCTTTCCCACATCCTCGTGGATTCTGGGACAGGGGAAAGTGCCCTGTGTTGGAGCTGAGAGACCAAAGTTCTAGCCTGGGGTTCTATTCTCACCAACTATGTGACTTTTAACCATTCTCCTAACCTTTCTGAACTTTGGGTTATTCTTATTTCAATCCATAAACATTTATTGTGCACATGGGAGGCTCTGGGGTATGTACAGACCCTGTTCTCAGCCGAGTTGTGAAGATAATAAAGTGAAAAGTCAAGTGTAGATCCAGTGTGGTAAAGGCATCAGAATGCATGAGATTGAAAAGATCAACAAAATTGACAAGGCTTTAACTAGACTGACCAAGGGATGGGGGGAAGAAAGCCTCAAAATCAAGAATGAAAGAGGAGACATTACTAAAGAAATAAAAAGTATTATAAGAGAATACTATGAACAGTTGTATACCAATAAATTAGACAACTTAGATGAAATGGAAAAAATCCTAGAAAGACACAAATCACTGAACCAGATTCAAGAAGGAATAGAAAATCTGAATAGATTTGTAACAAGCAAAGAGATTGAATTAGTAATTTTAAAACTTCCCACCAAAAAAAAAAGTCCAGACTTTCTGGTTTCACTGGTGAATTCTATCAAACATTCAAAGAAAGCTTATTATCACTTCTTCACAACGTCCTCCCAAAAATAGAAGAGGAAGGAATACTTCCCAACTCATTCTATGAGGTCACTATTATCCTGATACTAAAACAAGACAAACATACCACAAGGAAAGAGAACTACAGACCAGTATCTCTTTTGAATATAGACACAGAAATCCTCAACAAAATACTAGCAAACTGCATCCAGCAACATATACAAAGGATTATACTCTATGACCAAGTGGGATTTATCCCAGGAATGCAAGGTTAGTTTAAAATCCAAAGATCAGTTAACACATTATATCAGTGCAATAAAGGACAAATACTACCTGATCATCTCAATAGACTAGAAAAAGCATTTTACAAAATCTAACACCCCTTCATGATAAAAACACTCGACAAACTAGGAATAGAAGGAAACTTCCTCATTCTGATAAAGGGCATCTACTAAAAGCCCACAGCTAACATCAGACTTAATAGGGAAAAGCAGAATATTTTCCTCTGAGATCAGGATGGATCTCTTGCTACTTTTATTCAACATTATACTGGAGGTTCTAGTTGGGGCAGGTGGGCAAGAAAATGAAAGGAAAAGCATCAAGATTGGGAATGAAGGAGTAAAATTATCTCTATTCATAGAAGACATGACTTTATATATGGAAAATCCAAAGGAACCCACTAAAAATTATTACAATAAACGAGTTCAACAAGATTGCAGAGTACAAAATCAATATACAAAAATCAATTGTATTTCTATACACTAGCAATTAACAACCTAAAAATGAAATTAAAAAAACAATTCCACATAGGATAGCATCAAAAAAATTGCTTAGGAATAAATTTAACAAAATAAATGCATCTTTTGTATTCTTAAGATCACAAAACATTGTTGAAATAAATTTAGGAAGAGCTAAATAAATGGAAAGACATCCCATGTTCATGGATCAGAAGATTTAAAATTGTTAAGATGGCAATATCCCCCCAAATTAATCTATGATTCAATGTAATCTGTATCAAAATTCTAACTGGCTGCTTTGTAGAAATTGGTAAGCTGACTCTAAAATTCATATGGAAATTCAAGGGACTTGGAATAGCCAAACAATCTTGAAAAAGAACAAATTCAGGGGACTCACACTCTCGGATTTCAAAACTTACTATAAAGCTGCAGTAATCAAGATAGTGTTACTGTTGTAAGGATAGCCATATAGATTAATGAAATAGAATTGAGAGTCTACAAATAGACTCTCATATTTATGGTTAACTCATTTTCAACATGGGTACTGTCGGGGGAAGAGGGAGAATCTCCCTCTGCCCTTTTCCTTAAGGTTCTTATGGCTGGCCAAATAATTAACAAGACAGGTTAGCAGGAGAAAATAATACCAAGTTTAATAACATGTATACATGGGAGAAACTCAGAAATGAGCAACTCGTCCCTCTGTCTAAGCTGCTTGCTTAAGTATTGCAGCTAAAGGCGAGGAGCGTGTTGGGGGTGGGTAGTGGCCTGGGACTTCAGAGGGCAGGAGGACAATTCTTTTTGGGGTCATCTATAGATAATGTGGTCAGGGAGAGATAGAGTTTTTTGATAAAAGGGGCTTGGTGCCCCTCCCATTGTAACATCTATTTTACATTAACATTACAGCCATCATGATAGAAGATCTGTTCCAGGAAGGAGCCACCATGTCAAATTCTTTAGGCAGTTAGTGGGAGAGGTCAAATGTCCCTCAGAGAAAACAATCAAGGTAAAGAGATATATTTCAGGGTGGCCAAATCTTGATCTCCCACAGTACCAAGACCATTCAATGGGGAAAGAATAGTCTTTTCAATAAATCGTGCTAGGACAACTGGATAGCCACATGCAAAAGAATAAAGTTGGACTGCTACCTCATACCATATACAAAAATTAACTCAAAATAGATCATAGACCTAAATTTAAGAGCTAAAACTCACCCTTAGAGGAAAATATAGGAGCAAATCTTCATGACCTTGGGTTAAACAAAGCCTTCTTAGATGTGACACCAAAAGCACAAGTGAGAAAAGAAAAAATACATTTTACAAAGTTAAACACTGTTGAGCTTCAAAGGATACCATCAAGAAAGAAGAGAATCCATAGAGTGGGAGAAAATATTTGCAAATCGTATATCTGATGAGAAACTTGTATCTAGACACTGGTAGAACTTGTACAACTCAATAATAAGACAAACAAACCAAATAAAAATGGGCAAAGGATCTGAATAGGCATTTCTCCAAAGAAGATATACAAATGGCTAATAAGCACATGAAAAGATGCTCAACATCAGTAACCATCAATGCAAATCAAACCACAATGGGATACCATTTCACATCCATTAGAATGATTCTGATAAAAAGACGACAGATAATAACAAGTGTTAAGAGAATGTGGAGAAACTGAAACCCTCATGCACTGCTGATAGGAACATAAAATGGTACAGCTGCTTTGGAAAAAGGTCTGTAAGTTCCTCCAAAGGTTAAACAGTTACCATATGATCCAGCAGTTCTACTCCTAGGTATATACCCAAGAGAAATCCACAGAAACACTTGATAAATGTTCATAGCAGCGTTATTCATAATAGCCAAAAAAGTGGGAACAATCTAAATGTCCTTCAACTGATGAATGGATAAATAAAATATGGTCTATCCAGACAATGGACTATTATTCAGCAATAGAAAGGAATGAGGTCCTCATGTATGCTACAGCATGGGTGAACATTGAAAACATTATGCTAAGTGAAAGAAGCCAGTCACAAAAGACATATTGAATTGTATCACTCCATTTATAGGAAATGTCCAGAATAAGCTAATCTATAGAGACAGGAAGTAGATTAGTGGTTGCCATGGGGTTGGAGAGAATGGGGAGTGACTGCTAATGGGTTCAGGGTTTCTTTTTAGAGTGATGAAAATGTTCTAAAGTCGGTTGCACAACTGTATGAATACACTAAAAGCTACCAAACTGTACACTTTAAATTGGTGAATTTTATGGTATGTGAATTGTATCTCAATAAAGCTATTGTATATTTAGGAGGAAAAAAAAGAAAATGCATGAGAGAAGCACTTAACCCAGACTCACATTTATTCAACAATAATTCTTTAAGCACCTGTGTGTGCTGCCCAGGTGGTTAAGCATCAGCCTGCTGGACATTGTCTTTCTGGGCCGAGTGAACAGTAAGGGGAAGGGCTTTGGGGTAGGGGCTTTACTTTGTCCCCAGTGCCCACTGGTGCTCATCAAAGGAGCTTGAAGATTGCTTTGGGGTAGTTACTAAGCACATCTCTTCCTTGTATTTCCAGACATCCTCCGGGAATTCAACCCTTCCCTGACGGGCTTCTCTGTTGGCACCGGGAGTGAAAACAGTCCTGGAGCCTTCCTAAACCAGGCCGTGGCAGGAGCCCACGCTGAGTGAGCAGGGGAGCCTTGGGAGTGAACGGCACAGGGCCTCTGGGGACCTGGGGGGAAGGCTTGGCCTAGACTGGGGTGTATGGCTGAAGGCTGGGGGAGTCTAGGGAGAGGTCTGAAGGTCAGAGCTGGACAGGGTGGGCTCTCTTGGGGGTGTCCCTTGCTGTGGGACAGAGCAACCTGCTAGCCCTACCCCAACCCTACCCCAGGGACTGGTCACAATTGATTGTGATGCCAGGGATATGTTTTGAGCAAATTACCCTGCTTTGTCTATGACTCTCATGTCCACATAGGACAGTGGCCGTCAGAGTGCTCACTCTGAGTCCCAGTTCTTATCACTGTGTTTGTTAATGCTCTATCTTTCGTGTCCTCCTTTCCTTCCCTTCCTCAGACACGCTTTTCAGGAAGGCTTTTCAGGCTCTAGACTTTGCATTCTTCCTGTGTCATGGGGAGAGCATTGGTCCTGGGAGGGGAAGCCCTGAGCCTGAGTCTTGGTCCCCAGGCCTCATCTTAGCCTCACCTAAGAGATGGGGCTGGCTGCGAACCTCTCCCCCAGGGGGCTTGTGATGCTCAATGCCGTGCTGAATGCAAAAGTTCTGGTGAGCCGTAAATAGAGAACACGCGTCGGGTCAGGATGGTGGTCCCAGCAACAGTGCACCAGGGCTGCAGGGACCACCATGTTGCGGTCCATGGGCACTAAGTGGCAGGTCCCTGAGAGCAGAGTCGGCTTTCCTGGGTCCTATAGTCCCATTTCTCTCCACTATCCCGGAGCCTACAGTGCTTCTGTGGGTCCGCTGACCGGTCAGAGAACAGGTGAATGCCATGCCCAATCTAGGAAAAATAAATGGAAAGACCTTTTCTGTTTCTTAATCTATTTTTCTTCCAGAAAAACAAACCTCACTTTACCTTGTAGCTCCTAGGGATTCCTGTGTTCTGGTTCCAGATTCCCTGACATCATTTTTCTAGCTCTCAACACCATCCTGAGGCTACAAGCCGCCTGAGTAACTTTCTCATTTATTCACGACAGGAAAGGTGACAAATTATCCAAAGCAGAGATCATACAAAACCTAACAGGTTTTATAATGAATTCTGTGGCTTCATTTTCCTTTTGGTGGGGGAGGGGTGAAAGGCTACTAATTTATTGCTTACAATTTTTTTCTAACTTTAATATTATCATAATTTTGCTTTTTTCCAAGCATATGTCAGCTGGTGGTATAAGAGGAGAGGCAGCTCTAAGCATGACTAGGTCAGGAGGGCATCCAAGGAGAGCATAACCAAGTAACCAACATGGAGTGTGATCCATGTGACCCTGGACTTCTTCCCTGCTCTCCTTGAGGGCCCCTTTCCTGCATGTCGTCCATTGGTCTAAGCACATCCTGTAGGGTTGTAGGGAAGAGTTAGGGATTAATATTCTGATTTTACAGATGAAAAAACTGTAGCACAGGGCCGGCCCCGTGGCTTAGCGGTTAAGTGCGTGCTCTCCGCTGCCGGCGGCCCGGGTTCGGATCCCGGGTGCGCACCGAGGCACCACTCCTCCAGCCATGCTGAGGCCGCATCCCACATACAGCAACTAGAAGGATGTGCAGCTATGACAGACAACTATGTACTGGGGCTTTGGGGGAAAAATAAATAAATAAAATCTTTAAAAAAAAAAAAACTGTAGCACAAAGAGGCGAAGTCGTCTGAACAAATGCCTCACCTCAACCACGTGGTCTGTCTTCCTCGTGCCCTGCAGGCTTTATTCCAAGTCCAATAACAACCCCTCAGACATGTACAGCAGTGTACAGTTACAAACTATCCTTTGTGTATTCCATACAATAGCTGTGAGATGGACAGAGCAGAGGGTCAGATACCCATGTTTTCTTAATGATAATATTGAGGCTCAGAGAGGTTGAGTAATCATCCTGAAACTCTGGTCCATAGAAAGAGCAGCTGATAACTTCAGATTTATAGATGAGGAAACTGAGGCTCAAAGAGGCTAAGTGGCTTACCTAAAGTCCCCACCCAGGTTATCTGATACCTAGTCTACTATGACTAAGACCAGGTCAGTTGGGCTGATAGTTAAGAGAATGACAACTAATGTTTCCTGCTAGGCACTGTGCTAGGCACTTTATTGATGATGGTGGTGGTGGTGAGGATGGTAGAAATAATTCAATGGATCATTTCTAATTGGATGCTTACCATATGCTGGGTGCAGTTCTAAGTTTTTTGTGGGTACCTTGTTTAATCTACCCAACAACTCTATGAAGAAGATATGTTTATCATCCCCATCTTACAAAGGAAAAAACTGAGGGTTTGCGAGGTTAGGTACTTTGCTAAGGGCTCAGTGCTGATCAGTGGTGGAACCAGAATTAAACCCCTGCTGTCTGGCTCCAGTAGTGGCTCTTACTACACAGGGCTGCTTTGCCCATCTCATTTACTGCTCCCACTGACCCTTGAAGCTAGGGGTGTTTATCTCCCCATTTGCAGTGTTTTTGGATTGAGAATTTAAGTCACATTCCCACAGTTAACAAGAGGCAACTAAATGTCAAACCCAGGTGTGTCTGACTTGGCCATGTCCCCTTGAGAGGGAGGGCACCCTGGAGGCTGCGATCATGGCACCTGCAGAAACAGGCTCATGTGGAGCCATGCATGACATGAAACACTCACATGCAGCCTTCTGTTTGCCCTGAGTGAGCCTGGTTTGGAAGAGAAAGAAAAGTATATGATCCAATATACCGAACAGAAAACAATCTCACCGACAGTCACGCCATCACATGTGGAGCGCTCCGCCTTCCCAAAGCAGCCACGACACCACACCCCAGTGGAGACTGAATGGGGAAGTTGCTCTGGGACAGGGCATGGCCTTCAGTCACACTTTCCTGTTACAGAATTGATTCCTGCTCTCTCTGCTAAGTCCCCTTGTTATGAGAGGTTCGGGGATTCGATCGGAGACGTAAAAGACACTTTCCACTCCAAACAAATGGACTGAAGGTATATTTTATTATATAGAGGATAGTAAAGGCGATAGTCTGCAAACAGATCTGAATAGGTCAAATATTAAGAGGGAAAAAACATCAGCCCGACTGGAAAGGGAAAACACCCACATCGGCTGAAGAGAAATGACACAAATCAACCGGAAAGAGAAACACCAGGTTGACCGAAAAGAGAACACATCAAATCAATTACTTCATATCAAATCAATTACTTCACATCAAATCAGTTACTCACAACATCCACGCCCCACTGCCGGGAGAGCCCTGTCAATCGACGCGGCTGGGCAAGGATCACAACTACTGGGCAAGGTGTCCCTTCCACAGGTGGAACTCTCACTAGGGCTCAGTTTCCAGCAGTTTTTATACCATCAGTAATTTTCAGAGTAAGCAATTACAGAGTTTGCAGAGCAAGCATTTAGTGTTTCCATGCACAAAATGGTTATCAGTGGCGTACGTGCACTGAGCCCCCTGGCTAACGTCCCAGCCCAGTAGTTGTGTACGTGCATTGTTCTCTTTGGTTATCGTCTCAGCCCGGCACAGATGGCCAGTCCATTCCGGGCTACGACGCTCCAAGAGCCTTGAAATGTTACAACTTGCAACTCTCTCCGTGGGAGAAAAGCCAGTTCCCGGGAAAAGGCCAGTTCCCACCATGCAGAAAGCAGCTTTTATATTTCTTTTTGTGCTGGTGGCTGTAGGTCAATGGAGGGGCCAAACATGGCTGTACTCGTGTCAAGACACCCCTCCCTGCCCCAGCTTCATAGTCCCTGCTCTTCACATGACTTCTCCCTTTCTTCCTGTGTGTGCCCACAGGGGGTTACCTGCTCAGGCCAGGAAGCTGGTGGACCTGATGAAGAGTGACACAGTGAGTCTGGGGGAGGCACCACCTGGGACCACTTGAGGTAGACCCCCCAGAAGAGAGAGTGGGCAGGAGAAATCCATGGAGACAGAGAGTGTCAGCTTTGGGGAAGGACAGGGCCACATGCAAGTCCAGAGATTCCACCTTCAGAAAAAACAACAAATGATTTAGCACCTACAACCTGTGACCTATGACCTCAGGACCCCAAAACCAAGGAACAGAAAATATTAATGTCCACTAGGCCCTCTGGTCTGTGAGGATCCATCCCTGCCAGTGATCAGCACTTTGTATTTTCCTTGACTTGACTCTGGGGCAAGGCATTTACTTGTTTGTTTACTTTTCATTCCAGAATATAAATTTTCAGGAAGATTGGAAAATAATAACCATGTTTATAGGAAGCAATGACCTCTGTGGTTTCTGCAATGACCAGGTAGGTCTCCAGGCCCTTAACTCAAGACTCCCCCCAGGGAAGGATTTCCACCCCTGGTGCTGGAGCACTGCAGCTGGGTTGGGACTTGGGGCTTGTGGTCTGGCATGGATCCGGCCTGGGATCAACCCCGAGACCAAGAGGGCCTTCATCTCCACGGAGAGATTCAACAGGACAAGCAGGATGGATTACGAGATTGATACTAATTAGGTTTCCTATCAAGGGAGTCTGACCATATCATTCTAGAAACCAAGATGACATTCCAATGATCTAGAAAATTCTGGCATATCTTCATAGATCCTTACAAGTCAGCTCTTTTCTCCAGTGTTGACCTGCCTCACCGTCTCCACCGTCATACCATCATCACCTTCTCGCCGTCGCTTGTAAGGGAAAGTTGACTTGCTAATGCAGGCGCTTAGACAAGGTTCAGAGCCAAGTCATTCAGGGCTGATGGGAAACCCAAGAGCCAGGCTGCTGCCCTGTGGGTGTGGTACGTCTTCCTGGAACCCCAGAATCTCTGAGCTGGAAGAAACCCCACAAGCCATACTGACGAGTCTCCCAGCCACCGCAGGAATCCCTTCCACTGAATCCAGCTATTGAACATTCCCATCAATGGGGCAGTTCTTTAATTTGCAAGGTAGCCTTAATTAGCGTTAGGAGCAAGTGCGGATTGTTTTGTGGAGTTGCTTTATGTTAAGCCCAAATCTGCCTCCTTGTAACTTCTACCTCTTCTGCCTGTGCTGAGCAGGCCTGCACCTCTTCTACATTCAATTCAGCTGACTTTAAAAATAATAGTTTGGGGCCGGCTCTGTGGCTTAGCGGTTAAGTGCGCGCGCTCTGATGCTGGCGGCCTGGGTTCGGATCCCGGGCGCGCCCCAAGGCACCACTTCTCCGTCCAGCGTGAGGCCGAGTCCCACGTACAGCAACTAGAAGGATGTGAACCTATGACATACAACTATCTGCTGGGGCTTTGGGGGGAAAAAAATGAATAAATAAAATCTTTAAAAAAAAAAAATAATAGTTTGGTTTTTTTTTGTATTTTACAAGCATTACACACAGGAAACACATCAAAGTACAGAGGAAGAAATATTCTCTGTAATTACAACATCCAGAAATGCCATTGTTAACATTTTGGTAAATGTCTCTCTAGCATTTTCTGTGAATACAGAGAAATTGCTTTATTATTTTCTAAAAATAGTATCATTCTGAAATTATTGTTTGGTAACCTGCTTTTTTTTTCAGTAGCAATACGTTGAGAAGATATTCCCATGTCAATATTTATTCTTCTATAATTCTTAATGACAGTATAGCAGCCCATAATATAGATCAGCCATAATTTACTTAACTGTTTCCAATTATTGGATACTTAGCTTACATTACTTCTAATTTCACATATTATAAATAACACTGGATAAATATCCATCTTTATGTACATCCATAATTGTTTCCTTGCATATATGCTAAGCAATAAGGTTTTTCAGCAAAGAGATATATACATTTCCCCCAATGTTTTATTATGAAAATTTCCAAACATACTGAGAAATTGAAATAATTGTGTAGTAAATGCCCATATACTCACCACCTAGACTTTACCGTTGTTAACATTTTGCTATATTTCCTTAACACGTATCTATCCATCCATCCGTCTTATTTTTTGGTGACTGCCCATTTTTAATACTTTTATATATTGCCAAATTGTTCCCAGAATGTTTGTACTAATTATGCCTACTTCCCCACACTCCAACTGGCAATGTATGTTATTTGTTTTAATAGCTGCTAATCCGATAAATGAAAAAATCACATTTTCAAAATTTGCATTTATTTGATTACTAGGTAGGAATAAACTTTTATTTCCCTTGTTTAATGCTCAGTTGAATTTCTCCTTTTGCTAAATTCCATATTATGCCTATTGGCCATTTTCTGTTAAGTTTTTTATCTTTTTCGTACTGATTTGTAAAAACCCCTTATATTAAGTATACTAACACTTTGTCAAATATGTTGCCTATTTGTTGTTTTCCATTGAACTTGTTTACAGTGTTTTCTGATAAACAGAACATTTTTTATTTCTAGTATCATTTGCTGGCATATATTATATGCCAGGCACTGTACTAGGAGCTAAGCAGATGAATGAAACAGCTCTGTCCTCAAGGAACTCACAGTGCCGGGGGAGGGAAGCCAAGACGATTCATCATAACATGATGAGAAAAACAGCACAATGTGGTTGTAGTGATGCACACAGAAGAGAGGTCTGAAGTCAGAATTGCCATGGGAATTGGGGGTGGCAGGGGGTATCAGAGAGGTTTACACAGAGCAGGAGACTTTCCAGCTGGGACTTGAAGACGAATATGTTTGTCAGGCAGAAAGGGGGCCAGCAGAGTGAAGTCTAGGGTGGGATGAGTCTCGTCTTTAAGTGATCTGATTGGGCTGTGGGTCCTCAGGCACTTGAGGCTCTACATCAGGCCATGGAACCAGAGAATGTTCAAGCTGCGGGAGATCTTAGAGGTCCTCTGCTCCAACACGCCATTTTAGAGGGCCCTAGAGATGTGATGTGCCTTAGCTAAGGCCCTGCATTTAGTTGATATGAAGTGGATCCAGAGCTTTCCAAAGCTCCATGCAGAAGAAAGGGTGTTTTCCTGAGGGTCACAGCCATGACAAGCCCAAGGACCGTGGGGTTGATGTGGAGGCTGTGTCCCAAAAGGCAAACCTGTGTTTCAGTGTTGTCCACTCTGGTTGAAATACAGAAAGGAGGGGACCCAAGAGGGGAAGCGACGATGGTCTACAGAGAGATTGGGTGACATTTCCTCTTCTTGCAGGCCCACTATTCTCCGCAGAACTTCACAGACAACATTGGGAAGGCTCTGGACATCCTCCATGCCGAGGTACGGAGGCAGGGCCACACAGCCTCTGAGCAGCTCAACTGAGTCCTTCTTCTTGGGCCTCAGACCTAGCCTGGAGGTGGCTCTGGCTTCCCGCTGAGACCTCCCTGCCAGGTCCCATTTCCCTGGAGACCAGCACTGACTGTGCTGTCAGTCCTGGTCCTGGCAGCCTGAACACATAGGTGTTGACGGGGAGCAGAGGGGAGGGAGAGGTAAAGGGAGTAGGTGGAGCCAGATAAAGGCCATAGACCTGACATCTAGCAGGAGGAGCTGGCCCAGACCCAGATGAGAGACTGAAGCTGCCCAGCATCTCTCTTCTTGGGGACTGATCTTGCCTTTGCTCAGGTTCCTCGGGCGTTTGTGAACCTGGTAAAGGTGCTACAGATTGTCAGCCTGAGGGAGCTGTACCAGGAGGATAAAGTCAGCTGCCCAAGGCTGATCCTCAGGTGAGATGGAAGCTTCTCCCCTGTTCCCGAAAGGGCCATGGGACCCTTAGCAGAAGGTGACTCTGATTGGTTAGAAAACCCCAGGGCAGAAGTGGGAGGAGTGCTGAGACCACCCCATTTTCTTTTTATTTATTTATTTATTTATTTATTTACTTACTTACTTATTTATTTATTTATTTATTTATTTTGTGAGGAAGATCAGCCCTGAGCAACCATCCATGCTAATCCTCCTCTTTTTGCTGAGGAAGACCAGCTGTGAGCTAACATCTATTGCCAATCCTCCTCCTTTTTTCCCCAAAGCCCCAGTAGACAATTGTATGTCATAGTTGCACATCCTTCTAGTTGCTGTATGTGGGACGCGGCCCCAGCATGGCCGGAGAAGCAGTGCGTCGGTGCGTGCCCGGGATCCGAACCTGGGCCGCCAGTAGCGGAGCACGCGCACTTAACCGCGGGGCCGGCCCCGAAATCACCCCATTTTCTAACCTGACAAGGCCTAATGGAGGGGACACCCCAGGGTTTTTGTGACCCCAGTATAGGGTCACAGCTACCCTTAGAGCATGTGCTCACAACCCAACAATGCTTCAGTCCCCCAGGGAGGGAGGAGTAGAGCATGAGGCGTAGGGTGAGCCTATGTGGACTAGGCTCAAGGCCACTCAGGCGCTGCTAGGGCCCACCTTGAGTGTGTCCAGAGCTTCCCCACCCCTCCCAGGGGCCCATCTCCAGGACAGAGGGAACCTCTGTTTGGTGTGGGTGCTCCAGGCTGGGCGTTCACAAATGTAGGGTTATTGTCATTTGCTAGAGGAGAGGGTGGTCAAGTCAGAGTCAGCAGGGTCCAGAGGACAGAGTCCTTCCCCAAGAACAGAGAGCCCTGGTCCTGGGAAGGCCCCTGAGAGGCCTTCTTCATCCACAACCTCCAAAGCCACACCAATCTGGCTCCCTCTCTAGTATTACACATCTCCATGACCCTCAGGAATAAGACATCTTCTGACCCAAGCATGAACGTTTCTCACAGCATTCCTTCCTACAAGGCCTCCTCTGCACTATTAGCCCAGGTCACGGTGGCTCTGCCCACCCCCCCCCACCCTCACCCCCAGCTCTGTACAGGCCCCCATCACAGCCCTGAGCACAGCATGTGGTAATTATTCATGTGCCTCTCCCCCACAGCCCTGAATTCTGAGTCACTGCCAGCACAGTGTAGGGGCTCAGCGGCTGTTTGCTGAATGACTGAGTGAATAATTCACAAGGGCCAGATTCGCTCTTGGAAATTAAGGGGTATCTTGGCTGCTTCCCTAAAGATCCATGCCAAACCTCACCTGGGGAGCCCAGACTGCACAGGTCCCCTGGGGAAGGCCAGAGGATGTATGAGCAGAGGGAGGATGGCTGCTGGATGACACATACCTATTTACGCGGCGGGTGTCAGGCGTGCTATTTTCAGCTGCTGACTCAGCCCCACTCCCACTTTCTCCAGTCACTGGGGCACACGGGGGTTCAGTGTATTCATTCCACTTCAGAGCAGCTCACCCCAAAGTCTCTTGCTGCTGATCTCTGCAGGGTTTTTAGGCAATCAAAGCTAAATGTTCAGAGTAGGCATTTGCCAGGTCTGTTCTCGGATCCGAAATGGTCAAGTTTCTGCCCAATTAGGCAGACGCAGGGTCATCTTGTCCTGCCGCCTCTCCAGTGTTCTTCTGTCTCAGTGGTCCAGCTTTCCTTGATAGTGCCAAGTCTACACTGAGCCAGCCACACTATTATCACTTCATCCCCCTGGACCAACAGCCCAGATCTGCAAGATGGCCAGCCAGGGCAGAGCTACAGACTGGACAGAACCAGGGATTCAGAGCTCAGGTTCAGACCAGATAGACTCAGTTCAACTCCTGGCTCCCTCACTCAGCATTCATGTGACCTTGAGAAGCCACTTAACCAGCTGAACTTCAGTTTTCTCATCTATAAAATGGGAATAATGATAATACAACTTTTAGAATAGCTAAAAGGAGTAAATGGATTAATACTCATAAAGCTCTTGGCACAGTAAACATTCAATGTGTCAGCCATCATGGTTATTGCTGTTGTCACCATTATTACTTAGAAGGAGGTGTGCCATATTCTGTACTGCACAGTCCTCAGAACTGTGCAGTACTGAGTTACCTGTCAAAAGGTAACTCAGCTCCTGTAAAAGTCACTCCTGCAGATGTCAGAAGACGTAATGATCTTGTTTTCATGAGCAAATCCAGGTCTGGGAAATTTCCTTCAGCTTCATCTGGTACAGTCAACAGGTTAGCCAACCAGGGCCCCCTTTAGCACAGACTTGTGATTCCTCCAAGTTAAATGTATTCTGAATCTCAAGCCAGCGTTTCTGCATCATGCATTCAGGCGATTCTGGTGATTTTGGTGGAGTGGGGACATCTCTTGGGTTTTGTGTGCAGGTCTCTGTGCCCCTGTGTCCTGCAGTTTGATGATAACTCAACAGAACTTGCCTCCCTCATCGAAGTGAATCAGAAGTATCAGGTAAGCGGGGAAGGGGTCCTCAGATCGCACAGGAACTGCTTACTGTGTGGTTTGATTGCTCTGGTTATAGAAAATGAGTACCTGCTTACGTTATTTTGACCCAGACTGGGTGTGAGGTTGCCACTGACCAGTTTGCAGATGTAAAGCGACCCTGCAAGGCAACAGGGACTGTGGTTCAATTTGTTTGAGTCAAGCTATAGAGCCAAGTAGCTCCACACACTCCCCAAATCTCAGTTCCTGGCCTTACACAAAGATGAAGATTTCCAATTGTCCATGGAGGCTGCAGTGAGCTTCCAACTTCCAGGTGGGAAACCCTTTCCATCCAAGAGAGTCTGCAGGATTCGGTGAGAGACCATGCATTCCCTCGGCCCTCCCCTCCCAGGGGATCGGGTGTTATTAGGGAGCACAGGGAGAAAGAAAGTCAGCAGATGATCTCTAGACATCTGTGGATTGTTCATTTTAGGAGTTTCTCCATCAAATCTTTGCCCAGAGCAGCTGACTCCCTTGACTATCTTGAGTGTCCCCCCCACATAGTCGTCCAGTCACTCGAAAGGACAATGGTAGTCTTCCAGCTCTTCTAGAGTGGGCTGCAAACAGCTTCCAGGGTGGATCCGTCCTTCAAGCCCATGGACTCATTGGAGCAGAACCACTTCCCTGCAGACTCTCTTGGGGCAGCCGTACCTGCCAGAGGTATCAGGGCCCAGGGGAATGAACCTCTGTTTATCATCCTCTGACACCATTGCCCAGCCCTCTGGGTGACTCCCTAGCTGCACTTCCTTTTGCTGTGAGCAGGCGCCTGTGTCTCCATGGCCCGCAGCAGGAGAAGGAAGGCAGCCGAGGTTATGGCCGTGAGAGCAAACCTGTTCCAGATGACGTTCTTGGATGCAAGCAACAAAAGCTTATGCAATCCTGGTTAATTTAATCAGATTTGTTATTTAAGCAGAATATCTGGAAGAGCTAGAAAGCTGTGGTCAGAGGCCAACACACTGGAAATCACAGAATCACGGAATTCTAAGGGCCAACCCATAAGAATCAAAATCAGGCCAAAGAACTAGTCCAGTGGAGATACCATGGACCCCACTGTCACTGCTGCTTCTAGGGACTGGATGCAGCTGCCACCCTCAGCAGAATGGATTCTGTGCCGTTCCTCCATCTTTCTAGCACTAGCTTCCTACCCAAAGCCCGAGGCTGGAGCATCGTTTGGGGGATGCTTGGGAATGTGCCCACACCCCCACTGTGAGGGGCATTGGGAAAGCCGGCATTTGTCTTTCTCACCTTCTACAGTGGGAGGCAGGCTGCTCTTCATATAGTGGAGTTTTTCAAACATAGGAGGTGGGTTCAGGTGCTGGGCAGCCAAAAAGAAGAACTATTCACCAAAATTGCCTTCACCGACCTCTCTAGATTGGCCAGCTCTTCCCAGGTCTGATCTTGGTTACCACTGAGACCCTGATCTAGCGTAGTGGAGAAGTTCACAGCTCAGCTACAAGAGGCTATCATGCCTCTCTCAGAATCCTCTCACCCTTCTTCCTGTAAAAGCTATAGTTCCCATCACTCTCCCTGGAGATGATTAATGCTATTAATAACCACCATGTGCCAGGCATTCTAGACACTGATTTTCATTTCTCAGGAGGTGCATGGTGCCACTGTGAGCCATTGTGGCTGATCCACAGAGTAACCAGTAGCACTGGAAGGGATTTGAGGGATAGTCTAGGTCCAGTGAGGAAATAGAGGTCCAGAGAGGGAAGGCATCTTGCTGAAAGTCACACAGCTAGTTAGTAGTATTGCACCTTCTGCCTTACTCAAGGGTCTGCCTGTAACCTGAGGAGATCCCCCTGGGAGATCAGAAGTGAAACATCCCCAGCATAGGGGCTCTCTTTCTGGCTGACCCTGAGAAAAGAAAGTACACAGTGTCCTCTGAAGTGACTGCACTAATGTTCCCAGGTATGTAAGGCTGACCTCCCTCTCCAGGCAGGGTCCTGGTCCCAAATAGTGGAAACTTGGCAAGCAGTGAAATGGCAGAGCCTGGCAGAAGTGGGAGCCAGAACTGGGATAACTGGTCTCCTGGAACTGAGCCCAAGTGGGAACTGGGAGAATACCTACTCTGTGACCCTCCTAGACAGATCTGAGAGTCTCAAAGAAGTGTGTGCACACAGGAGCACGTGCTCACACACACACACTAGGTGCAAGCAATATAAACAGGCATTAAATGTCGCTGTTCATTCACCTTTGATTTTCTGAACAAATGTAGGACAGAAATAAATTAAATGTAAGGATTACCCAAAAAAGTCTTTTAATCAAATACTTATCCACCCCTCCCCACCCCCGCCGTCTTTAATCAGAAGTTTTAAAAGGGGATCAAGCTGATGGACTTAGGTTTTTTCTTACCTTCCCTATTCTCAGAGCCTAAGCCAAATATATGCAATTGCAGCCGAGGTTGGGGGCAGGGGTTGAGATAAAGGCTGCTCTAAAAAGGAACCAGCTGGCTCCCGATCAGTTGAGATTTTGCTGCACATGGATTTCACTCAGAGGTCAGAGTCTGTTTAATTCTATGGCGGAGAAAGAGGTCCCATGGAGACCGAGCAGATGCAGGGAGCTCCCAATCCCATCCCTTTTCCTCCTGCAGGAGGGGACTCACGAGCTGGTTGAGAGTGGGCGATACGACACAAGGGAAGATTTTACAGTGGTCGTGCAGCCGTTCTTTGAAAAAGTGGACATGCCAAAGACCTCGGTAAGGAAAGCAAGCATCACGGAGAAGTGGGAGCCACAGATAGCACCCAGCTGTTTCTGCTCATCACTTATGCCATCCCACATCTCTAACATGGCCCCTCTTCTCTGCCCTGTGACCAGGAGGGGTTGCCTGACAGCTCTTTCTTTGCTCCTGACTGTTTCCACTTCAGTAGCAAGGCTCACGCCCACGCAGCCAGTGCCCTCTGGAACAACATGGTAAGACACCTGAGGAAGGAAACAACACTCTCCCTCTGATAAGAGAAAGACTCCAGAAAGCTTTCGGAGGGACTCAGAAGCCCGTCGCTCAATCTGTGTGATTCCCAGCACTGCAGCGATAATAAATCCCATTTCCTTTGTCCCTCCCTCCCATCTCCAGCCCTGACCTGCATCTGACCTTTCCGTTTTCACCACCTCTTTCTCACTCCCCATCTTCCTGCTTCTTGGTTTAGCTGGAACCCGTCGGCCAGAAGACAACACGGCATAATTTTGAAAGTGAGATCAGTATCGCATGTCCAAACCAGGTAGAGTGAAAAGCATATCCTTGCAATGGGTCTACCTAAAGCGTCTTTTCCAGCCTTGTAAAGACTCTCATTAAGCTCTCTCAGTTCATTTCATCCCAGATTCTCGCCCCCACCCTTGGCTCTGTTCACCTACCCATCCATTCCAGACTCGGTTAACCACCCACAATGCCCCGTCTGGTTGGACTGTGAGGAATGACAGCCCCCCAGTGGCCCAGAGGCTCTAGAAGCACAAGTCTGGGCTGCATGCAGCTCTTTCCAGCCTGGAAGAGAAACATGGCGGCACCATCCAGCTCTCATTTTGAAGGCAGAGGGCAGGGAGAATGTCAAGGGCAGGATGGTATAGAAGGACACCCCATGTAGCCACTGCCTCCATGGCAGGATGGGAAGAGCGAGGAACTGAGACCTGGAATAATATCTGCTAGGATGGAGGTGGGGAGTGGGGGTGGTCAGTTGGAAGCTGGATCTTGGGAGGCAGACATTAACTGGGAAGGCAGAGAAAGAACAAGACTCCCATGTTCACTCACGAATAGTCAGAAAGATTCTTGGACCTCTGCAGCCGACCCCTCACCTCTGTGAATTCCTCTATATTCCCAGAGAGATCCCAGGCCTGTGACTGACTACCACTAAGCTGGGATTTGTGTGGAGCGGGACCTCACAGCACCTGACTTTTCTTGCCTGAGCAGGAAGGAGCCCAGGCTGCTGCAGGGTGGGAGTGGCATGGGGTGGTCAGGGAGACATGGTCTTGTACTAGCAGAAAGTAGTGCTCTGTTGGGAGACGGCAAGGTTGAGAAAAAGGGGTGACACGGCTACCCCGGCCAGTGGGGTGGGAGGCGGAGAGCAGACATGCTCATTCCTAGGAGCCATTGCAGGGTTTATTCTAATTGTTTATCTGGATTGCAGAGAAGGACCCAGTGCGTGCTGGGAGGGAGCCCGCAGTGTCAGCCTGGCAGGGAGGGGCTTGGGAATGTGGAGCAGCGGAGGCTGAAAGTTTTGAAAGTGTTTATGCCAAGGTCAGCACTTCTTGAGGGCTGGTGGGAGTGGAGAGCAGTGCAGGAAGCAAGCGAAATTTGCTGTGGTTGCTCACCTCTCTCTTCTCACAGGACTGGCCATTTCTGAGCACCTACAAGAACAGCGTACAGGTATCTGCTTGTTGCTTCCTTTTGGCTCAGCGGTCAATGCAGTGGACAGCCCCTGAGCTGGGACTGGCCCAACAGGGCAGGGTGGGAACCTGGGCAAGAGTTCCCCATGGGCAGCTGGGGGGATTCACCCTCTGTCAAGTCCATCCACCTGCACCTGCAGACAGAGTGGAGGACAGAGGAAGCTCCATTGATAACAGGCCAGATAGGGGGCCAGCCAGTCAAAGCTCAGCTTCTTCAAAGACATAAGTGAAGATAACTATCCTCCTCATAATGCAGCTGCAGAAGCGCGGGTGGGGTGGTGTGAGGTGGGGTGGTTTTGTTACTGCCCCGCTTCTTGCATTGGATGGTGGAGGGAACTGAACTAGGTTAGAGCTCCCAGCCTGGCTGATATTCAAAATCACCTACAGGGCCGGCCCCGTGGCTTAGAGGTTGGGTGCGCGCGCTCTGCTACTGGCGGCATGGGTTCGGATCCCGGGCGCGCACCGACACACCGCTTCTCCGGCCATGCTGAGGCCGCGTCCCACATACAGCAACTAGAAGGATGTGCAACTATGACATACAGCTATCTACTGGGGCTTTGGGGAAAAAAAAGTAGGAGGATTGGCAATAGATGTTAGCTCAGAGCCGGTCTTTCTCAGAAAGAAGAGGAGGATTAGCACAGATGTTAGCTCAGGGCTGATCTTCCTCACAAAAAAAGAAAAAAAACCCCACAAAATCACCTACGGAGCCTTCTTCAAATGCTCTTCGAGGCTCCTCCGCAGGGTGGGCCCAGGAGCCTCTGTGTTAAAGCTGTCTGGGTGAGTCTGATGCCCAGCCAGCCTCTCTGGTCCCTTTCAACCCTGAGATTCTGGGATTCACTCCACGCCCTTAGGGTCATGGGAGCCAGCTGCTGTGCAGTGACAGAGCCCCTTCTGCCTCATCGCCCACCTCTGGTAAGCCCCCTATGACACATCAGGACCCAGGGCCCCGCCACAAGGACTTCAAGGCCAATGAGTGCCCTGATAAGATTTTTCATATGTAACTAAATGACACAGTTATGGCCAGTACTAGCTTTCTGTCTGAGTGGTCACATGGGACTCGTCCCTGCTTTGTCCCCCTCCACCCTGTAGTGACATCTTACTCAGCAGGACCCAAGATGGCCAGATCAGGAACTGTTTGCTGCCCTCCCACTTCAGCCCATTAAAGGGAACACCAGCGGAGGAGCCCTGTGAGTTCCCCTCTCAGTGGCCCAGCTCTGTGGTGTGACCTCACGGAGGCCCAGAGTTGGGGGTGGAGCACCCAGGGAGTCCGAAGAGAGAGCCAGCTCTGCAGGTTGTCCTGTGGCCCCGGGCTCTGCAATCACTGCCACCTGCAGTAGGGCTGGAAGGTTCCTGGAGTCTTTAGAAGAGATGTGGGGGCAGGGAAAGGCCCGACATGATTATTTCTCAGATTCTTGGTGGAAATCCAGAACCGAGCTCTGAATGGGCTGTGCGTCAGGCCCTGCACCTCATCTCAGATGGTTCAGTGCCCACCTGGTCATGCACTCAGGTCACAGCTGGTATCCCACGTGACCACTGACACTGAAGTGGTGGGACTCCACTCTGCCCACTCAGCCATCCATCCATCCCCTCTCTTTCTTCCTCTCCCTCAGCACCTCTCCCCCTCCCTTCCTTCCTATGGACTGAAGTGTGGCCACTTGTCTTTCCAGTGCACTCCCTGAGACCTGCAGATATCCAAGTTGTGGCTGCTCTGGGGGATTCTCTGACCGTAAGGACTCTTGGGCCCCTGGTGGGGTGGAGGTGGCTGTGTCAGTTGCAGGTCCCCATCCTCCTAACTCCAGAGCCTGCGCTCCTGACCTCTGCACTATCCCCCCTCCATCCTGGCTCTGTTCATCCGAGAGCTTGGCAATCGTCTGCTTTTGCAGCCACTTTCTCAATCAGGTGTGCAAGGGGAAATCTTTTTCAGGAGTGAACCAAATTGTTTCAGATAATGGAGGTTTTGAACACCTAACAAAACTTTTCCAACAGTTGCAAAAATATGTCATTTTGACTCAAAAAATCTTCTAAACCTCCCTATGTAGGTGCTCTTCTCCCGTTGGATTATGCTTTACAAGCAGCTCAGACCCTCACATTTGTTTCCTCTTTGCATCTGCATGAAAAGTAGTGAAGATTCCACAGTTGTGGATAAAGCTCTGCTCCTAAGTTCCAAGAAATAAGGCCCTTTTACCACCCCCGATCGCCACTTTCCGACAGCACTTCTAAGGCCATGAGATTGCCTTACAGAATGTCCCAGAAGGAAAGAGGAGAAATGTGGCGTTTATGAAGAATCTGTCCACTGCAGTTCACTCACATCTATAGGCTCTTTCTTCATGCTTAGAAAGAACGTAGGAGCATAAGGCTGGGAGTAATAATATAACAGTGTCTCACATTTGCAAAGCACTTTAGAGTTTTCAAACCATCTTTACAACTATGATCCAATTTGGTCATTCAAACAATCCCATGAGATAAGCAGGGCACAGCCTCAGGTCAGTAGGGAGGCAGCTGAGGGTCGCAGAGGGCACACAGCTGGGAGGGAATGTTGCAGAACGCCAGCCCAGGGCCTTCTGACTCCAAGTCCAGCATTCCCCTCATGCCACAGTGAGCACAGAAGCCCTGCATGGCCTCCCTTTTCTCTGACTTGCTGATTTTCCTATGGATTTTGGTATGTTTTCAAAGGCTGGCATTGGAATTGGCTCCAAACCGGACGACCTTCCCGATGTCACCACTCAGTATCGGGGGCTGTCATATAGGTAATGTTAACCCTTGACCCCCTCCCACCCCCAGCTCACCCCCAGAGATTGGGTGGGGGTTTGTTTCCTGTAAATGCTTAAGTACCAAAGAGCAAGGACCGGGTCCGAAAGGGGCTTTCCGAAGGAAAATGTATGTATTCCAGCAAAATGTGACAATATGGTGAATAGAGAGGATGTTTTACTGTTGATAACATTTTCTTTTCAATTGTGCGGAAAAAGCAAACCAGGATTCTTATCAGACTCCTGGGTCAACAAATCCAACATGAAATGCACCCGAAAAGCACCAAATCACTGTCTTCACCTGCCCTTGTGCATGTATCTGTGTACATGTAGATGCTCCTGCGTCTTTGTTTACTGTCTGTCTGTATTCATGTTGTTCTGTAGTCACACCTCTGCCTTTACGTGTATGTACACATCTGTCCAGAAAACTCTGAAATGCAACACACACTTCAGGGGAAATAACCAAGACAAGATCACAGCTGACAGGCATTGCTGAGCCCCTCTCGTGTGGCAACATGATACTAGGCATCAAGGCGGGCGGATGAGGGGGATGTATGGCAGCAGAGGCAAATGCTTATGCTCAACTGGCAAGTGCTATTTAAGAGTAAAAGATGCCTGAGTGCCTCAGGAATATAGAAGAGGGAGTCACCAACCCCACCAGCAGGGATAGGAAGGCCTCCCAGAGCAGGTGGTACCCCAGTTATGTCTTGACAGATTAGCAATTAGGCGAGAAAGGGCATTCCAGACATGGAGGTAGAAATCTCGTGGTGTGTCGTGAGTGGTTGGATGTGGGTTTTCTTAAGTTTCTTTCTTTCCTAGTAAAGTCCATGTTTCCGTATGCTTCACAGTAATCAGCGAGTAGCTCAGAATTCTAAACAACTAGAACAAAGCCAGCCAGCAGAGGGCATAGTGCTAATGAGAATCTGGGCAGCCCAACGAGGCCCTTGCCTCCTCCCTTTTCCTCAGAGTAAATTCAAATAAAATGTCTCTTCCAAGAAAGTGAGAGGGAACAGTGTGGGGACAGTTCCCGGCCAACTCTGAGGAGAGTCCCAGAGAGAAAGGTTTCCCTGGCTGGGACAGAGGCGTCCTCAGAGAGGATCCAGGCGTGGGTAGCGTGAGGACAGCACCGGCTGAGAGCTGAGGTAAATGCCTCCAGGCTCCCCAGGCCCCCAGGCTTCCACATTCCCTCAGCCAGGCAGGTGGTCTCTGACGGGCTGGAGGAACAAAACAGAGCCTCGCCTCCTGACCGCTCTGCCCCAGGTGTCACTGAGGCTTCAAGAAAAAGAAAAGCCAAAGGGAGAGACAGAAAGCAGAGCTTATTACAAGCAAGAAAAAGGATGAGGTGGTGGCAGCTGCACTTACCTCAGCGAAGGAGGCAGTGGCCTCACATCGTAGTGTGGGAAAACAGAAAATCAAATAGACAAACCAGCCAACAGATGATAGATAAGCTGCACCTGGTGGTGCAGTCTGGGGAAGTGAGGCAATCTGCCCAACTTCACGAACAGTTCAACTGGACAGGTTCCTGGGATTCACATACAAACGGGCAATCTTTTGCTAAATGTTTCTCTCTGCAGAACAATGGAAAAGTTCAGCCATTGCTCTGTTTCTTGCTACAAGTAAGGTCCAGTAAGAACTAATGTTTCAATCTTTTAGTTCTAATTCCAAGGCCTTGTGTATTCAATGGCTGCTGTCCCTTTAAACCCTGTATTCTAAATGTTTCAAATACCTGCCCCAAGATCCACCTGTGTTAAAGATGAAAGTTCTGGGTCAGAGTCTGAGAGACAGTTTGATGATTGGTGGAATATATAGACTAGTGTTTCCCAAAGTGTGTTCCATGGCACACTAGCCCCAGGCGTGTTCCTGAAAAGGGCAAAATTCTTTGTATTTTGGGGAAAACATTACCTACTATATCCTTTCTCTGGGGAATTCACATGCGTGTTAGCATATTAAAGGGTCTGAGAAGCCCTACAATGAAGCAATCTGTTTAAATTGTATCTGTTTAATCCAGTGTTACCCTTAATCCCAGAACTCTTTCTTTGTTCATAATACCTATTAGCATCCCCTGGGAAATGTCATGCAGTAGACTGATCTGAGAAAAGCAATTTTTTCGAAGCCGTTAAAGATTCTGGATTGGACATACTAGGCAATTAATGATTCTACGTAAATTCAGAATGCAATTTGAGCCTCTTCCTCCAAGGAAACAGGAAGTGGGGAGAGTGGACCTCATACAGTTGGACGGGGGAGGAGACCCAGAGTTCTTGGGAGGTGGGTGTCTGTGAGCAGGACCTGCAGAAGGAGGTTTGGCTGTGAATATTTCCAAGGCCCCTTGACCTGTGAGGCTCATATGCCAGTGAAAGTTTTCAGCTTTGGCCAGCTTAACAGTATGGCAGGCCCAGGGGTCTTGAGAGCTTTACCTTTTCTTCAGTTGAAATAAGTTTGCTTGTTTGGCATCAAAGGACCAAAATAAAATTTACTTACCAAAAAATGCATTTTTTTGTATTACTCATTAGGAGTCCAATCTCATATTACTGAAACTCCTTCAACAAATGTTACTGAGCATCTACTCTGTATTTCTCTGTGCCTCGTGGGTGACAACAGATGACAGCCTTGGAGCTCATGGTGTAATATGAATTACATTAATCTGAAGGGTCTCATGTAAACTAGATGTTCCATATCGATCTATTTTCTTTCATGTTTCACATAGTTCTGATCAAAACCAGGGCTTAAATATTTTTGTTCCTTTATATTTATTTGTATAATTCTCTCTTTTTTCCTGGAATTATTCACTCTAAAATGGGCTCAGAGAGAGATGTCTGTAGCCTATTGGTTTGATCAGCCACCACACTGGTTTTAGAACAAAGATACTTTTAGATGAAAAATTACAATAGAAAGTACTTGATGTCTGTGTGTTTGTGTATATCTCTATGTTTCTGTTTATATGTTTATGGAAGGAGGAAAGGAGGCAGAGTTAGAACACAGTGATTGGAGGAGGTCTATGGATATACGATTTCCTGTCAAGTGTAAGGTGTTCTGATTAAGTGCTTTTAGTCCAAAGAAAGAAGGATCAGGAAGCCGCTAAAGCAGCAGCTGTGTGTAGAGTTGAGCTGGAAAAGAATCGGAAGCTCAAACAAATGCCCAACCACCAGCCAAGTTAGGTTCAGACATCTGATAGGTGGGAGGGAGATACCTGAGTGAGGAAGAAGGGCAAGGCTTGCAGGGCATCTTTACAAAGTCAACTTCATCCCAAGCATTCCCTTGAAAGAAGAAGAGCCATGACGTTGGTTCATGACCTGTCCTTTGGAAGTCCCTATGTACTCGTGGGCTGAATGCTAACACTGTGTTCTCAAAATCTATTAGCCTGGAGTAAAATGCTGGGATTGAGGAGGAAGGTACAGAAGAAAAATGTCAGCAAATACAGTATATCTGAACATTGGACTTTGTTAAAGTAGAAATACTTCTCTCCTTGCCTCCCACATGAATTCACTTTATTTTTTATTTTATTTTTTGTGTGTGAGGAAGATCAGCCCTGAGCTAACATCCGTGCTAATCCTCTTTTGTTGCTGAGGAAGATCGGCTCTGAGCTAACATCTATTGCCAATCCTCTTCCTTTTTATTCCCCAAAGCCCAGTAGATAGTTGTACGTCCTAGTTGCACGTCCTTCTAGTTGCTGTATGTGGGACGCGGCCCCAGCTTGGCCGGAGAAGCGGTGCGTCGGTGTGCGCCCGGGATCCGAACCCGGGCCGCCAGTAGCGGAGCGCACGCACTTAACCGCTAAGCCACCGGGCCGGCCCATGAATTCACTTTAAATGCATGAAAGTGAATGAAATTTTGAGTGTGTCTTGAGGTTAGATTGAGGCCCATAAAAGTAGATTAGATTAGATGAAATTAGATTGGGTATCGGAAGGCAGTGAGAGGCCATCCCCTGAACCTTCTAGTGGAATTGACCTCACCACTGGGCAGAGAAGAGCTTATCCATTTTCCAAAGGTTTCCAGCTCCAGCTGGTTTTTAGTTACCTTTATGGTTTTTAATTTCCTTTAGAAGGTTAATTGACCCCTATGCACCTCAGCTTCCTACTCTGTGACATGGAGATAGTCACATCTACGTCATAAGCTCATTTGGAGATGTGAGATAACTAATGTAGAGAATCTAGCTCATGGCTGGGCACCAAGTAGATACTCAGCTGAATGTTCTCCCTCCTGATTTGGTGGAGAAAAGAAACAGCTCTCTTTTGCCTTCAAATTCTGGATTTGGAGGGAACCAACCCATTGGAGAATTCAAATTGTCTCAGAATCCCTCAAACACAAAGAGATGGGACTGGCACATCTTACAGGTGCTGATGGCATGGGCACTAAGAAAGGTGGGGGTGCCCTTTCCTAAACCCCATGTATTGATTCAGTCTCTTTCACTGGCTTGCTCACTCCCTACAGTTCAGGAGGGGATGGCTCCCTGGAGAACGTGACCACCTTACCGAGTAAGTAGCTAGGGGCTTGAGTCTGTCCACTCGTTCCATCTGACCCCTAGGCTTCCTGAGAGTGTCTCAGCTAAGAAAGGAGGAAATAACATCTTTGCTATGGACTGCCATTGAAGTGGGAGGAGAGGCGTGAACAGGTCGCTGAAGGGAGTGGAACAAACACTGTATTTGGAGCCCGGGGACCTGGATTCAAGCCCCGACCCTTCTGTGTGCTTGCCAGGTGACCGAGGGCAAGTTACCACACATTCTGAGCCTCAGCTTTCTTTCACTGGCCCAGAGGGTGCAGACAGTCCAATGAGATAGCAAGTATTCGCTGCACCGTGAATTGTTAAAAAGAAGAAAAATATTGAGAGGTTCTTGCTGCCTGGGCCCACCCTGTCATCGAGTCATTTCAACTCAAAGAGGCCTCAAGTCCTGTCAGGCACACACCCCACCTCCCTGCCTCCCCTGGCCTGCCTCTCTCCAGGACCCTAGACCAGAGAAGATAGCCTGGCCTTCCGTCCTAAGCTCTCTGTGTCCTTTCACCCCCTCCTCTTCCAGATATCCTTCGAAAGTTTAACAGCAATCTCACAGGCTACGCAGTGGGCACTGGTGACGCCAATGATACCAATGCGTTCCTCAATCAGGCTGTTCCCAGAGCAAAGGCTGAGTATGGCATCTGGGGAGGGACCCTTGGGGGAAAGGGGGCGGGAGGCACGTAGTCCCTGTAAGATTGTAATGCTGACCTCTGTGTGCAAAGGGAACATTTATCCGTTTGCGGCAATGATTTGAGAGGCTCTCTGCCCTGTGATTAAGGCCACAGCAGGGAGGCTGGAGAGGCTGGAGCTTGGACAGGGGCCATACTCCTGAACGCCTGACCTTGCTTTCATGTGCAGCATGTTCCAATCATTCAACTAACTGACCAGCCTTCCCCAGTTTTTAAAACTTCCCACTGCATGATGGCGCAGGGAGATTCACTCTCTCCAAGCTTCGCAAGTGGCAATTCCCAGGAAAGATCCAGGTGTGCCAACCAAATGCACGGACAAGCCAGAATCTGCAGTCCTGGAGGCCTCTGGGGCGACGAGTCATGTCCTGTCCCTAGCCCCGCTATGGAGCTAACAGGAAATGAAAAGCCATTGGCAGCTGAAGCAGAATGGCTCAGCCCCCCAGGATACTCTCCCAAGGAGGCCCCTCGCCCTACTCCTGGAGGCCCCAGCAGCCTGGGTCTCCTTGCTCCATGCAGCTCCTGGCCCAGCCGTCTGAGCCTCTGTCACACTGTCATCATCTTGCTCAGGCCCACAACCTCTGGTTGACAGGCATGGCCCCCAGACCGGTTCACCTAGCCCAGGAAGACCCTTGTTGGTAATAGAAACAGCTGGGGACAGGTGGTCCCGCTGCCAGGTCCCCGAAGACTACCATGCAGTGGATCCATCTCACCTAGGGGCCTGAACTGGTGGGGAGCTCGGGGCGCCTGAGATCTAGTCCTTCCATGAATTGTAAACCCAGGCACATGGACAGTGGATATTTATTCCCCATCTCTTTCTAAAAGAAGCATTTAGATAAGTTTACCAAAAAAATAACATATACATAGGAGAAAAATCACAGCCACTAGGAGGGAAAAAGAGAAAGCAACTGGTCAATATAAGCATTTTTATGGTTATTGTGCCTGAACATCAAATTCTCAGCTTCCTGGTAGCTAGGGTGAAAAGGGTAAGCATGCTAAAACTTTCATAGGTCTAACTTCAGGATCTACACCAGTTCTTCAAAGGTGACAAATGGTTTTCTAGCATGGAATCCTGAAAGATGTTCTGCATGTGGAATTCTAGAAAGGAAACCATAAGCAACAAATATAATTGGCAGTAACCTTGACTACAGCTTTAGGACAAACACACAATTGGCTTTTCAAAGGGTTATTTGTTGTGATAACTCTCCAGAACAGGCAAGTTTCTCCTTGTCCCTGAGCTTCAGGGTCTCGGCCAGTTCATGCAGTGGGCATAATGCCATGGAAACCTCCAGTTCAGACACATTAGCAGGAAAAATCTGAGCACCATTCCTCAACAGAAGGACTTATTTTTCTCTCCTTCTCAGGGACCTTACAAACCAAGTCCAGGCTCTGGTGCAGAGGATGAAAGATGACCATGTGAGTCATATTTATGGTTATTTTTAAACACTAATTTTCTAACCCACTAAAGCTGTCCCCAAAGGAAATGGACAGCCATGAAAAGTAGTAAGCACCCTGTCACTAGAGGCATTCAAGCAGCAGTAGGGCAGCCCCTGTCAGAGGCTGGCTGGAAGAGATTATGTCTGTGAGAGGAGGTTTGTTATTGGTGATAATGACCTTGAAAGTCCCTCCTGATGCTTAGAGTCTGTGGTCTATAAATAAACCTATGAAATTCGTTCAGCTCTGAGATTCTGATTCTAGTATTTCAAGTGGGCAAGGAAGTCTTAAAGGATTGAATGGATTTTGTAGAGCTGTGGCATTTTTGTTTATTTGTTGCAAATCATCAAGCATTTTCCTCCCTCTGTGTAGAGAGTAAATTTCCACGAGGACTGGAAGATCATCACGGTGCTGATCGGAGGCAGCGATTTATGTGACTACTGCACGGACTCGGTAACGGGGCCAGGCCAGGCCTCCTCACTGCTGCTAACCTTGACCTGTAGGCCTTGGAGATCCTCTCTGAGAACAGTCCCTAGACTTGTCCAACTACACTTCTGTGTGTGTGCATACACACGCACAGTTCATGCACATGCACACACACTTCTTACCCCACGAGCCTCAAGTTTCTGGCTCTACCCCCATGTCCCAGGTGGTGTGAGGCAGCAGGTGGCAGGTATACGGTGCTTCTCTTCCCCTTTCTTATGATTCCTGAGAATTCAGAAAGAGAAGAAACTGTAAACCCCAGGTGGTTGGAAGGAGGACTCTGCACTTTCTGCTCCTGAACTATAGCTCCAGCTGAAGGTTCCAGTCTTCTAGCTGGCCCATCTCTGACAATAGCGAGTAGTCAACTGTTCATCTCAGCTTCTGACATGATGAGATCGTCACAGCTGGAGGCCAGAGGGAGAACAAGTCCTTGGGGCTGGAGCCAGCAGGGGGCCCTACAACAGCCCAGCTGCCCTCTCCCCTAACCAGCTCCTCCTCCCCGCTCCTGTCTCTTCCCAGAATCTGTATTCAGCAGCCAACTTTTTTGAGCATCTCCGCAATGCCTTGGACATCCTGCACAGAGAGGTGGGTGGGGGGCTCCACGGCCTCAAGTTTCTGGCTCCACCTCCAGGTCCCAGGTGGTGTGAGGCAGCAGGCGGCAGATATACGGTGCATTATAGCTCACACATGGTGGGGTTAAAGGTGGATGGGGGAAAGAAGGTGAAGTGCTCCTTCCCCTGAAGGAGACAGCCAAGGGCGTGGGCTCCTTCCCTTTCCAGAGTTTGGGGCCTACCCTCAAGAAAGCCTCATTCCATGCGGAGTCAGCCCAGAAGGATCTCAGGCTTGGAGAAGGGAAGGCAGTGTGTGCACTAGTTGTACCCCGACCACCACCTGGGACATTCCCTGGTGGCGGCAGCTGGGTGGCTTGCAGGCTGGGCACTGCACTCTGAGCCGTAGGGTGTGTCTAGAGCAAGCCCCTCTCTGGTCCTGCCCCCGGCAGTGCATTCTCTCCCCATCATCTGGCGTGGACAAGCTGCTCCAGCTGCCCAGGGAGGGGGGCACACTGACCACCAGATGCTTCTCTGAGTGGCTGAGTCCCCAGCCTGCTCAACAGAGTTACTCCAGGTTGGGCTAGAGGGAAAGGGTAAAGGGCTAATGTCCTGGCAAACGGGGCACCTATCTCACCAAATTTTAAGTTCACCAACTGGTGGCTGAACAGAGCTGAACTCTCAGCATTTAGACTTGGTCGGCCAGGAGGCACCATTCATGCTACAGCCCCTGGAGCCCCTCTCTCATGTGCAGCCTTGCCCTTAGGTGCCCAGAGCCCTGGTCAACCTCGTGGACTTCATGAGCCCCATTGCCATGCGGCAGGTGTTCCTGGGGAACCCAGACAAGTGCCCAGTGCAGCAGGCCAGGTAGGCAGGTGCTGGCTGCCCCAGCCAGAAAAGGGCTCACCTCTTGGTCTGGCTCACACAGTGGTGACTCCTTGGGGTCTTTGTGACTTGGTCTGTCCATGCGTCCAAGTCTGTAAAGAGGGTCTTGTGCCAAGACCACCCCCTTCTCGGAGGCCAGAGCCGTGGCCTCCCTCACCCAACCTCAGGGTGCCAGCAGGAACCTCTATGATATGGGGAAGCCACAGGGTGAGAGATCAGGGCTGGGACAAATTCTGGTGTTTGAGAGGCAGTGGAGCCCAGCCTGTGAAAAGAGGCAACATATAGGGATATATACTTTTGTGGTCAACCTATAACAGAAAGCGAGGAAATGATGCACCAATTCAGTTACCTTTATGGGGAAGGACACAAGGGAACTTCAGATTGGGAGTGTTTTGTTACTCAAGATGAGTGAGAGGTACACAAGTGTGTGTTTTATTATTCTTCATACCTTATACTTTGTTGTTGTTAGTGCCATTGAGTTGATTTCGACTCCTAGAGACCCCGTGTACAGCAGAGCGGTCTTTTTGCGCCCTCCTCTCACCTTCCAGCGCTGTATCAGACAATGCTCCGCTGCTATTCATAAGGTGTTCATGGCCAATTTTTTTTGGAAGTGGGTGGCCACGTCCTTCTTCCTAGTCTGTCTTAGTCTGGAAGCTCCTCTGAAACCTGACCACCATGGGTGACCCTGCTGGCATAGCTTTCAGCATCATAGCAACGTGCAGCCACCAAAGTATCACAACCAACAGATGGGTGGTGTGGTTCCCTGACCAGGAACAAACCTGGGCCACAGTGGTTAGAGCGCCGAATCTTAACCACTAGACCACCAACCTTATACCTACCTTTATTTATTTAACAAATACTTTTTAGAACTTACTGTGCACCAGGCTCTGTTTTGAGGCTCTATTTAGAGATATCATTTTTAACATTAAGTATATTTTATGGGTATGAAATAATTCATAATCAAACAAAAGGGGACACAGTGGGGCACTAGTGTGAACCAAGGAAGTGTCTGAGGGCATGAGCATCAGAGGCCCCAAAATACCAGCTCCAGTACCAAAGGATGCATTTTTATTTTATTTTTAAAAACTGGACATTGAATTTTCATTGCCTACATTCATTTGCTCAGCATAATTTGCTGCAGCCCCAGCGCCTGAAGTCCAATGCTTGTTCTCTGTTAATGTGAGAGGGTGCTCCTTCAGACACCCTGGAGACTTTCTCCAGGCCCCATGTAGGCCTGCAACTGCCCCTGAGCATGTGTGTCAGAGCCACAGGGCACGTGTGCTCCAAGCCAGGGCTCCCGGGAGCTGCCCTGTGCAGCAGAACCAGCCCCTGACCAGAGCTTCCCCTCTGGTCCTCCTGCCTCCCTCTCTTTGTGCAGCATTTTGTGTAACTGTGTTCTGACCCCACGGGAGAGCTCCCAAGAGCTGGCCAGGTTGGAGGCCGTCACCGGAGCCTACCAGGTGAGACCAAGAAGGAAACCAGTCTGTGTGCTCTGCCCCCACTCGCTGTAACACACCAGCCCAGAGCCCCCTAGGGGAGGCACCCAGGGAAGGGAAGAACTGTTCGGGGTTTGAGGAGAGACTTCACCATCCTGGGCCCTTCCTCTGCCCCACCTGGCTGAGCTGTCTCAGATACCCCTGTTGGAGTCACCTCAAAGGAATCCAGGTGGCAAAGTTCTCATTGCTGAGCTGCCCTAGGTGGCTTAACTCCAATGCTTGGCCTGAAGAAGGCAGTACCCTGGATGCCCCATGGGACCCCTCTTCCTCCCTTGCACCCTGGCGGCCCAGCTTCTCCCACCACCACCATCCCCCACCTCCTCAACAGGTAGACCATGGGGAGGGAGATTGCAGATCCTGGGCCTGGGGGCTCTCTGGAGACTCTTCCCAGGATTTTATTCTTTGTGGGATGTCCTGCCTGGCCCTTCAGAGCTTGCAGTTCACTTAAAACCAAAACAAAAAGATGACCCAACCTGTTTCCAAGTCTCTGGAAAGATTTGCAATCAAGCTCACTTGTGTTCTCAAGGGAAGGGCTGAGTCAGCCCCTCTGTCCAGGGAGCTGGGGGCAGGGGCGCTGCCCCACTCCCACCCTTGACCCACTGGGCACCTGGCCAGCCCAGGGCCTGTGCTGAAGGCACCTGTGTGTGTGTCCCCAGAGCAGCATGCGTGAGCTGCTGGAGTCGGGTCGCTACGACACCCAGGAGGACTTCTCTGTGGTCCTGCAGCCTTTCTTCCACAACATCCAGCTCCCCGTCCTGGCGGTACGCTCCCTGCCCTCCCTGATGGGGCTCCTGGATGGAAAAGGAAATTCAAGGCAGACATGCCCAGTGTTTCCATGAGAGTGTGAATAAAGTGAGAAAGATGTAGCCAGCTCTCCAGAGGCTGTTCTGGTAGGTGCAGCCTCCTTGAGCATCTGAGCTGCATTTCCAGAGGGATCCTGATGTGGGATGTTCTCGTTACTACTGAAAGCAGCCTCATTTTATTGAGCACCTCCCTCAATATGTGCCTCCCACACATAAAATCTTCACAACTACCTTTTGAGGTGAGTCTTATCATCCCCATATAACAGAGGCTCAGAGATGTGAGGTATCCTTCCTAAAATCACATAGGAAATAAGGGACAGAGACAAGATTTAAACGTGTCCAACCCCACATTATTCACTTTCTGCCGCACGCACTACACTGCAGTTATAAAGGAAGGTGCTGGGTATTCTGTCTCCGCGCTGGCTATGCTCTCCGCCTGACACTTTCACTCCCAGCAGAAGAGCTCTGTGAGTGGACCACTGTGAGGACTCAGTTCTGTCCACCTGGGCCTCCATCCTAAGGGCCTCTCCTAACTGGAGGGAAGTGGGATGAAGCTTTGAGTGCCCCTGAGTGCCTCAGGAGAGAGGAGGGTGGCATGCTGCCCTGGCGTTGGCTTTGCCCAGAACTGCCCCAAGGCTCGGCCCTGTTCTTCCCACCAAGACCACTGGGTCCAGCTGGCTGAGGGCTGGGAAGTAGTTTTCCCCAGCTGGCTGGCCAAGACTTCCTCAGAGACTAGGATCTCTTTCCCCCAACCACAGCACGGCTAGGGCATTATACCAAAGTGCGTAAAAATAAATATGGCACTTGTTTGATTAAATCATGGGAATTGTGGGGCCAGAACAGAGGGTGATGGTTCGAGGTCACCTGGGGCTGTTGATCTGTGGGATTGCTCTGATCTCCCTCTTGAGGTGAGCATGCCCAGAAGGAGTCCAATGGCTGGGAACACCCCCAGGGGGAGGAGGGTGTTGAGTGGTCAAGCCCAGGGGGGTCAGGCCCATCAGCCGTGGCTCCCCCTCCAGCCTCTGCACCAACAGGATCTTGAGGAAGTTCATTACTCTCCTTTAGGATGGGCGCCTGGATACGTCCTTCTTTGCCCCAGACTGCATCCACCCGAACCAGAAATTCCACTCCCAGCTCTCCAGAGCCCTTTGGGTCAACATGGTAAAATAAGTGGGTGTCCCTGGTTCTCTGGGGTTCTAGTCTGCAGCAAAGTACAGCCCCTATAGAATGGAGTTTCTTCTTGGCCTCCTTTTGCAAGTAACAGCGGAGCAGTGGCTGGCACATCTGTAGAAGTCTAGAGAACTGAAAATACGGAATCCTTATGGTCCAGGATCAACTACCCCCTCCCCTCTGTGCTTTGAACTGTGATGAGGGTCTCTGCGTGAATGCGAGGTGGTGCTCTCATACTCATTCAACATTTTCTTTTACGTGCCAGCAACTGTGCCAGGCAGTTTACGCCACGTTGTCTCATGTAAGCCTCTCAACAGCCCTGCAAGAGAGGTGTTAGGAGTTTATGAGGAAGCTGAATCCTAGGGAAGCTAAGAGACGTGCTCAATATCTCACAGCTGGCAACCAGCAGAGCCAGGAGTGGAAGCCAAACGCCCTGAAATCCCATTCCGAGCTTCCCCCACAGCAGGATGCTGCCAGGGAATGTTCACTTCAGTGGAAACAAATTAGTACACCTATGTCTCTCTTTTCTTCCCCAATCAGTTTGAACCACTAGGAAGGAAAACGGATACGCTGGACCTGGCAGTAGACATCCCCCTCTCCTGCCCCCCTCAGGTAATAAGGGAGGCCCTGCTTTGTTCCTCTCCAGAAACCCGGAGCTCAGACCTCACCCTCCCCGCTCCCTGCTCCACCACAGCCTCCTCGGTGCCCATCTTGCCCAGCGACCAGGAGCAGATGGACTTTGGAGGATGGAAGGAAGTCGATGAGAATGGAGAGGGAAGAAAACACAGAAGCACTTATTGCTTTGGGAATGGGAGAAGCAGGTGGGAGAGGAGGCCTGGGCCTGGGCAGAGGGAGAGGATCAGGGTGAAAGAGGTGGATTCTGGAGAAGGGGAGTCAAGAAGCCAGAGGATGGCAGGAAGGCACATTTTAGCAGCCGCACTTGGTGCAGATGGGAAGTCTGACTGCAGGTTGGAGGCCTAGTGAGAAGACAGCCGGGCTCAGAAGTTGTGCTTAGGGGTCGCAGAGTTTCCAGCAGGGATAGGGTCAAAGAGGAGAGGCCGGGAGCTATGTGGAGGAGGGACAAGTAGGACTGGCCTCGCAATAACTGGGGTGAGACTCAGCTCAGGGCTCCTTTTAAGGAGGAAAATGTAAGCAGTTGTTAAACTTGATTTCAGGCCTGGGGTGGGGGCAGGTTCATATTCCCATGGCTGTAGTTCCCTCTTCTAGGCCCTGTCTTATGGCTTTTTAACCAAATAAGGCCGAGGCCAGGGAGCCCTCAGCGGCAATAAAAGCAGAGGACCTGACCCAAACTGGGAGGCTCCCTCCTGGGTCGGGCTGCATCCCTCTCTCCCGCCCTCCTGGCAGGGCAGGGAATGGACCTGCAGCTCCCCCACGTGTCTGCCAGAGCTCCAGAGAGAGTGTGCCCCTGCTGTAACCCATGCTCCCTGTCTCTGCCTTCCCCACCTCGTCTCAGCCTGCTGTACTGTCAGCCCATCAGGGGAGTAGGAGCGGTGGGAGGAAGGGCTACAGAAGTGCGGGCAGTGGTGGCAGAGGGCTCAGTTACTGGGTCTAGTGCTTGAAGCAAAGGAAATGGTCGAATGACGTAACAACCAGTGCAACATGGATGGCTCCAGTCCAAATGGTCAGCTGCTGGCCGAAGAGCTGGGGCAAGGTCCTAGGGGGCCCTACTGTTCCCAGTGTAAACCCTTTCATTGCTAGATCCTGAGCTTTTCCTGGGGTGGGGGATAGGGGAGGGGCCGAGGCAAGCCGGGTATTGCTGGCATTTGGGGACTCACAGCTGTGACTATAAACCATACTGGAGGTAAGTATTTCAATATTTTAACAACCCATATGGTCATACTGAACATCAGCCACAGAAAACCCTCTCCAATCTGCCAACTCCCTTTCCATTAAATAGTAAAAGTAATAACAACCCATACCAGGGAGCCGTCATTTGATCTTCTTCCCCACAAATGTTTATTAAGTACCAAGTTGGAGTGTAGGCACTAGATCAGGGAGAGCCCTGTCACCATGGGCCTCAAGGTGACCTGTGCCCCTCTCTGCCCCAGGCCAGCCAAGGGGCCCTGAAATGGTTCCGCTCCACCCTGCGCTCAAGCCACTGTGGGCTCTGCTCCTCCCTCTGGACAGAGCCTGACTGAGCCTTGGTGAGCAGAGGAGAGCAAACCCAGCCTCCTGGAACGTAGAGGCCTGGCCTGGGAGAAGCGGTTGCTAGGCAACCCCAGAGCCCATTCCAAAAGGATTCATCTGTTGGCCAGACCAACTTCGTTGCACCAGGCAACGTAGTATTCTGCGTTCCTCAGGCCCCATCTGCTCCCTCCTGGGTCTCTGGAGCTACATAAAAGTCCACCAGCATCTCAGTGTGAGCTGCCAGGGGCCAGGCAGCACATATTTTTTAGTCCTAGCTGTGTCTAAACATAGAGGCAACCAGCAGGACCCAGCAGGAAGGAGGAGGCCAAGAGGGTTGTGAGCACTGGCAAGCTTTCTCAGCCTCCTCCCTGCCCCTCCTCCATCCCCGGTCAACTTCAAGGGCATTCTGCCAGCCACGCTGGGCACTTGACTGTACTCTGTGGATTTCTGTTGGACTTTCAAGTTGGACAAATTATTTTACAACCAGCTTTTGATTAGCCGCTCTGTGGACTGTGACTGTTGTCCCCTTCCTGCCTTCATCACCTCTCTGTCCACTCCTTCCCTAACCTGGGGCGGTGGCTGTGGCTCCTCAGGCTCTGAAGAAACCAACAGAAAGACCTGCACAGTCCTTCTTCACCTCTGTCCTTCTTGTCATCTCTAAGCATTTGTCCAAGTTAACCACCTCCTCCTCCTCGAAATTCATTCCTCACCACATACATGGATACAAAGCCACCTTGGTTGCTCTGTTTTTCTAGTTGCTGCCCCTTCTCATCTCTATTAATGACCCTCCTTCCCTGTCTCAGTCTCAAAAATATGGAAATTCTCCAACTTTCATGTCTCTGCCCTTTTCTCCTTTCTCTCTCTCTCTCTACATCCCCTCACTCAGATTTGTCCATTTCCAGGGTTTAAATTTCTTTTTCCAGGTCTCCTCAATCTGTCTTCATTTCTTACTACTTTCCCAAACTACAGCTCTGTATTTCTGACCCTGAAGAGATGTTTCCCCGTTGGCCGCCATAGATGGTGTAAGATTACCCAGAGGGCAGCTTAAATGTACAATCAGGGTATCAACAAAGAGGAGGAAGCAGAGAGAGAGCGAGTGAGAGAGAAACTGAAATAACTTCACAGGATATTTCATTCAATCCTTTCTCTTGAGAAAAAGCAGAGGTTTGTTGGATTCCCTTATACTTACTTTATTGTTCAGTGGTGTTTCTATTTTGAATTACATATGGGGGACACTCTTACCTTTTTGATGCTTTGGACTTCTAAATCTCCTCATCCTGCCCTGACCTTACCATCCCTTCAAACCCAACAAACATTCATTCAAAAAACAATTTTTTGAGCAAGGGGTGTCAAAGTAGGAACTAAATATTTGTCTCCCCAAACTCTCTGAGCCTTGGGACTTCTCGAGTTCTTTCGGTATTGTTGTGGTTTTCACAGTTCTACGAGCATGAAACATCAGGCCCCCCATCTGAAAGGATTCTTCCTGGTGCCCCTCCCGCCTGTCCCCTTTCCCTGCCCACTGCTGCCACCCCAGTTCAGCTCCTCGTCACTTTGTATGTTAAAGGATGTCTGGTCCCACCTTCCCATCGCAAAACAACAGAGAATTATGTAACCTTGGGATCTCAGCGGGCAAGGCCTTGGTGTTCTGTTGATGCAATCTTTCATAGAAACAACTGAATTCTTCCACCACATGCCACCCAAGGCATCGTCAGAGCCTCTGCTTAAATTTCCACACTCTCAAGGCCATGCTTTTCCAGCTGCCAGGTGGCTGCCCACTAACAGGTTGTGAAATCAATGTAGTAGATCATGAACCAGCACGTTTGGAATGGAATGGAATGGAATTGGATAGAAATGTCAGAGGGCGTTCCATGTAGTACTGTTATGTTCTCCTCCCTCCCACGACCACACCCTTCCCTGAGTCTCCTCTGTCCCCTCTACCATTTATCACAGACGGGCCTTCCAAACCCTGTCTCATGCAGCAGGTATGTCTCCTTGGAACGTGGCCCCCTATAAGTCGGTGCTCAGGCCTGACTATACACTCCCAGTTTGTTCGGAGCAGCGCAGAGCAGAAAACCACCACTCCTTCACTGTGGAACTTTACACCTAGTAATGCAGCCAAGATGAACATGACCTTTTCCCGCAGCCAGTGACTCACGTTGGTGACTCACATCAGGTGGCTGTCCGGCTCTGCCCCCTCAGGCAGGCCACACGGTCTTTGCACAGCTATAACTAGAAGAACACTTCCTTGTACTGGCATTCAGTCAGCTTTGCTTTCTACCTGCTGGTGTCACAGACCTAGCCTAAGAGGGCGAGTCAGACCAAATGGAATCTGCTCAACTCGAGGCCTTTAAACCACTCTGACTCATGCACACACCGTGCGGTCAATGGTCAATCAACCCCAGGCACCCCGGGGAGCCTGTCTGCCACTGCCCTGGACCTGTTCTCATTGTCCCTGCCCTGGCCTCACTCTCCACCACATTCCAGTGTCTCTCTGACCTCCGACTCTTTTGACTCAGTCTCCCCCTCTGGTCCCTCCCCCAACTCTTAGATCATATGATAAAATAGACTCTCCAGTTTGACTCAGCACTCCAGAAGGGCAGGGTAGGTCTTTGTCCTCTGATTCTTCCTGTTCTGGCCACTCTGGGACCAGCTCCAGCCCCCAGACCCTATGCCCAGTCAGAGCTCCGTTGAAGTGGGGGGAGAACCATAATTAATGACCCGCCCCCACTGAGTCTCGTCTTTGAGGACGGTAATCCCAGACCTTGTGGCCGTTCCTTGGCAATGACTGCACTTACTGGACATACTCTTCTTTGGTGCTTCACTGCCCCATAGCCTCTCATGCTCTCTGCCTGACTGGGTTGTAAGCCTATTTGTATCCTCCCCTCATCCTAGCACCTAGAACAGTGCTCTGAACACATAGGGTGCTCAGCAAACATGGGTCAGTTATTTATAGAAGGCTCCCAGATTGCCCTTGTCTGATGATGAATGCTCAGAGGATGCTAAATAACATTAGCCAGAGACGAGCCTAGTTAGCCATGGCGACATGCCATTGTAAGCCGTCTTTTGCCTTGCACTGTTACAGACAGTCCAGGGCACACTTCCTGCCCTTGGTGTTGACTACTTCTCCAGTCCATGTTTCAGTTGGGAGCACTGAGACTCAGAGGGAAGGAGAAACATGTGTGGTGCCCCAGGGAGCCAGGGTCTATGCCGGGGGCTGGGAGTTTTGCCCACGTAGATTTTGTCCTCCAAGGTGACTGCAGAGTCCCTCTCTTCCTCTTCCTCTCTGACCAGAAGTGTCTTTTGTCAGCCTGACCCCAGTGGGAGGAATGGAACCAGGCCATTCCTGGTCACAAAGGCCTGTCAGGTGAGGTCAGGCCCCAGCTCTGCAGTCACTACTGGTTCTCTACCTGGAACAGGTCCCTTCCCTACTCTGGGCTCAGTTGCTTCTCATCTATAAAATGGGGGCTTTCAGGATCACAAACTCTGCTGCAGTGCAAGGCAGGAACAAGATTGTGTGAACGGGATCGGGTACAAGATGAGAGGAAGTGGTGGGACCAGAACTGACGAGCACACACCCCTCCTGAAAGCATTCAGATCTTTCTTCTCTCCTCCTCCCTCCCCTTCCCCTGCCCCTCTCCCTTCCCCCTCCTCCTCCTTTTTTTTTTTGCCACCATTCAAGCCAAAATAAAGCAAAACAGAACATCTTCTGGCTGAGTTCAGCCCATGGGCAGTCAGTTTTCAACCCCTGGACTGGTCTCCAATGACCCTTCTCCAACATTCTGGTTCTTTCTTCTCATTCCCATTTTATTCCCAAACTTTCAGACCATAGCCCTTCTATCCACTGAGCACATCCTGTGAATATGCCTGGGCCCAGTGAGTATTTCCTGATCTCTGTCTTGCTAACTTCTTGCTTCACTATCATTTTTATGTTTTCTCATTAGCTTGCTTTCCTCCTGCTTCTCTTTCATCTACTTCCTTCTTCCCTCTTTGATGACCCATCACCTGCAGCTGAAGAGACTTGGGTTCCTGACTGGGCTTGTGTGGAAACCAGTTGTAACATAGATGGGTGAGGAGGGAATGAAGATCGTATTTCATGAGAAAGAACATGATCAAAATATGTGAAACCAATCTGAAGAGGGTAAGACACACAGTTCAAAGGAAGCAAAAAGAAAAAATTACACATGAAAATATATTGATAATCATAACACTTTTCAGAGAAGAAAAATAATGCTATAATGTGAATCTCTTGCCAGAGAAATTACAAAGGAAAGAAAGTAGATCATTCTGAGGATGAGGGAGATGTCCAAATGCGAGGGTGCAAATGAAACCATAGAACCTGAATAGAACATGTAAGGAAGTCTTTTGAGGCCTCTTACTGTGCATCCTTTGCCAAAGCTGTTATGTAAAACCCTTTAGGGAATGAATGAAATTATATTTATACAGTTCTTTCTATTTAAATGCAGAAGAATCTTGTTAAATCTAGAGGACAGGATTGTTAGTTCTTCTCTTTTCTAAGCAGTCTTTGGTGCTGTCAGATAACCTCTCCCCGTGGTTTCTTTTCTCTCTTAGAATGATTCCTTCCTGAGAACTTCCCGGAACAGTAACTACACATACCCTACCAAGCCAGCCATTGAGGTAACCCCTAATGCATGTCTGCCTCTGTCAGGGACAAACCATTTCCACCTGCCAGTGACTCAGGGCAGGGTGCAGGTTTCAGAGTATTAGCTTAAGCAGAAATGTACCCTTTTTACATACTGGAAATTGGAATGTAAAAAAATGACTCCTGAACCACAAAGTCCAATGATTGTCCTGACATGTTCTCAAGTGCTTACCTGACGTCAGCAACCAGCTAGAGGAAGTGCCTTTACACAGACATCATTTCTGATTATGCAGCTCAGCCTTTCAAGAAGGGATGAGGGGGAGGCAGTGGGTTTGATGTGCCATCAATTTCCTATAAGGTAGAAGCCAAGTGGGAAGAACCTCAATTCCAGGGGCTGGACCCAACAGGAAGCTGACACATATCCAGGCGGGTCCCCAGGGCTTGTTTGGTTCAAGTCAATCATTCTAGCTCTGAGGAACCCCAAAGGATTCAAGGCTCATGGCTTTAGGGACTGCTACTCCAGAGATGGCATGGAGGATCCTGGACCACACTAGGCCTTGCAGAATGGGTCTGGTCCAGACCAGGTCTGTTGGCCACCAGGGTGGGGGCTGAACCTCAAGTTTCAGTTGAGCACCTATGGTATGTCCAGTCTTGTGCTAGGTGCTGGAGGGAGTTCAGAGAAGTACCAGACATGGTCCTGCCCTTGGGGAGTTAGAGGTCACTCCATACTGAGCACCTACTATGTGCCAGGGAGATAGAGCAGTAGACCAGACAGATGGGTCCAGCCTTGATTGAGCTTACAGTCTACTGCAGGAGACATCCAATAAATAGCTAAACACAATCATTTCAGATAGTAATGACAGCTCTGAGGAAGCTGATGCAAGAAAGCATGATGGGGCAGGGGAGGAGTGGCAAGTTCTGATGAGCTGTACAGGCCAGGCCAGGTGTCTGTGAGGAGGGGATATTTGAGCTGGGTCATGCACGACAAAAAGATGCCGGCTGTCTGGAGAGCCAGAGCCAGAGTCCCAGGCTGGACTAGAGAGCACAAAGCCTCAGAAGCGGGGCTGAGTTGGGTATATTTGAGGAAGAAAAAGAAAGTCAGAGTGGCTGGGAGGGCATGTGAATGAGGTGGAGAGTGGGGTGGTGAGATCAGAGGGGTTGTCAGGGCCCAGATCACAAAGAACCTGAATCCCTAAGTAAGAAGGTTGGACTGCAGGTGGAGAGATGTGGGAAGCCATTAGAGGTTCTAGGAGAGAGTGACGTAATCCAATTTACCTTTTTAAAAGATCTCTCTGACTACTGTGTAGCAAATGGATAGGGGAGCAGCAAGAGCGATTGAAGAAAGACCTTTTATAAGCCAGCTGAAGAGTTGAGACTAACCTATATGAAATTATTGAAGAATGTTAGATGCTAGGCTCTGGGGTACAAGCCATCACAGCTTCATGGCTGGGCTGGTGCCATCCATCCTCTCTAGGTTCTCTCAGGCTGACATTAGCCCAATGGAGGCTTGTCCCAGGTAAACCATTGAGCAAAATCCATTATAATTGAAATGTCAGCTGCACTGTCAATCAGGCATTTGTTTGCTGGTTTATTTATTTATTTAACATTTATCTATTTATTTATTTAATGCCTAAATGGATCAGGTGCTGTGCTAAGTGCTGGGTATACAATGGTGAGCAAAGTGGATCTGGGCCTGCCCTGTTGGGTCTTACAGTCTCATATATCTTTGCTTCTGCTGCTAGAAGAGTTAACTCAGTCCTACTGAATCAGAATCTACAATTAACAAGACCCCCAGGGGATTCGGGTGTGCTGGTTTAGGAGGCAGCATATGGTTCTTCCCTTACGACAGACAAGTGTGCTCAAGTTCCAACTTGTGTCTGTTAATCTGCGTGGAATGTGCTTGTCTATGGCTCACCAGCTATCGGAGATATTTCTAAAGTGCTCACGACTATAGAACTTTTTGTTTTAATTGCATTTTCCCCGGATATTTGTCATCTGCACACAAGCATGTTCTTGATTTCAGTAGAACTTCCACGCAGAAGAAGGAATTTATCAATTGAGCAATCCCTTGGAATAAACTAAATTACATCAGATTAAACAAATAATATTTAAAAGAAGTTTCATTTTTGCTCTCTTGTGAGAGGAGTGTTGTAACAAGGCTTGTCTTCATCATTATCTTACTAAACAGAAGAAATGAACTTCCAAAGCCTTTGGCAATCACAATCCTGGAGAATCAGTCAACTGGTCAACACCTGTCTGTGGAGCCCTACTGTGCACCCAGCCCTGGGCTTGCCCCTCAGGCGCTCCTGGGGACATGCAGGTGTTTGGGACTCCGGGGAAGAGACTCTTCTTCTCCCCTACTTGCTGGTGCTGGTCATTTCTGTGCCCTCTGCTTCCCACCTCATCCCTTCCTCCAGCACCTGGAAATGTGCTCTGTATTCCAGAGACAAGGGGATTTGACTAAAGGTATCCAGGTATAGGCATTAATTTATACACATATAAGGAATTGGTTGTCTGTTAAGTTAAATATGCAAAAAGATATTCACATGTATAAAAAGATATGCAGAAACCAGGAACTTTGCAGTTGTAAAATTTCACGTTATTTTCCTAAAAATATTCTAATTCTTGTTTCAGACCTAGCATTGTAATTAGTGTCCATTAGCTTAATGTTAAACAATACCACCAAAACCCATCTGTAACATTTTATTAGGTTTCCAAAACTGTTCCTTTGGGACACCACCTGTAGCACAACTTCACTGTTTCCCCCTGCTTTGGTATGACTGCTGGGTCCATGTAAGAGTGGAGATAAATTGAGATGAGAAAGACTGTGTGAGTGTGCACATGCATGCCCATGCAGTATGTGTTTTGTGCATAGGGGTAAGCAGACACCCATTTTCTCCTAATTTCCCCTTCAGTCCATCTACAACTAACAGGTCTTACCCTAACAGGATCCCTTATAGTGACACAGTTCTAGCCTCCACCAAAAATTCCTTAGCTAGTTCTCCTTGGGCTGAAGCTAACCTTCCTGCACAATGAGTGTTGGGCGTTGTGTCTTTCCTCCTGTTGATTTAGAACTGGGGCAGTGACTTCCTGTGTACGGAATGGAATCCTTCCAACAGTGTTCCCACCTCAGGTGAGTGAAAACATCAACACCCCTTCAATTAAGGGCCTTGCTAAGTGTCAGGTTGATGGGAGAGCCTATGAATACACCCTGGAGCTTCAAATAGGCTTTGCTGATTCCCACGCAATGCAGACCTAGATCCTGGGCTGCCCACAATAAGCTGGCCTGCAGCCACTGCTGGGCTCCCACATGGACGGGCCTCCCCACTTAGTCCCAGTGGCAGCCCTTCAGGCCTCCCTGCCTGGTAAGGTTGGCACAGTCAGGGATCAGGGTCCTATCTGCCTATGCTCATGACCCCCACAGCTGGAACTTTCCTGGACAACTCCAGTGTGAACTGGGCTCCTCTCAGGATGGACAATAGCCATCAAGCCCATTACCTTCAGTGCCTTGGTTGCTCTGGATGAAAGAGGCAAATTTGCTAAAGTCTTAGGCTGGAAATAAGTATAATGGGGACCTGTGGGACTAGCAGAATCTCAGACTCCTAGTCAAGTTTGTACTTGCGAAGGAAGACCTTCCTCTTTTTTCCTGTCTCCCCTAGTCCATGAGCTCCAACCAGCAGACATCAAAGTGGTGGCTGCCCTGGGTGACTCGCTGACTGTGAGTACTGAGCTGAGCCAGGCATGGGCACCTTAGAACCCAGCCAGGCCCTGTGCAGAATCAACTATTCCTCCACGTTGGCTCTGCGTTCAGCATTGAGCTGATACTATTGAGAACCTACCTGTGTCAGGCATTGAAACACAGCCAGGCAGCCACAAGACATCACCAGTCAATCTAGAATGCCCTACCCTCTGCCCCTCCACAGTCCTGCTCAAACACCACCTCTTCCATGAGGTCTCCCCTCCATCCCCAGAGAGAAGCCATCCATCCCCCCTTCCCATCATTACCAAGCATTTCATCTGTGTGTATGGCACTTATCCAAGTCAGCCTGCATCTATCAGGGAACTCATCTCCATCTACCCACATTCATAGAGTGGTAAGTCTTACCCACATATCGCCCAGTGCTCCCTCACCCCATTTAAAGATGTGTTCTTTGGGGCAGAGGGAGCCCAACTCCTGTATATAGTGCAGTTTCACTAAATGAATTCTATTGGCAACTGTTTAGCTATTGCTGTGTGCAAGACACTCTGCCAGCAATCCTGAGTGAAAAGAAGTGTGAGACGTAGTCATGACCCTCAAGAAACTTGTCCAGCTGGGAAAATAAGAAACTTACACAGGAGGAGATACATAATCAGATAGGTGACATATAGGACTTTTAAAATAGGGTATTCATTTCTATAAAAACAAACCACACCTCACATACATGTGTGAATGTGTTTTAATTTTGGTATGAACATGCAGAAAGCTGTGGAAAGATATACACCAGGCTCGTAACCACTAATTAGCTCTGGTGGTGTGTATAAGTGGGTAACGGGCCTGGAGGGGATGTACAACGTGTAGCATCTCTCTTAGAAGACAAGATGGAGGTAGATTTTTTTTTAATCTTTGTATCATTTCACTACTTATGTTGAACATATGTCATTTTTGTAAGTTTTGAAGAGGAATTTCTTTTTTTTATTATTTTTTTTTAATTTTTATTTATTTTATCCCCCAAAGCCCCAAAAGATAGTTGTATGTCATAGTTGCACATCCTTCTAGTTGCTGTATGTGGGACACGGCCTCAGCATGGCCGGAGAAGCGGGGCGTCAGTGCGCGCTCAGGATCCGAACCCGGGCTGCCAACAGCCGAGGGTGCGCACTTAACCGCTAAGCCATGGAGCCGGCCCTCTTTTTTTTTTTTAAAGACAAGGCATTCAGAGAAAGTTTTATAGAGGAAGTAGGAACTGACAAAGGTCTTAGAGAATGAATTAGAGATTTAGGGGCTGGAAAGGAGGGAGTTCAGCATCCTGGAAGGGATGGAGTAGGTGGTAACAGGGCAGGCGGGTCCAAGGCCCTCATGCTTCAGAAATGGTGACAGATCAATTTGCTCAGACCTGAAGGTTTGTGTGGACAGCAAAGAAGGGAGTCAATGAGGGGAAGGAAAGTGGGAACCAGATTACGGCGAGCTCAGAACATTAGTGAAGGGGTTTGGCTTTGATCCTGTAGGTAAGGCAGACCCACTGGATGGGTCAGAGTCGGGGGGAGGCATGAAGAAAGAGGTGTGCTCGGAAGAGCAGTGAGCAGCCCGGTGAGAAAGGAACAGACACTGGAGACTGTGGGGTCAGGTGGGAGGCCAGAGTATTGTCCATGGCAAGGAGATGAGAGTTTCAACTAGGAATACGGCAAAGGGAACAAAGAGAAAGGGGTGGGAGCTGGAGAGGCTGGGAAGGAGGAATCTCGGCTCCTCCAGGACTGGGTTACTGGTTGTGTGTGGAGGACTGGGGAGTCAGGATGACTCAGAGGTTGAGGTGGCCTGGAGGAAAGCCAGCACCATTTTCAGAAAAGGTATATCCAGGTCCTGGCTGCTACACCAGGGCAAGTGGGGCCTTTCCCAGCACCCTCAGCCTGCCCCTGGGCCCAGCATAGGTCTGGAGGCTTCCCTTTGTCTTTCACAGACAGCGGTGGGAGCCCGCCCAGACAATACCAGCGACCTACCCACGTCCTGGAGGGGATTGTCCTGGAGGTGAGGCCACTCTCCACTCATTCTGTATTGACGACACTGCCCCACAGAGGCACAAGTAGTGTGTTTTCTCTGTCATCCCTTCAGCAATGAGGCTGGGTCCCCGTGGCCCAGTGCTGAGACACAAGGAGACTCCTGATGCTCATGTCAGTCCTAAGGGTGATGGGACTGAGACACCAAGGCAGACTCTCTGGTTGTGACTCATGAATAGGATGATGTGAAGCAGCAGGTCAGGGTGATTTTAACAAATACACTTTCTCTTCCCCAGCATTGGAGGGGATGGAGTCTTGGATACCCATACCACACTGCCCAGTAAGTAGCAACACGGAGGAGCATCATCACTATGGCCATAACAACCCCTTGCTGAGGCCAGGGCCTTCCCCCTGAGCGAGGGAAGAGAAGGTTACCTGCAAGGAGAGAAGTCAGCCAGCCCTGGAGACCCAGAACCACCAGGCCCCACACATGTGCCCCAACACTGCATGTCCATCTCCCTCTCACCTCTGCTCTCTGCTTCCCCTCTCTTAAAAGACATTCTAAAGAAGTTCAACGCTCACATCCTTGGATTCTCCACCGGCACCCAGGAGGAGATGGCAGGACTGAACGTAGCCGTGGAAGGGGCCAGAGCTCGGTGAGTCGACGTGGGTATGGGAGGGAGAATGGAGGGCAAGGCTGCGAGGTCAGGGTGGGACACAGGAGGAGAGAAGGGTGGTGTCTGGAAGCCTCGCCCCGCATGGGCAATAATAGCTGCCGTGCAAGGGGCATTTCTGCGTGCCTGACCTGAGCGACCCCTTACACGGATCATCTCATGTAATCCTTACACCCTCCGAGATGGGTACCAGCATGAAGACACTGAGCTTAGACAGTCTCCTGAGTGGCCCAAGGTTATCAGAGCAAGTTGTCAGCAGAGCCAGGCTCAGCCCTTTTCTCTGCCCACTGTCCTCCGGGGCAGCAGGAGGGAGCACTTGAGGTGGCTTGACAGGAAGCACATCCTCCCCAGCCTGGGTGTGCTGTCCTGCTGACTCCAGCTCGACCTCCCTGCCCAGTAGATCAAATGGTCAGGGCGACTCTGAGCACCGGAGAACTCAGTGTGCGTCCCTGTGGACGTCTGCCCTTCCTCTCTCCCCCCTCGCCTTGGAACATCAAGTCCTTGACTCTGAAAAAGCTGTATTTTGACACAGGGAGTTAGATGTTAGGGCCCCTAAAACAACGTGGCAGCTGTTTGTTTTCACTTGGATTTCTGTTGTCGACAACAACCCAGATAATTAAAGTTGAAATGCCTGACAGAGTTCATTGATTTTCTGCACAGAGCGTGCTGGGTATCTGCTTTGTAGAAGGATTGCTGTGCTCATATCACCAGGGAAACGACACCAGCTTGACTCACTCTGTTTATAGGGAGCAGTCCTTTCAGACGTGGTAATGGGGCCCCATGCTTCACCGGCGTCGCTGAGCCACAGGAAGCAATGCAGTTCCTCAACGTCATAAGCAGGAAGAACTTATTTTTCTGCAAAAAACTGGGCTTCACGGGGCCATAATATCAACAACCAATTGCTGTTATTACCATTACCATTACCATTATTATTCTTGTAATCATCATCATTTTGTTCTCATACAGCCCAGGCTTCATCAACCAGGAGCTGATTTCTTAGTCTGTTGACATTCAAGCTCCTTTCCCCTTTCTCGCTTTGCTTAGCTTCTCTTGCTATCTATTCTATTTTACTGCTGCTGGGTGTCTCCACCAGAACGAATCAGTGGCAGGGGAAGTAGCCAAGACGTGCAGCTTCTTGTTAGTATCTCTGATGTCCTGTGTTAGGGGAAAGGAGAATCAGCCATCGACTTAAGTAAGCAAGATTGGAGAATTGTCCTCTGACTCTCCTTCATCTGCACTGTCGTTTAGTATGGTGTGGATAAGTATGAATTCACCTAAAGAGAAAGATAGACACCACAGCAGAACAACCAAGATAATGAGACCTGAAGTCAGACCATCTGTGTCCGGGTCCCAGCTCCCAGACTTGCTAGCTGTGTCACCTTGAGCAAGTCATTTAGCATCTCTGAGTCTTAGTTTTATCATCTATAAATGGGGATAATAATAGTGCCTACTTCTCACAGTTGTCAGAAGGATTAAATGAGATAATAATCCATGGAAAGCACTTAGTACAGTATATGTTTGCAAAAGAAAAGTCCTCCATTATTAGGATATTTAGTTTCAAAATTTTATTCAACACCTAACTTACCTTTCATCAATAAATAAACAAGAATTCATTGAACACCTGCTGAGCGAGGTGTTACTAAAGGATACAAAAGAATCAAAAGGTGAACTCCCTTACTTAACTAGACAAAGAGCTTGCTGTCTAGTTAAGGAGACTAAACAAACAGGAAATAAATAACTTAGAAAAAAAACAGTGTTGCATATGGCAACATTGTAGCCTGAAGTGATTTTGTACTTTGGAGTACAACTAAGAGAACAGAGAAGTGTGAAGTGTAGACTGGACAGTCCAAATACAGACGCAGACCCAGAAGGGACCCCAGAAATCATCCAGTCCAACCTCTTCGTTAAAAGATGAAAAAATCCATGGAGTGACCCTGTGGCCTAGTGGTTAAGTTCGGCGTGCTCCACTTTGGTGGCCCGGGTTTGGTTCCCAGGCATGGACCTACACCACTTATCAGCCATGCTGTAGCGGGGACCCACGTACAAAACAGAGGAAGATTGGCACAGATGTTAGCTCAGGGCGAATCTTCCTCAGAAAAAAAAAGAAAAAGAAAAAATTCAATGCTAGCAGGATGTGGTAACTTGGGCAAGCTCATGCAGCCAGTTGCTAGCAGAATTGAAAGGAGAACCCCGGTCCCAGAACTCCCAGAGCAGGGCTCTTCCCACCAGGATTAGAAAAGGAAGTGAAGGAGGTATGGATAAATGACTCGAAGAGAAGGCTCCTGAGGGAGGAAGGACTTGCTCTGAGCCTGAAGGGTGAGAAGAACATGGCTGGGAAGAGGTGAGGAAGTGGGCATTCCTAACTTCCCCTAGTGCCCATGAGGGCTTCTCACCCATGAATCTCCTGGTCACACATTGAACCTATTAAAAGGTTATGGGCACTTCCATGGTCACCTTTACCCAGGACAGGCTTTCTTTCAAGCTTTCTGACATACCCGTCAATAACAATATTGTATAGGGTACGATCCTGGATGTGTACACGAGAAACACGGGCAAAGATGGTATCATGTGTGCTTGGCCCTGTGCCCAGGTCATCGTGGGCATGCAAAGATTTCAAATGCCCATTCTGTACCAGTTACTGCTTTTATAACTTCTCCCACAGAAGCCTCCAGGGCTGAATCCCTCTGCTGACATAACTTCTCATATACATATCTTTTTTAAAAAAAATACACCCTTATTGAGATGCAATTGGCATGCAATATACTGCCCTTATTAAAAGAGTACAATTTGATAAGTTTGACACATGTATATAGCTGTGAAACCATCACGGCAGTCAAGATAATAAACATCACACCCAAAAGTTTCCCTGTGCCCCTTTGTAACCAGTCTCTCCCTCCAGCCCCTTCCTGTCTCTATACCACTCCCTGACCCCCAGGCAACCACTGATCTGTCATTATAGATTGGTTTTAACTTTCTAGATATTTATATGAACGGAATCGTAGACTATGTACTCTTTTCTTGTCTAACTTCCTTTATCCAGCAAAATTATTTTGAGATACACCCACGTTGTTGCATGTATCAATTGTTCATTCCTTTTTATCGCTGAGTAGTATTCCATTGGCATACACATCTCTTCTCCAGAAGCGTTCATTCCCTTATTCATGGCAGGCATCTGGGAGAGGAAGGGAGAACTAATCCTGTCCCTATAAATTGGATAAAATTAAGCCAGTCCTGATAGTATTTGTCTCCCCATCCTGTTTTGCTGGGAGGGGGAAAAAGGAGATGGGGAAGGGTGTGGAAATCCAAAGTAACCACAGAGATGATAAAAGGATTAAAGGAACAGAGAGTGGGACTTAGAAGTAAAGGTTAGAGTCATGAAGCCTGGAGAAGAGAAATCTGAGGGATAATTCAGGGCTATGACTTTTATCAAATATACAAAAGGTTATTTTTAAAACAGGCAGCCAAATAAGAACTGAACAGGCTCAGCCCGCAATGAAAGAGCTGGATGAGATATAAGGGCGCATCCCCGGCGGGAAGGTTGAGCAGATCCCACCCCAAGTGGCCAGAGGCTGGGCTGCAGAAGGAGATGGCTGGATGAGCCCCCCTGGGTCTGGATCCATGTATCCATGTAGCCCTGAAGTCCACGGCAGAGCTTTCTTACTAGGTTGAGATTTCTTGAGACTCGAAAGCCTTCCCATACACTCTGAAGGAATAACCTTTATATGATATTTTTCTTCCTGAAGCACCTCCTTGCCAGGCCAACATCCTACAGCTTGAGCCCTTGCTCCCGAGCCAGCTCTAACGTCCCTTCTCATCCCTCTACACAGGGACATGCCGGCCCAGGCCCGGGACCTGGTGGAGCGAATGAAAAACAGCCCTGTAAGTACAGGACCCCGGGCCACCCTGAAGGGTGCTGGGTCTCCAGCTGGGGTGGGTGCAGCAGCCCTAAAAGAGCCCCCTGTGCACCACAGCAGCTCCTGCTCTCGGCTTGTCGTTAGGAGGGACCAAATGAGCCACGAGAAGCAGGCCTCACCACGAAGATGCCCTCTTCACTACCCCCTGACCTGGGCTCTGGCACCCCTGCCCCTGGGGCCACCGCAGGAGAGAGATGGAGCGGTGTGTTGGCAGGGATGGCTGGCCTTGGCCTCGGGCAGTTTCCCGCTTACCCAAGAGTCTGCTTCGTGGAGCCCTATTGTGTAAATGCTGGCTTCTAAAAATAGGTGCCTCATTCCAGTCCTTCTTCCTTCCGGCTCACCGGCCTCTAAACCTTCTCACTAGCACTTTTTTTTTAATGCTCTACGTTTAGGCCTTGGAATTCGGCTCCTGGCAGGACTCCTATTATGGTGGCGACTGAGTGGAACGCAGGCTCCTCCGAGGGCTCCCCTGCCCCAACCCACCTCTCAGTCCACGCAGGGCTCTTCCTCCAGCATCCGCCCCCCCCCCACCCTGTTCCCTGCGCTGGTCCCAGACCTGAAGAGCTCTCCCAAGAGGCAGCTCTGGGCTTTTGCTTCTATGTAGATGCATCTTTTGCCCTCGGCTCCTTTGAAGGGCTTTAGCTCAACCTTCAAGGGTGTGTTGATACACTCTACTTCAGCATGGACTGTAGCTTTCTTAAGAGGATTTCAAAGGGAAACTAGTCCTCCGCACTGTGTGAGCAGACACACACATGTACACGTGCACACAATTCCTTCTGTGCAGCCCCCTGCCCCAGCACCAAGGTGAGGGTGAGGCAGGCCCCACTCAGCATCTTCTCTCCACTGTGGTACAGAGGGAGGAAGGCACCTGGGGGGCTGTCTGGTCTGGTGAGCACCACCTGCATGTGCCCCCCGAAGCCTAAACTCAGAATCTTCTGTCCTCTCAGGAAATCAACCTCGAGCAAGACTGGAAGCTGATCACACTCTTCATCGGGAGCAACGACTTGTGTCATTACTGCGAGAATCCGGTAGGCCCCTGACCATCCCATCAGGAACCTGAGAAGGGAGTGGCTGACTTCTGTCATTGTCCATGCCCAGGGCCCTGACCACCCTCAGGGGAGCCACACTGGCCTGCTCTCCCAGGCAGCCCCTGGCTCACATAGGCCAGGTGAGTCCTGGCCTTTCCCACTGTTGAGCGGCCTGGCCCATGAAAGAGCAGCTGCAGTGTCTCTAATGTGTGTTCTCTGGTATGCGGATGGGGGACTAGTGCTTGGAGTCCCTGCCCCCGTTTTTTAGGGGGAGGCCGAAACAATGTCATAAATGGGGTTGGACAAAATTGAGCCAGTCCTGAGGGTATGGCTTGTGGCCCTTCAGGGACACCACCAGTTAACCACCCTCAGCCGGCCGGCCTGGGAACCCAACCCGTTCCTAATGTCGTTTCTATAGGGAAATATGTCCAGACTTTACAAAGTTTGGAAATTGTAACTTCTGGAATACATCTTGTTCTAAGTTGGGGACATCCTGTATTTTGTTTGGCCAGAAAAAGGCAGCTGGCCTGACTCAGAGGTCGAGGTAGAATGTCTGACACTCACAGGCAGGGGGAGAAGGCATCTGTCACTCCTCGTGGCTCTGAGAAACCAACCACCAAAGGCTTGGTGAGAAAGACCCTCCCCCACACAGGGGTTCTCTCCCTTACAGCCCACTCTAGAGGCAGAAGTCACCCAACCCCATGGGGATTTAAATGTCCTTATGTCCTGAACTCCAGCAGTGCCTGGAAGCCAGAAGTGACCCCAGAGCCACCTGTGGACGCTTGGTGCAGGAAAATGCCCCTACTAGCTACAGAATCTCTGTTCCTCATGCAGTCAGGTTTATACTCCTGAGAGCATCTTTTTGTGAAAATGACCTGAACATCACAGCCAGGGTTAACTCAGGCCACAGTTTCAGAAGCTGCTAAAGCACCTCCAGTCGGGAGACGGATCAGAAGAGGAGACCCTCGAGCTGAGTCACGAGGAAGTTAGGGGGAGGCAGTGGGGCCAGCATGGGCCAAGGCCCAGAGGAAAGAGAGTGGGGTCACCAGGGGCACCATCGTGGTTGGAGAAGGCTGAGGCTGGTAACAGACTGGACTGGAGAAGTGTTGGGGGCCCAACACTGTCAGGGTCGCCTCTGGGCTTGAGATACCACAAAGCGGGGCGTGGTGGGCATTGTTCATATGTCTAGTAAGGGTCAAGGGATGACTTCTTACAAGAGACTCTGTGTCCCCCAGGAACAAGGACTGGGCTTCCCGGCACATCCAGTGCCATCAAAACCCCTCTGTACCCCTCTGCCACCATCCCAGGCCCTAGGGCCCTCCTGTGCTGGGCACTGGACCACTCTTGTCCTCCTCTCAGAGTGGAACCCAGGGCCTGAGGAGAGCCCCCTTCTTTCTTCACAGGAGGCCTACTCAGAGGAGGAGTATGTTCAGCACATCCAGCAGGCCCTGGATATCCTCTATGAGGTAGGAAAGAGCAGCAGCGCGTTCCTCGGTCCCATTTCCTGCCAGTAACGTGCCTGTCTGCTCCCTCACTGGGGGTGCCTCCCCGGGTGCGTCTAGGCAAGTTGTATTCAGTGAGATGCACCCTGTGCAGAGCCCTATCATGAGCAGGCACCGGGATGGGATGGAGGCTACCTCTGAGCTCCTCTGCGGGGGAAATTCTAACTGGATCAGACCGTACTGTTTGGTGGCAAAGAGCTTGCCTCTAGAGCCAGTTGGTCTGGTTTGTAGCCAGGCGCTGTGGCTTACTAGCAATGTGACTTCTCCATGTCTCAGTTTCCCAATCTATAAAGTGGGGACAATAAAGAAGATTCAGAGAGATAATACAGTCACATCCCCTCTCTGGGCCTCAGTTTCTTTATTGGTAAAATCGGGGAGGGAGGATTTGGATTGCAGATGATCCCCTAAGCTCCTTCCATCAGCAACCAGTTCCCCCCACCCCCTCGACCCAACTGCCTGGGGACTAATGCAGCCCACCCCTCTGCTCCCCACAGCTTCCAAGGGCTTTCGTCAATGTGGTAGAGGTCATGGAGCTGGCTAGCCTGTACCAGGGCCAAGGTGGGAAATGTGACATGTCACTGGCAGCTCTGTAAGTAGGCGGTCACAGTCCCAGGGTGAGGGCACCTGGGAAGAGCAGGGCTCACAGACACCAACAGATGACACAGATGCAGGCAGAGCCAGACCGTCCTGGCCAGAGGGCTGGACATCAGCAATTGGCCAGGGGCTTGGAAAACCATTTGGAAACGCCTCTATATTACTGAATGCCTACTGTAAGCAAGTCACTTCATTTCTCTGGACCCCAATTTGCTTTTCTGTAAAGTGAGAGAGACAGACTAAATAATCCTTAAGGCCCCCTGACATTGTCTATGATCCCAGACTCCAACTTTAGTGAGTTGTTCCATGTTTGAGAAGCAGCAAAGTGCAATGAGCTTAGGAGCTGTGGGACCTTGCGCAAACCACATATCCTCTCTGGGCCTCTTGCTCCTCACCTGTAAAATCTCCTTGCAAAGTAGACGTGAGGTCTAGAGAAAATACATGTAAAGTGCCTGGCTCCTGGAGGGTAGGCTCTAAGGAAATAGTAGCTTTTATAACATTGTTGATAGGACTGTCCTTGAAAGCCAGGCTTGGAGCTAAGGTACCGATGTGCGAGATGAGAATTCCTGTTGGGGACTGGAATATATTAAAGCTCAGCTGTGACCCTGGCAGGAAGTTGCCATCTTCTGAGGCCAGAGGGTCACCCACCATTCCTGTGACTGTTCCTATGGGGGAGGAGATTCTACAGGGGGCTGAGGAGTTAATGGATTTGCTGGGAAGGTGACCAGGTGGTTGCCATTCTTGCTAGGAACCTGGCCCTCAGGTGGAGTGGCCACTGGCTGGGGGATAGAAGTTGCTCCTGCAGAGTCGGCTGGTCTTGCATTCTACCTTGTCAGGTTATCTCAAGCTGGTTGACCTTCCCCAGCTTCCCAAGCAACTCTCCACTCTGGAGCCCTGAGAGAGAGTCCTAAGCAGCTGGAGGTAGAGATGGGGAGGCCTCAGGAACATGACAAAGAAAGAATGGGCCATCATGGCAGTCTTCCCAAAATTCCACCCTTCCCATCCCTTCCCTGGAGAAACCCCAGGAGCCACAGGCTTGGGAAGGGGAAGGGGCAGCCTGTCCACAAGGAGCCCCAGGCATTGGGTGCCAACTCGTCCACCTTCTTTCTCAACAAGCACCAATTAGACCTCATGCCCCTGAGTTATGGGTCTGTGACCTGGATCTAAGAGTCAGCCAAAGCTGTGTTGCGGAGGCACCTGTGTGTTACCACTGTAGGATTCCAAAAAGGAAATCCAACTCCAGTCTCGGGAAGGCGCGGACCCACAGACACAGGAGACCGAGCTTGATGCAAATGCACGAGGTTTTAATTAAGCGGAGCTCCGGGTCGACACGTATCTCTCGCA